ATCATGTAGCTGTTTAAGTTGCAAAATATTTTACTGATAAAATCACCAGATCAGCAATCGTTTTATAATAAATCCAGCAAATGTACATTAATAATGAAGAACTGTGACACGTAACGATGCGATTGCTCATTGAGAAGATCTGAACGGCCCGTGATCACAGCGAGAAGAGACATGAGTCACGGGCAGATGGGAGACCTGTGTGTGTGTGTGTGTGTGTGTGTGGGCCGTCCGCTCAGACGGACATGCTAATTAGTTCATGACACACTTCACCCCTCTGTGTGTGTGAATATTAACATGTGAAGCCCAAAACCAACAGACTAACTGATATCACACACATCCCAGCATGTTACAGACAATCACTGTCTTTCCACACACACACACACACACACACACACACACATCCCAACACGTTAAAGAGGGAACGCGAGCTTAGACACTAATATATACTCTGATAACTGTTCTCTTTTCATTCTCGCTCACTCGTTCTTACACACGTGCACTTAATGAAGTCCATGAGCATCTGATCTCACAGCCCGGCAGGAGAATCAGTGTGAGTGTGAGTGTGTGAGGACACACAATCACACATCGCACTGACAAACAAGATCAACGGCTTCCTTATACAGGAGAACATGCTTTTCCCCGGAAATACACTCCGTTACACCTCAGGAGATCCAACCGAGACCGGATACACTCGTCAAAACTAAACCGAGACCGGATACACTCGTCAAAACTAAACCGAGACCGGATACACTCGTCAAAACTAAACCGAGACCGGATACACTCGTCAAAACTAAACCGAGACCGGATACACTCGTCAAAACTAAACCGAGACCGGATACACTCGTCAAAACTAAACCGAGACCGGATACACTCGTCAAAACTAAACCGAGACCGGATACACTCGTCAAAACTAAACCGAGACCGGATACACTCGTCAAAACTAAACCGAGACCGGATACACTCGTCAAAACTAAACCGAGACCGGATACACTCGTCAAAACTAAACCGAGACCGGATACACACGTCAAAACTAAACCGAGACCGGATACACTCCTCAAAACTAAACCGAGACCGGATACACTCGTCAAAACTAAACCGAGACCGGATACACTCGTCAAAACTAAACCGAGACCGGATACACTCCTCAAAACTAAACCGAGACCGGATACACTCCTCAAAACTAAACCGAGACCGGATACACTCGTCAAAACTAAACCGAGACCGGATACACTCGTCAAAACTAAACCGAGACCGGATACACTCGTCAAAACTAAACCGAGACCGGATACACTCGTCAAAACTAAACCGAGACCGGATACACTCGTCAAAACTAAACCGAGACCGGATACACTCGTCAAAACTAAACCGAGACCGGATACACTCGTCAAAACTAAACCGAGACCGGATACACTCGTCAAAACTAAACCGAGACCGGATACACTCGTCAAAACTAAACCGAGACCGGATACACTCGTCAAAACTAAACCGAGACCGGATACACTCGTCAAAACTAAACCGAGACCGGATACACTCGTCAAAACTAAACCGAGACCGGATACACTCGTCAAAACTAAACCGAGACCGGATACACTCGTCAAAACTAAACCGAGACCGGATACACTCGTCAAAACTAAACCGAGACCGGATACACTCGTCAAAACTAAACCGAGACCGGATACACACGTCAAAACTAAACCGAGACCGGATACACTCCTCAAAACTAAACCGAGACCGGATACACTCGTCAAAACTAAACCGAGACCGGATACACTCGTCAAAACTAAACCGAGACCGGATACACTCCTCAAAACTAAACCGAGACCGGATACACTCCTCAAAACTAAACCGAGACCGGATACACTCGTCAAAACTAAACCGAGACCGGATACACTCGTCAAAACTAAACCGAGACCGGATACACTCGTCAAAACTAAACCGAGACCGGATACACTCGTCAAAACTAAACCGAGACCGGATACACTCGTCAAAACTAAACCGAGACCGGATACACTCGTCAAAACTAAACCGAGACCGGATACACTCGTCAAAACTAAACCGAGACCGGATACACTCCTCAAAACTAAACCGAGACCGGATACACTCGTCAAAACTAAACCGAGACGGATACACTCGTCAAAACTAAACCGAGACCGGATACACTCGTCAAAACTAAACCGAGACCGGATACACTCGTCAAAACTAAACCGAGACCGGATACACTCGTCAAAACTAAACCGAGACCGGATACACTCGTCAAAACTAAACCGAGACCGGATACACTCGTCAAAACTAAACCGAGACCGGATACACTCGTCAAAACTAAACCGAGACCGGATACACTCGTCAAAACTAAACCGAGACCGGATACACTCGTCAAAACTAAACCGAGACCGGATACACTCGTCAAAACTAAACCGAGACCGGATACACTCGTCAAAACTAAACCGAGACCGGATACACTCCTCAAAACTAAACCGAGACCGGATACACTCGTCAAAACTAAACCGAGACCGGATACACTCGTCAAAACTAAACCGAGACCGGATACACTCCTCAAAACTAAACCGAGACCGGATACACTCGTCAAAACTAAACCGAGACCGGATACACTCCTCAAAACTAAACCGAGACCGGATACACTCGTCAAAACTAAACCGAGACCGGATACACTCGTCAAAACTAAACCGAGACCGGATACAATCCTCAAAACTAAACCGAGACCGGATACACTCGTCAAAACTAAACCGAGACCGGATACACTCCTCAAAACTAAACCGAGACCGGATACACTCCTCAAAACTAAACCGAGACCGGATACACTCGTCAAAACTAAACCGAGACCGGATACACTCGTCAAAACTAAACCGAGACCGGATACGCTCCTCAAAACTAAACCGAGACCGGATACACTCCTCAAAACTAAACCGAGACCGGATACACTCGTCAAAACTAAACCGAGACCGGATACGCTCCTCAAAACTAAACCGAGACCGGATACGCTCGTCAAAACTAAACCGAGACCGGATACACTCCTCAAAACTAAACGATATAAATAAACGATTCAAACTCATTTATCAAAACAAATCTTTTCCAGACTCGTTCATTTCGTTTGTTGAATGAACCAAATGACACGAAAAAAGATTTGTTCATTTTGATGAACGAGTTCGAACAAGAGAGTCACGAACGCGCATCACAGAACAGAGCAAGGCGAGCATTTGAGCTTATAAAACTTAAACTTTGTTATTTATTTATTAAATGAGCGATCGTTTCGCTTGATAAGACCCTTATTCATCGTCTGGAATCGTTTAAAGCCCTTTGAACAGTTTGCACTGAAACTGTCTTTTGGACCTTAAACCGTTTGGTCCCCATTGAAGTCCATTAAATGGAGAAAATCCTGGAATGTTTTCATCAAAAACCTTAATTTCTTTTCGACTGAAGAAAGAAAGACATGGACATCTTGGATGACATGGGGGCGAGTAAATTATCAGCAAAAGTTTTTTTGTTTTAAAGTGAACTACTCCTTTAAGTTTAAGTAATAAAAATGGCTTTAGTTTTAGTGTTAGCGAACTATAAAAATCCTGGTTAGGCTTAAAATTAATATACATCATTCATCAGCTATTTCAAGACCATCACTGAAATCTCAACAGAAACCCTGAAAACCCAGTGGCACACACATCAGACGTTCATATTCGTTTATTGTGCGAGTGTGTGTAAAAAGCGAGTCGTGCTGATGGCCCAGCAGGGTTTATTCAGTGCTATGGACCGGCCGACTGTGAACTGCAAGTGTTTTCTAGGAGACCGGCTTCACCAAAACCTCGGAATAATTGTGTGTGGGCCGATCTCTGACTCACTGTCACTCTCTTCACAACATCCATCGTTCTCTGAGCGAGAACACGCCGACGGACGCTTTCATTCCCTCCCTCCAGCTCAATCAAACCACCACATTTTCTTCTTCAATATCATTTGACTTGTTTACGTGTATAGCCACTAAAAGCAGATCTGACCATTGTTGTGTTTTCTGTCGATGTTTATCAATCACCTCCACAAAAGTGCACCGCTCGGAAAAGTACTTTGGTGTGTGTGCATCATTAGAATATATATTTGCATTACATTGCATGAAAAAAGAGAAAGAAAAAAAATTCCAAAACGCACTTAATTATATATATATATATATATATATATATATTAGGGCTGTGCAAAAATGAATTGCGATTAATCGCATCCAAAATAAAAGTCTGAGTTTACATAATATATTTGTGTGTGCTGTATATAATTATTTTGTATATATAAATACCTATGCATGCATGTATATATTTAATTATTTGTGCTTAAATTCTGTATATGTACATAAATACATAATCTATATTATATAAATATAAATATTTTATATACAAATAACACATTTTCTTAAATAAATACATACATGTGTGTGTATTTATATATACAAAATAATTATATACAGCACACACAAATATATTATGTAAACACAGACTTTTATTTTGGATGCGATTAATCGCAATTAATTTTTGCACTGCCCTAATATATATATATATATATATATATATATATTTCATCCCATGATAAAAAGCAATATATATATGTGCAGTCAAGATTAACACGTTATGCTATTAATTTTTCAGTTTATTGGATTTAAAATATTTAATGCAATTAACACAGCATTTGTTTTTCCCGTCATCCTCCGGCTAGCTAGCATGATATGATCACACTTTTATTCATGCAAATGCTTTTAAACCATTAAAGTGCGATAAGACACAAAAGAGAACGCAGTGCAATAATGATCTGTGAATCTCAAAAACACACAATTGTGCCAAAATGCCTGTACGTAAAGTGTTGTGAGAAAGTGCATCAGATCCGCGTCATGTGCTGCAACTCTTAAAGTGACAGCAGCCTAATGAATCTGTCATTGTCTTGTCTTGACTGAATAGCTTTAATAATGATTATTCTATATTCAATTTATAATTCATGCAGAGAAGTCTGAAAAGTGTTTGATAACTTTATTCAATTTCTGTATGTATCCATATTGTTAGATCTACTATATGTTTATAAGGTTACATGAGTTGAAAACAACTAAAACAATAACTTTTTGTGCATTTTAACAGGGCAAGTACAAATCTGAACTGGGCCAATAGAAAAGAATTGAGCCCTGATATATTGAAGGCACAGGTAAATATGACATTCATTACAGTGGGTTTACGTGAAGATTACTTCCAAGTTCAATTAAATGAAACGTTCTTTATTTTTTTAAAGCCTAATAAATATATAAATGTAGTTTCAGTTATAAATGAGTGGCTAAAATTTTCATAAAAAGTTTTTTTTTTTTTTAAATAAACGGCCTATATGTTGTTTAGAGTTCAAATGTGAAATGATTACAATATAATATACATTAATAATGTAACTGTAAGGTGTGATAAATTAATTAATTACAGAAAATGTGCGATTAATGAATTAATTTAATTAATTAATAAAATCTATAATATGTACACAATGCTAAAAATCCTAATGGTACTAAAGGCTTAATTTTCTAAACGCATTTATAACTTCATGAGACGTCCTTTCACTAACTGTCCCTTGAGAGATTGAGTGATAAAGTGTATTAAATAAACCAAATGTTAAATATTTCATAAGAGTGTGTTTAAACCGTGGTCCTGGTCCTCTGGAGTTCATCCGACGAACACCTGACTGTACTGTCCCGCTTGTTCGGGCCGGTTCTCGCCGGCCTTGTCCACGTGCTCCGGGAAATGAGGCTTCACGCAGGAGTTCACGGCCTCGGAAAGGTCGCCGGGCAGAGACCACATCCTCTTAGCGTGTTCGGCCACAGCGTCTTTATTGAGCTGAACACAGAAGAGAAGAAGAGACACCAGTGAACATCCAGAGACAAAGCGTACAACAAAGGGATACTTCACCCAAAAATGAAAATTAGCCCATGATTTAACACACTACTAACTCACTCAACCAGGCCCCGCCCCTTTATTCTGCGCATTAATTATTATAATGAGGAATATTGTGACGTGTTCGTTCCCGGAAGAAACTCAAGACTACGATGGAGGCGTTTCAGGAGTTCAGAAACACTGACACTGATACAGAGGAGAACTCCTGTTTTTTCATGTTCAATATGAAAAAAGTTCAAGAATATGGAATAGTTCAAAAATGGGTACTTATAAAGTCTAAATTGAAGAAAATAGAGGAGAAATTTGTTCCTATTGTTAAAATTGGGCCTTATAATTACGGTAATAATAATAAAAAGTACTTGTTTCCATTAGACGATTTTACAGTAGCAAAAATAAAGGAAAAAAAATCATCATCATCAAAAAAAAAAAAAAAAAAAATGTGAATTTGCATATATATCTAGTTTGTATCTTTTAGAGTCTGGAATAGAGGATTGTGTAATCCTGTACCAGAAATCCTTTCAATAAATATTACACACTTAAGAAAGATGAACATGACACAAGGCCGGCGTAATAGGAGCCCTTTTTAATTTCAGAGATTATCACACGAAGTTTAAAACCACAGATGGTTTATCTGAAGTGACACGAGCGACCAGAGATCTACAAGTCCTGAGGGATTCGAGCGCTTTATTTAAACCTTCTCCGTCTGTTCCCGTCAGCTGACGACTGAAGCACGAGAAACACAAATATATCCGCATCAATCCAGGTGTTATTAGACGGCACATCTGGGAAATGAACAGGAAGGTTCACTCATAAAGTCGTAATTCTGCGCTCAGATGTTAGTCAGATTCAGTTGCTGAATTAGTCACGGGCTTCTCTTCCAATTATTACAGTCATCGTTATTTCATTATTTCCTGAACACTTCTGCGGCCAAATCTGACATAGTGTATTTGAATTTTAATTTATTGACAGGATAGCCCCTTGAGATGCAACATCTCATTTTCAAGGGGGTCCTAAAAACATAAGTAATATACAACACAGACAACATAAGACACAACAACATTACAAAACAAGACTACAACAACAACAACAAAAAACCAAAAAAAACGTGAAACGGCATTCCCGATGCACTCATCTTTCAGAGTGAAACCGTGTGATTTTATCTCTGTTTATTTTGATGGTTATGATACCGTTCAAAAGTTTGGGGTCTCTTCTGCTCACAAAGAATGAATTTATTTGAATAAAAATAAAGTCTTTTGTAAAAAAAAAAAAAAAAAAAAAAAAAAAGACAGCGCATTCATTTTAATAGACAAACAGAGAACTGCAATCAAGGCATTTGTCGATCGGAAAGATATTTTTGGCGTCCTTCCTACATGATTCGGGAAAAGTGTAACTTATCATCTGGCTCTGATGAAGATGGGACGTAATGAAGAGCCTGTGGTCGTTGTGGTTTCTCCTTTGGTGGCACTCATGGAGAAGCAAGTAAAAGAAGTAACACTCGTTATTTAACTTCTAAAATAAATAAAGTTAGGCTACGTTCTGTATTTGAAATCTGCGCTATGCAAAGGAGTTGACTTATGCATTGATCCGATTGGTTGGTAGGTCTACCGACTATCCAATTGAGTGCAGAGGTTTTTGTTTGTCCTGGGTCGGTTACGACACGCCTCATAATCAAAGCCTAATAGAGCGGTTTCAGACTCATATTCTTTCTTGAATACGAGTATGACGAAGTCAGGCTATAAAAATACACTAATATTTCAATTTAAATCAACTGTTTTCCATATGAATGTCAAGTGTAATCTATTCCTGTGATCAAATCAATCATTACTCCAGTCTTCAGTGTCACATGATCCTTCAGAAATCACTCTAATATGGTGATTTGATGGTCCAAAAAATTATGATTATTATCAAACAGTTATTTTTCAGGATTATTTGATGAAACGAGAGTTCAAAAGAACAATATTCATTTGAATAACATTAGAAATGTCTTTAATGTAAATTTTGATCCATTAAACGCATCCTTGCTAATGCATCTTATGATTGTAGATGATATGATGTGCAGACGCAGGGAACGTGTGTGTGTGTGTGTGTGTTCACCTGACTGATCAGCTGTCTGATGTTGGCGAGCGTCGCGGCCTGTCTCTTCTTCAGACTCTGCTCTTGAGGAGAACCGTCAGCGCTGCTGGACTCTGCCGACTGAAGGAGAGTGTGTGTTACATGCGTGATACACAAACACGCATGCGCACACACATATGTGAAAAAACACCAATTAGTATGTTTTTAAGCCATTTGGTTTATGAGGGCACAGGAGAACCAGATATAAACACACACACACTAACCCGACCCCTAAACCTACCCATCACACACACACACTCAAATGCACAGCCGCCTGCAAACATAATGTCCCTCACACCTGGATGTCATGTGCACTTATACATGTCCTCAAATATGAATGTAACAGGATCACATGTGTGGTGTTAAACAAGTGGGCTGCACTGAACTCCAGGTCATGTGTGTGTGTGTGTGTGTGTGTGTGTGCGTGTGAGACGGAAGACAGAAGCGAGTCCATGTGCGGCTATTGTTCGTAGATCACGTTGAGCCGACAGACTCGACACTCATCACACACACTCCATTCAGTTCAAAGCTCATGTACTGTGGAATATTAATCTCTGTGACATTTCACTTTAACTCGCATCAAACCAAACCTGTCCCAAACCTCTTCAGACACACTCTTTCCCCGAAACATTTACTTTTAATACATATAATATTTATTAACAAGGTAATATTTCAATAATTCAACAACACATTTGCATGTTCATGATTATCTGATGTCAGTAAATGGTCACATGACTTGCAAGTAAACAAATTAAATATGTTATTTTGTATTATTTATTTTAAATGTGAATGATTTTATTATTAGCATTATTGTAATTTTTATTTGATTTATTTTTTAAGTTTATATGATTTAATAAATAATTAGTAAGCGTTTTATTTTAATTTTTTATAATTTTTCTATTATTTATTTATTTAAAATGTACATTTTTACGATTGAGTGTTTTATTTCGATTTTTTATTATTTTTACATTTATTTTACTTCATTTACATTTTTATAATTTAATGAATTCTTAGTAAGGTTTTAACGTTCATTGTTTTTATTGAAAATTTTAAAATATATATTTTACATTTTTATAATTTAATTATTACTAAGTGTTTTGATTGTTTTTATTTTTAAAATCAAACTTCATTTGAAATTTCTGATTTAATTAATTATTAGTAAGTGTTTGTTTTACAATTATGTATTTTAATATCATTTTTTATTTCATTTATTATTAATAAGTGTTTTATTTTCATAGTTTTTATTTCAAAATTATTCAAATCAATTTGACATTTTTATTATTTAATTAATTATTGGCTTTTCATGTTCTAACATAGGGTGACATTACAATGTTGCTAAACTAATCACACAATAAAAAAATAAAATAAAAAACATAAATATTGAGCAAAACACTACAATTTTCAATTACATTCGACAATTTTCCACATCTACAAATGCAATGACGCATGAAGTCGAGTGTTTGTGTTCTTATACTTGCATAGAGTATATTCTGAGCTTTATAAATACTGGTCTGAAAACACATGTTCTGTGAACTTTGCGTCTTAAACTTCAGTGACATTCAGTTCTGGCGGTGGAATTAATGGAGCGGGGAAAGAAATAATCAGAAAAGGGAATGAATTTGGATGAGCTGCATGAGCAGAAGTGAGTCACATGTTATTATGGTTCTCCCGCTGTAAACATCATGAGCCACATGTTCGTCAGTGTGAGCCGATCTGATCTGATCTGTGTGTTAAAACTCAACCCAAACCGGGCCTTTGTGTCCCACCGTCGTCATGGTTACGGGCTCTTGTCTCAACTGCACTCTCTCTTGTTCAATTGGCGCTCGTCTATTTTCCCTTGTGTGTTCCACTGTAGCAGACTATCTGCATACATGTGTGTGTCACCAACTCACACACACACTCTCACACTCACACTCACTCACTCTCACACACACACACGTTGTTCGACTGTAGCAGACGATGTGGTGTTTTACCGGAGCGTTATCGTTGTCAAGCTGCTCTGTGCTCTTGGATTTCTTCAGTCTGAAAAGGAGAGTGAGGAAACATGAGGATTTGTTCATTAAAATATTAATAATCAGGTTAACTGTAATATAAATGAGGCTTAATAAAGATACAGTCCACATTACAGTTTTTACAGTCGCAACACTCTCAGAAAAAAAGGTACAAAAGCTGTCACTGGGGCTGCACCTTTTCAAAAGATAAACTTTTGTCCATTTTATGTCCTAATATGTACATTTTAGGTGTTAATATGTACATTTTATGTCCTAATATGTACATTTTATGCGCAAATATGTCCATTTTAGGTCCTAATATGTTCATTTTAGGTGTTAATATGTACATTTTGTCCTAATATGTACATTTTAGGTGCAAATATGTCAATTTTAGGTGCTGATATGTTCATTTTAGGTCCTAATATGTACATTTTAGGTGTTAATATGTACATTTTAGGTGCTAAAAAGTACATTTTAGTTGTTAATATGTACATTTTATGTCCTAATATGTACATTTTAGGTGCAAATATGTCCATTTTAGGTTCTAATATGTTCATTTTAGGTGTTAATATGAAGAGTTCAGATGCAAAAGCCTCTAAATGCCATTTGAAATTTTCTTCTTTAATGATGATTTTTATCAAACTTGTATATTTAAGTTCAGTAATTTCACTTAAATAACAATTAATAGGTAATTATCATTGCCATTTAAGTGAAATTACTGAACTTAAATATACAAGTTTGATAAAAATCGTCATTAAAGAAGAAAATTTCAAATGGCATTTAGAGGCTTTTGCATCTGAACTCTTCATATGTACATTTTATGTCCTAATATGTTCATTTTAGGTGTTAATATGTACATTTTATGTCCTAATATGTACATTTTAGATCCTAATATGTACATTTTAGGTGTTAATATGCACATTTTAGGTGCTTAAATGTACCACTAAGGTACCAATATGCAGCCTTTGGGTACAAAAGTGTACCTTTTGAAAAGGTACAGCCCCAGTGACAGCTTTTGTACCTTTTTTTCCTGAGAGCTGTAGCACACACTTCTCAATACTAAGGTCACTTTTTCAAAACTCTTCACACACTGAGCACAACAGAAGTGTGTGTGGGCCAAACTGTGGATCATTTATCATTGCTTCGACACAAAATGCATTCAATGAGCATCTTCCAAATTACATTAATTATTTTTTGCTTCGACACAACAACCGCCAAAACTCTGTGTACCTCCAACGTACACACTGTTTTCAAAACTGTTAAACTTCAGTTCAATAGCATAATAGAAAACTGAGTAAGACAGAATTCTGCCGCATTTCTACTGTAATATTCTAATGAAATATGTTTCGAATCTAAAAATGAAATGGTATAAAAACGATTGGACAATTGGACATTTTTTATTTAGCAAGGACACATTAAATTGATCAAATGTTACAAATGTTTCTATTTAAAAGAAAATGTATCACTGCTTCATATAGTGTGTTTGTTGTGTGTGTGTGTGTGTGTGTGCGTGTGTGTGTGTGTGTGTAAGTGAGAGAGAGTGTGTGTGTTGGTTCTTACTTGTCTTTCTTCCTGGGCTCACTGAAAAGGAAAAACACACACTATGAGGCTGACAGACACTATGAATATTATACAGTACACATTTTATTTTATTTAGTCGTTCATTACTCTTTTTATTTCACTCGGAGAAGCTAAACGTGCAAACTTCAACATTGGTACGATCCGGATCCTGAGACACAGACCAGTGTTGAACACGTAATGCTCTTCTAGTGGGACGTGGTGTGTGTAAACATGTGTGATCTGTGCTAATGGGGTTGTGTGTTTGAATCCCACTCACACACACACACACACACACGCTCACGGTGCTTTTTGCTCACAATAATTAACAAACAAATTACACTCCATGGTGAAGAGGTCACCAACCTCTGAATCCCTAAACAAAACACACTCTCTCTCTCTCTCTCACACACACACACACACACACACACACACAGCTCTCTGATGCATTAGCCGGATTAAAACATTCAGAAGCTTGAAGCACAGAATGATTCATCTTTGTTCTTTCTTTCTTGCATTTTTGTTTTTTATTTCTCTCGTTTCAAAAGGTCACATGCACCGCAACAAATGCACAACACACACACACACTCACTCACAGACGACACACATGCTCACACACACACACACACACACACACACACACGCTCCGACACACACATACACATGCTCTCTCTCTCTCACACACACACACACATGCTTACACACAGATACAAACACACACACACACTCACTCACTCCCTTTCTCTCTATTTCTCACACACATGCTCTCTCTCTCTCACACACACACACACACACACACATACACACACACACTCTCATTCCCTCACTTTCTCTATATTTCTCACACACATGCTCTCTCTCTCTTTCTCTCTCTCACACACACACACAAACTCACTCCCTCACTTTCTGTTTCTCACACACACTCACTCACACACACACTCTCACTTTCTCTCTATTTTCTCACACACATGCTCTCTCTCTCTCTCAAACTCACACACACAAACTCACACTCACTACCTCAATTTCTATTTCTCACACACATGCTCTCTCTCTCGCTCTCTTTCTCTCTCTCTCTCTCACACACACACACACACACACACTCCCTCACTCACACACTCTCACTTTCTCTCTATTTCTCACACACACGCTGTCTCTCTCGCACACACACAAACTCATACTCACTACCTCACTTTCTATTTCTCACACACATGCTCTCTCTCTCTATTTCTCTCTCACACACACACATGCACTCCCTCACTTTCTATTTCTCACACACATGCTCTCTCTCACACACACACACCTGTTGAGTGCCTTCATCTCACTGGAGTGCTTCTCAGTGGCTGTTTCCAGGAGTTTGGTCAAACGCTGTTACAGGAGAGAAGAAAACAGTGTGTGTCACAAACACATTTCAGCAGAACCGAGAGTGACCCGGGTGTTTGTTTGGTCATAAGCCTAAAAAAAACCTTCATGGCAATCATGTCTTGATTAATTTGCTTGTTCGAGATATTTTCTAGCAGATTTACACCCGTCAATCATTATCTAAACGTACACACACACTGCTGATGTGTGTGTACCTCGGTGTTGTGTTGCTCTTTCTTCTTCTTGAGCTGATCGTGATACTCCACCAGCAGCGCTCTGAGCTCTGACTTCAGCTTCTGCTTCAGTTCATTCATCTGATCTCCTGCGTCTGCTCCTTCAGCTCCAGACCTGCACACACACACACACACACACACATCAGCAAGACACATTCAACTTCACAACACTCGTTTCTCTGCTAGAAACACAAGTGCATGCAAACTTCTAGACTGGATCAATGCTAAAACCACCATTGATCACATTTGTTCTTGTTCATTAAAATAAAGCTGAGGTAAATTGCAAAACAAATATTGAATTATGAAGTTCAACTTAAATCTAAGTTTAAACTAAGTTTAAGTGATGTGCTAAAATTACTAAAACTGACATCAAAAATAAATTAAAGCAAAGTAGAAATATTTGAAGAAAATTAAAATGACAAAAAAATTACTAAAACTTTAATTAAAATGAAAACTAAATATATGAAGAGTTCAGATGCAAAAGCCTCTAAATGCCATTTGAAATTTTCTTCTTTAATGATGATTTTTATCAAACTTGTATATTTAAGTTCAGTAATTTCACTTAAATGACAATTAATAGGTAATCTTCATTGCCATTTAAGTGAAATTACTGAACTTAAATATACAAGTTTGATAAAAATCATCATTAAAGAAGAAAATTTCAAATGGCATTTAGAGGCTTTTGCATCTGAACTCTTCATATATATATATATACAAAAAATTATCATTGAGATTTATTATATTTTTAATTTTTTTAAACGTTTTCCATTTTACTTACAATTTCAGTAATGTAGTTATTTTTTTTTTTTAGGTCTATATAATTTTTTTTTTTTGTTATTTTAGTACACCAAAGTTAAACTAAATAAAAATGAGAAATGTTGCTTTGAAATAAAACAAGTTTAAGTTTTCTTACATTATATTTTACTTAATATTTATTTCATGTCAACCGACAAAAATGTTTAATTGTTTTAGTTTTACTTTCAGTTAAACGAAATTACCCTGAACTGAATTTTTTTTAAGTAAAATGAAAGCTAACACTTTAATAATATAGTCGTTATGTGTCAGAGAAACAAGCGTGCAGCCATCTTTAAAACATTGTCTTTGAACGCTCTCTGCGAAGAGTAATTCTCTGCTGAACTGGATTATTGTAGAGTTAAAGAAAGTTATCGTGAGTATTGTAATGTTTGAAGCTGTCATAACAAACATCAAGATTTTAAAACGAGTGTTTAATTAATTCATAAATCCGTAAGATCTTTCCATCATGCTGTGGAAACACAAACAGACAGAATAGAAAAGGGGCGGAGCTACACACCTCCATGTAAATAATGCTCTAATAATAACAGTGTGTAATTGTGCATTTACTTCTTGGCTGTGCTCTTCTTCTTCAGCGCTTTGAACTGGTCGCTGTATTTCTGAAGGAGTTCTTCTCGTTTCTTCTGAAACTTCTTCTCCATGTCCTTCAGGTCTTTCTCTTGTTTCTTGGTGACCTTCAGGAAGTTCTTGTGCTGCTGCAGCTCTTCACAGGTCACAGTGGAGGGATCTGAAGATAATAAACCCCACAGTGAACGTGACCACAGGAAATGATGTCATTAATGACTCTCCCTGATCATGTCGGACCTCCGTTCATCTTCAAAACACAGTTTAATATATTTTAGATTTAGTCCGAGAGTCCAAGAACATGTGTGTGTACGGTATACTGTCCTTGTCCAGAAAGGAAATATAGGGCAGTCAGTTAAATGCGTTAAAGCAAAAACGCTGTTTTCAATAAAAAAAACATTTGCACAAAGCAAGCCGATCCACTTTCCATGTTGATAAGAGCATTAAAATGAGAAAAAATAATGACATTTATACCAGCATGTTTTTGGTAGTTATTACGGTAAAATTAATATCATGTCCAAACTCTCACCCTGGATAACTAAAGTAAGTAGCGAGTCATTGTGATGAAGTTAAACCGTATGGTGTCATGTGACCGGCTCACCTGAGGGATCAGAAGGGGTTTCCTCGCTGGACTCTTTGGTCTCCGTGACAACATTATCTGGATCTTCAGCAGGTTCTGGATCCGGATTTTCTTCTGGTGTCGATTCTGGTTCCGGCTCTGGTTCTGCTTTTTCTTCTGGTTTGGGTTCGGGTTCAGGTTCCGGTTTAGGTTCTGGTTCAGGTTGAGGTTCTGGTTCTGGTTTAGGTGGTTCTGGAGCTGGAGTCGCAGTGGGATTCTCTTCAGGCTTTTCACTGGGAGCCTCAGCTGGAGGAGCGACGTCGCCCTCTACTGGTTTCTCTACAGCTGACAGACAAACAAATATAGATGGATAGATAGGATGGATAGACAGACAGAAAGACAGATGGATAGATAGTTATTTAGATAGTTATTTAGATAGATAGTTATTTAGATAGATAGATAGATAGATAGATAGATAGATAGATAGATAGATAGATAGATAGACAGATAGATAGTTATTTAGATAGATAGATAGATAGATAGATAGTTATTTAGATAGATAGATAGTTAGATAGATAGTTATTTACATAGATAGATAAATAGATAGATAATCAATCAGTTCAATAAGAGTTGCAACATTCATCAACTATGAAACAAATTCATTTTCAGACATTTATAAGCAGCTTTACAGAAGATGATAGTCAATATTCAGCTCGATTCTGATTCAATCACTACTGCAAAGCTCATAAATTATAAAACAAATTTAATTCAACAATAAATCATCTTTACTTTTCAACATAATATGCATTTAATTTTATTCTCAATCTCACGTAGTGTGAGTGCAGTCAAATTGATATTTTAAAGGGATACTCCACCTTATTTTGGAAATAGGCTCATTTTACAACTCCCCCAGAGTTAAACAGTCGAGTTTTACCATTTTCTAATGTATTCAGACGATTTTTTGATATTTAGAAGAATATCAGTAACCAGTATATTTTTTCCTACTATGGAAGTCAATGAGACCAGAAACGGTCTGGGTACTGATATTCTTCTAAATATCAAAAAATCGTCTGAATACATTCGAAAACGGTAAAACTCGACTGTTTAACTCTGGGGGAGTTGTAAAATGAGCCAAAAATGATTTCCAAAAAAAGTGGAATATCCCTTTAAATGTTTATATTTATTAGAATACAAAAGATGCAGTCCTAGAATACTGTGATACTTAAATTGAGTGTGTGTGTGTGTGTGTTCACCTGGAGTGACGGACTTCTGGACCCCGTCAGCGACAGGTAACTCATATTCACACACGTATGTTAAACTCTGCGTAAAGCGAGAACTGTGTGAGACGTGCTTTCACATATTTCCACAATTATAAAAGCATTTACAATTTATAAGGTTTTTGATGAAAACATTCCAGCATTTTTCTCCATATATGGACTTCAATGGGGTCCAAATTGCTGTTTTGCTTGATAAGACCCTTTTTCATCGTCTGGTGTCGTTTAAAGCCCTTTGAACAGTTTGTACTGAAACTCTCATTTGGACCTTGAACCGTTTGGTCCCCATTGAAGTCTATTATATGGAGAAAAATCCTGGAATGTTTTCATCAAAAACCTTAATTTCTTTTCGACTGAAGAAAGAAAGACGTGGACATCTTGGATGACATGGGGGTGAGTAAATTATCAGCAAAAGTGTTTTTTAAAGTGAATACTCCTTTAATAATGCAGGTATCTGTGCGTCTGTTATTATCTGTTCATTTAACTCTACCTCTGTCTTCGGTGGCTTTGTCGTCTTCACTGGATTGAAAAGTGCATCTGAGAAATCTACAAGTAAACAATAATTGGCACACTTATTTGATGTGGTATGTTAATGCACACTGTAAAATCAGCTTGTCCTCCAGTGGCGTACCAGCGAACGCAGCCGGGATGTAGTCCTTCACCTCGATGTGCACAAACACGGACGGCAGTGTGAGAGGCATGTTGCTCTCACTGCGCAGACAGATGTGCTGGAAACCTGCAACACATCATAGGGTCATGACCCGGGGGATAATAACTCTGATGACTTCAAAATTGTATTTCAATTTTAAAAAGACTATTTTTATTCAATTGCTTTTAATAATCTGTAATTTGTGTTTTAATTTAGTTTGTCTGTCTGTTGTGTATTTTTATACTGGTGTGTAAAGCACATTGGTCAGCTTGCCTGTATAAATTGTGCTATATAAATACATTAACTACCAAATCTGGAGGACAAGGATTAGCCCTCAAACCGTATTCACTTTATAGCCCGTGGACAAATGTGGGCACAGAGGAATGTTATGAAATGAAATGTTATATCACTGTCTTCGATAAAGTTTTGTCTATCCACTTATGGTGTTTATTTTTTATTTTGGGGGTATTTTTGAATTTATTTACTTCAAAAAGAACCATATTTCCTATATAAATTATTCTTTTTTTTATGTTTTATTTTTACTTTTTTTTTTTAACTACATTAAAATATCATTCCAATAAGTTCTTAGAGATAAAACCTAAAGATGAAGTGACTTTGCTGACTTATTTTGGCTTATTTCAGAATGCTCTAAATTACAGTTTTTCCCATTCATTTCTATGGGTGCCAATTTTTGACCCAAATACAAGATTAAGGAGTTTTTTTTCACCCACTTAACATTGTAGAATTGAGTAAAAAAAAAAGATGTGTGTTCGGGAGGCAAACTTAGGAAATGTAGCCAAGTCTTGTACCGCTCAGATCAAGGGAAGTATTTTTTAAAATAAATTTAAAACTATTTTGCCCACATTTGTCCAGAATACGGTTTTGGGATTAAACAATCTACAAATTGACAAAAAAGTGCAATGAACTCGCTTCTTACCTGTCATCCTCATTTTTTGAGCATACACTGACAATTATTTGTATTAAATGATAAACCTCACATTTCAGCCTTTTAAGAAAACGAATGAGTCGATATGATTAATTACAGTTATTTTATCTGCTCAGTGAATAACTCTAGATGCCAATTTGTTAAATTTAGCTTGTTTTGTATCAACCCGTAAAAATGTTCAACAGTGCATAAAAATTCGCTTTGATTTTCACACGAATAAAGATGTAAATCCACTCTCTGACATCTGAGAATTATGCTTTGATAAATCATAATTATAATATTAATAGTCAAAATGATGACAGTCCTATTTATAAGATAAAAAGTCAAAATTGTGATGTACTATGTCATCATTTTAAGATTAAAATCAAAATTATGATATTAAAAAAAGTCGAAATGATGACATACTAATTCATAATTATCAGATAAAGGTTGTATTATGACATAATAAAAAATCATAAATATGGGATTAAAGTCAAAATTACGAGATTAAAGTCAAAATTATAACTTTAATAGTCATAACTTTGAGATAAAAAGTAGGGCAGTGCAAAAATTAATTCCGATTAATCGCATCCAAAATAAAAGTCTGTGTTTACATAATATATTTGTGTGTGCTGTATCTAATTATGTTGTATATATAAATACACACACATGCATGTATATATTTAAGAAAATGTGTTATTCATACATAAAATATTTTTATTTATATAAAATAGATTATGTATTTATATATATACACAGAATTTAAGCGCAAAGAATTCTTAAATATACACATGCATGCATAGGTATTTATATATACAAAATAATTATATACAGCACACACAAATATATTATGTAAACACAGACTTTTATTTTGGATGCGATTAATCGCAATTAATTTTTTCACAGCCCTAATAAAAAGTTATAATTATGACATAACAAGTCAATTTTGAAATTATAATTATGACATAGAACGTTTAAATTATTACATACCGTTTTATTACATAAAATGTGAATTCTGCCGGCATTCAGACAGTCTCATTCACACAAATACAGATTCGGGCTACAATCGCCTACATAGGCGAAATTTGTTTGACATTTAAATAATCGAAATAATAATTCTACTGGTAAACACAGCCATGTTGAATCCTGCAGTACTGTTTTTCACTGATGTTATGGCAGTCCACTCTGCTTATTGTTTTTCATTGTGCATGAAACTTCACGCCAATAAATCATCAGGGCCCGTATTCATAAAGCCCTATTTCATTCCTAATTACAAGCTTATGTTTGACCGAACCCGCTGAAGATCTCCAGTCTGACCTGTCTGAAGAGCGTCCAGAGGGATGATCCGGTGGCCTAAGAACTTCCCGCCCTCCTCCTGAACCACGAGCCGAAGGTAGGCCATCTCCGGCAGCAAGATCTGCTCAACACCACAGAGACCCTCAACCTTATGAAGCCATCATCATATTCATAATCTCATGAGCGGTAGATTACAGCGGCTGACCTTCTCGAAGACGAACGGCTCCTCGTTCCACTCCGGGTTGATGGCGTTGGGTGTGGGACTCCATTTGGTGCGGAATTTGCGTTTGGGATCTTTGGGCAGGCCGATGAGCTCGACCTCCACTCCGGTTTTTACATTCTTATCCGACAGGAACTGACCGGAGTAAATCTGAACACAAGTCACAACTCTCAGTAACGGTACAACTCAAGAAAGATTCGTTTAATTACATTACATATATTACAATGGTAACATTTCCTATTATGTTATTATTTTGTTTTTTTGTTGTTAGTAATTTTATATTTTTATTTAGTAGTAGTAATATAATAATAATAATAATAATAATGAACTAAAGTAATAAATAGATATAATGTATAATCAAAAATAAAAGCAAAAATGTAACAATATACAGGTTCGCATTTCGTGCAAAAGTTCATTTATTTCAGTAATTCAACTTAACCCTCAGGTGCTCTTCGGACATTTCTGACGGAAAAATTTTCTGTTTTGAATTTCTAAAAATCACAGCTTCATCGGAATGTTATGAAACTTGGTGACTTTTATGGCATTATGTATGTGAATACAAAAAAAAAATTAAAAATTGAGGTCATGATCCGAGCATGCCAAGTGGTCTTAAAAAAAAAAAAATCACACTTGTTGTTTTCGGTCAAAAATGACCCCCATAGGGAATGAATGGAAAATTGACAAACAAAAAAAATCACCAATTTATTTATTTATTTATTTATTTTTTACATTTTTTTAATAAAAAATCGTTTTTGAGATTGTTCCAACTATATATTCAAATCCACAAAAAAAAAATGTGTTCATAAACATCTGGGGAATTCACATGCTTCTCCATAGAGAGCTGTACGTGCCATCTAGTGGTTACACCATGATTTTACACTTTTTCTCTATACTGTAACCAGATGGTGCTAATTTTCTTCAAAAAAAAAAATATTTTTTTCTGAAGGCCTAAAATACTGCATTCATAATTTTTTGAAAAAAATAATCTATATAGAAAAATATATATATATTCCATGGCAAAATAGACCATAAATATTGCATAAATATTAATAAATTCAATCAAATTGTCTCAAAATACTAAATTACAAAGAATAAATATTATAGAACAAAAATAAATTGCATTGGTTTTACTGGGATGCAGGAAATTAAATTTTTAGGTGTCCGGTCACTTTTGACCGGGAAGATAACAAGTGTGACTCCGAAACGAAGAGCACCTGAGGGTTAAAAAAGGTGAAACTAATATATTATATAGACTCATTACATGCAAAGTGAGATATTTCAAGCCTTTATTTGTTATAATGTTGATGATTATGGTTTTCAGCTTATGAAAACCTTTCCACAATATTCTAATTTTGAATTTGGATTTTTCATAAGCTGTAATAATAATTAGTGCGATGGCTCTAAACTACCAAGGTCCATTGCCATGATTTTTGGAATGACTAGTCGCATAACATCAGTTAATGGAAACAGCGTCATTTTGCAATAGTTTTTTATCGATATTTAGAAAAAAATAGTGCAAATCTGTAATGGAAACGCGCCTAATTTCATATAACTATGCATTTCTGAGTTACCTTAATAGTGAGAGTGCTGGCGATGACGGTGTCGATCCTGTCAGTGAAGGGATCGAACTTCTTGTCGCTCCGGCGCACCACGTCGTGTTTGAGCAAGTAACCCGTCCTGCCGTTAAACTCGAACAGAGCCATGTTCAGCTGCATGGGGAAATCTACAGCATGAAATGATTAAAACTCAAACATTGATATAAAGAGCTGCTCTAGCTATTGGTGGACAGCTTTTAAAGGAGTAGTGCACTTACTGATCATTTACTCACCCCCATGTCATCCAAGATGTCCATGTCTTTCTTTCTTCAGTCGAAAAGAAATTAAGGTTTTTGATGAAAACATTCCAGCATTTTTCTCCATATAATGGACTTCAATGGGGTCCAAACGGTTCAAGGTCCAAATGAGAGTTTCAGTGCAGCTTCAAAGGGCTTTAAACGATTCCAGATGATAAGGGTCTTATCAAGCAAAACGATCGCTCATTTCAAAAATAAATTAAAAAGTATACGTTTTAAGCTCAAAAGCTCGCCTTGCTCTGTTCTGTGATGGGCGTTCGTGACTCTCCTGTTTGAACTCGTTCATCAAAATGAACGAATCTTTTTTCGAGAACCAAATGACTCGTTTAATCGAGTTCGAACAGGAGAGTCCCACTTGATAAGACGTCTGAAATCGTTTAAAACCCTTTGAACAGTTTGCACTGAAACTCTCATTTGGACCTTGAACCGTTTGGACCCCATTGAAGTCCATTATATGGAGAAAATCCTGGAATGTTTTCATCAAAAACCTTAATTTCTTTTCGACCGAAGAAAGAAAGACGTGGACGTCTTGGATGACATGCGTGATCCGTGATGGACTCACCCATAGTCTGGTAGTTGAGCGCCACGAACTGACAGCCGGCGCTCCAGAAGGGCTGAGGACTGTAGTTTGAAGAGTCCACACGGGTTCCTTTAGGGTAAATACGGCTCATCTGCCTCTTATTATATCTACAGTCATCAGTATAGGAAAGCACTGACACCCGTGCACGAGAAAACACCTTTACATTTACGCATTCGTTACACATTTTACATTCTTATCAGTTCACCTGTGAGTCATTTGAATCTAATTCAGAGGAAATGTAAAGGATACTCCACCCAGTCCACAGCGTTCTTGGCGATCAAACTCTCTCCTTTGGTTTCCACGAAGGACGAGATGACATAACTCCTGTTTTTCTCTGTATTTGGACAGAAACAGATGGTAAAAACACAGATCAAACCCTTTAGAGAGGTTCAGAGACATCATTTGTCAGCATTATGGGACAGAAGGACAACAGGGTCGGTCCTGTTACGCACAATATTAGATTTATAACACTTTACAATAAGGTCTCATTTGTTAAAGGGATAGTTCACCCAAAAATGATAATTAGCCCATGATTTACCATCCTAGCCTAGGTGTATCTGACTGTTTTCTTTCAGCCAAACACAATCAGACTTATATAAAAAATGTCTTTATAATGGGAGTGAACGTTACGCCCAAAAAAGTGCATCCATCCATCATAAAAGCCGTTTTTTATTGTGTAATGTTGCATCAGAGGAGGTTTTAGGTGCATTTACTATATGTATAAGTAAAATCAGGTCTGAACTCACTGATTGCGTTCTCAAAAGAGATGAATTTGTTGGGCTGTACGTAGTTGACCAGGGCGGACATCTCCTCGTACGCTGTCACTTCCTGTCCAGCGGTACCCTGAGAGGAAATGGATAAAATATCGGATAAAAAATATTAGATTAAATTCTGCAGTCCTAAAAGAGTGAGAGAGTCATTTGTGAGTCATTATTCTTCATTTAGCAAACAATTACTTATGAAAAGCAATAGTTTCACTGAAGCACACACTACTATTCGAATGTCTGGGCTCTTTTTTAATAGAAACTTAATACTTTTATTCAGCAGGGATGAATTAAATTGATAAAAAAAATGACAGTAAAGACGTTAATAATGTTACAAAAGATTCAATTTAAATAATTGCTGTTCTTTTGAACTTTTGATTCATCAAAGAATCCTGAAAAATAAACGTTTTCATCATTGATAATAATCATAAATGTTTCTTGAGCATCAGATCCTCATCAAGGTGGCTACAGGTATAAACAATTTAAATTTAAGACTTTTTAATACCACTTCTAAATTAAATTTAAGACCAAACTTACGATGGAAATATAAATTAAAAATGAAAATATATTGAGCTAATATTTCCAAGTAAACACACTGTCTGTTCAAAATGGTGAAATGACAATCACCAATGGTCAATTGCGTACATGCGGTCGCCTGTGGAGGAGTACAGTGGAGTGAAAAGAAATATAGAAGGCATTTTTATGAATTGTATGTTTTAAACAATAAAGTATATTGATAAAGGCTTAGATTTAGTTTTTATTAATAAAGGCATAGAACCAGATTATTTATAGTGTACTGAAAATAGTTTCATATAATTAGTTTATTAATTAAATTAATAAAAAGATAAAAAGACTTTGAGATATGTTTGATAATAGTACCTTTTAATTTAATAAATTAAAATTAATTCAGATCAATATTTGTTTTCCTTAATTTTAATTAACCCTAACTTTATTCTCATTATAAGAATTATAAATAATTGATTTCCGTATAAAATAATACTACAAACACTTAAAAATAAACAGAATAGTACCCTTACGTGGCTGGCAGAACGATGCATCTTTGCGGTGACATGACAAACATATTTAAGACCTATCCAATCTGAATTTAAGACAATTTAATACTTTTTAAGGCCTTATTTTTAGGAAAATTTATTTAAGACTTTTTAATACTTTTTAATGACCCGCGGCCACCCTGCTCATATTAGAGTGATTTCTGGAGGATCATGTGACACTGAAGACTGGAGTAATGATGCTGAAAATTATATATATTCACATTGAAAACAGTGATTTTAAATTATTATAATATTTCACTGGTTTAAATGTATTTTTGATCAAATAAAAAGCAGAAGAGACTTCATTTAACAACATCAAATATTCGTACAGACCCGAAACTTGTGAAGTAAACACTAGATACTTCACCTCATCGGAGTTCTTCATCTTCTCTTCGTCCTGTTCATCGTGGTCATCATGTTCTTCAGGCTCTACTGAATCAGTTACACATAAAATACCGCTGTTATTTTCTGTCCACAAATTACACAGCGGCCTTCAAAAACATATTTAGAGAGTATGTGTCTAAAGATATTTAGACACTCATGTCACACTTAGGGCCCTATTTTAAGGATCTTTCCTTAAAAGTGCCCTTAGGTCGTGTCCGAAATCCACTTTTGCTAGTTTAACGACGATTTGCACTTCATTATTTTTCCTGGTAATCTTGAATGGTGATGATTCCTGATGATTAGGGCGGGGCAACCTGTCACTCACATGAGATCAGCCAATAGCAAACCACAACCATCCAATCATCCATCAAGCCCCGCCCTACATTTGTTCTTGTTCCAGAAGCGTTTACTTCGGATTAACGGGAAAATAAGGAAGACGAGCAAAACCTCCCTTTCAAGTTCAACTTAAACAGTCTGCCGTTTCAGGACTGGTTTACAGATGAACTCACCGGTGGCCTGAGGAGCGTCGGTGCCTTCTGGGTTGGCCGGAGCAGGTTGGGTTGGATCCGTGGGCTGGTTCGGATCCGTGGGCTGGTTCGGATCCGTGGTTTGGTTGGACTCAGCATCTGCAGCGTCATTAGTTTGTTCTTGAGCAGGCGGTTTCTTTGCCTGTTCTGGTTTGCTCGGAGGTGCGCTGCTCTTCTTATTCTTGATCAGTATTTTACCCATCAGCTCAGACGGACTCGGGATCGGGTGACCCGGCTTGAGCTGAAAAACAAAGCCGCAGAAAATTACATTACATGAGATATATACTACTATCAGCTTGTAATATTGGTAACATTTTACTGTTACACTTTATTTTACAGTGTGTTACACGTGACATGTAGTTACTATAGTAATCAAACTGTGCATAATTGCATGCATCTAACTCTATAGTAAGTTCACAGTTAATTATTATTACTCAATTAAATGTATAATTGCACTCTTACACTTTATTTTAGGGTGTCATTGTCACAGTGTAATTATATATTTAAGTACTGAGTAATATTAAGCAAATACATGTAATTATTATAGGGTTAGGGTTTGGTTGAGGGTTAGTTGCATGTAATTATGCATAATTTACTCTTACTATGGGGAGTACATGTAACATATGCAACAAAGACACTGTCAAATAAAAAGTTACCAAATTAAGTTTAACCCACTTTACAACAATGCAATGCATTTGCATCTTTGTTGTTAAAGTTTGTAAATTAAAATTAAATATTGTAACAAATGCATTGCATTTACCCCACTTTAATGCATTTAAAACAATGCAATGCATTTGTTACAATATTTATTCATCTTTGTTGGTAAAGTTTGTTTTCAAAGCATCTGTTATAATATTTAATTTTATATCTTCAAACTTTAAGATGAATAAATATTGTAACAAATGCATTGCATTTACCCAACTTTAAATGCATTAAACCCACTTTAATGCATTTAAAACAATGCAATGCATTTGTTACAATATTTATGCATCTTTGTTGGTAAAGTTTGTGTGCAATACATTTGTTACAATATTTAATTTTAATTTACAAACTTTAAGATGAATAAATATTGTAACAAATACATTAAACCCACTTTAATGCATTTAAAACAATGCAATGCATTTGTTACAATATTTATTCATCTCTGTTGGTAAAGTTCGTATGCAATGCATTTGTTACAATATTTAATTTTATATCTTCAAACTTTAAGATGAATAAATATTGTAACAAATGCATTGCATTTACCCAACTTTAAATGCATTAAACCCACTTTAATGCATTTAAAACAATGCAATGCATTTGTTACAATATGTATGCATCTTTGTTGGTAAAGTTCGTGTGCAATGCATTTGTTACAATATTTAATTTTAATTTACAAACTTTAAGATGAATAAATATTGTAACAAATACATTAAACCCACTTTAATGCATTTAAAACAATGCAATGCATTTGTTACAATATTTATTCATCTTTGTTGGTAAAGTTCGTACGCAATGCATTTGTTACAATATTTAATTTTATATCTTCAAACTTTAAGATGAATAAATATTGTAACAAATGCATTGCATTTACCCAACTTGCAATGCAATGCATTTGTTACAATATTTATTCATCTTTGGTGTTAAAGTTCGTAAATTAAAATGAAAGCTGTTCCTTGTTAATTCATGTCAGCTCAGGTCTATTAAATAATAACAGATATAGAAGTAAATTAACATTAACTAAAATTAATAAACACTTTCTCATTGTTGGTTCATGTTAACTAATGTAATTTACTAATGCTAGCAAATAAAACCTTAGTGTAAAGTCTTACTGGTTTATTTTAGTTCATCTAACTGGTCACCATTCTATTTTATTTTACTTACTTTAACATAATTTTTATATCAGTTTAATAAAAGTTTCTTCACTAAATGACATAATTAAATATTTAATTTGTTTTTGCAAATATTCAACGTAGCCTACATAGTCTCTCAATCTATTTAGGCACATAAAAGCTAACGAAATATGCTAGAAATCTTAAATTCAAAATTAAATTATGCTAGCAACATAATCCATGCGTGCAACATGCTAAATCATTTTAGCAATGAGTTAAATCATGCAAGAGACATGCTAGCAATATGTCAGAAGTGTTTGAACCCAACAAAACCGTTTCCACTTTTGAACTCACAGGATATTTGTCCAGTAAATCGACGAGCAGAGCGTCTCCGAAGATAGTTCTGCAGTAGTTTGCCATCTTCTCCTGCTGCTTCACTCTGAAACAAACATATGAGCCTGTTTATAGCTCATAACTCAAACTCACGGTACGAGATATGAATGAAATATCATGGACGCGTCTCACGAATCGACGTGGTTCTCAAAGGAAAGCACAACAGGGTACTTGGATGTTTTGAAGGCACTCTCAGCGATGGCTTCAATCACGTCCTGGCATGAAGAAAAACAGGAAGTAAGTAAGTCGAAGTGATTAATAATCTGGTGTAAAGTTATCGAAAGACCGGCTCCTCATTATAATGAGTCTCCACTGCATCCCATAGTGACAGCGAGCGCTCTGATTGGAGGAACCGACCTTGAACAGGATCTCGGTTGTCATGGTGAAGCCGTGCGTGATGATTGGCTCTTCATCGGGTGGTTTGCCCTTCCAGCAGTCGAGCTCCAGACAGCGGCAGCCGGCGAGGAGACACTGGCGGTACATCTCCGGGGACGAGACGCCCGTCAGCTGCCCGGCTGAGGGAACATCCAAACCAGGTTATCTCTTTCTATATCACAAACTCTAGAAGTGTTCAACACCCTAACCCTCTGGGGTCTGAGGTGTTTTCTGGGGTCTGAGGTGTGTTTTGACGTGCCCTGAGATTTGTACTCCTTTTCGTGGCTAAAGTCTGATTGCACTGTATTCTATGGAAGCTTGTTTCCGCCACAGAATAAAACATTTAAAAAAGAGTTTACAGAATTGCATTTCTGTAAACTCTTGAAATGCATGATAAAGTCACAATTGCAGTTATAAAATCAGAACTGCGTGATATAAAAAAAGTCAGAATTGCATGATATAAAATGCGCAATTGCGAGATAGTCAGAATTGCAAGATATAAAGTCAGAATTGCGAGTTATAAAGTCAGAATAGCATGATATAAAGTCAGAATTGCGAGTTATAAAGTCAGAATAGCATGATATAAAGTCAGAATTGCGAGATATAAAGTCAGAATTGCGAGATATAAAGTCAGAATTGCGAGATATAAAGTCAGAATTGCGAGATATAAAGTCAGATATGCGTGATATAAAAAAGCCAGAATTGCATGATATAAAATGCGCAATTGCGAGATACAAAGTCAGAATTGCGAGTTATAAAGTCAGAATTGTGAGATATAAAGTCAGAATTGCGAGATATAAAGTCAGAATTGTGAGATATAAAGTCAGAATTGTGAGATATAAAGTCAGAATTGCGAGTTATAAAGTCAGAATTGCGAGATATAAAGTCAGAATTGTGAGATATAAAGTCAGAATTGTGAGATATAAAGTCAGAATTGTGAGTTATAAAGTCAGAATTGTGAGTTATAAAGTCAGAATTGTGAGTTATAAAGTCAGAATTGCGAGATATAAAGTCAGAATTGTGAGTTATAAAGTCAGAATTGTGAGTTATAAAGTCAGAATTGTGAGTTATAAAGTCAGAATTGCGAGATATAAAGTCAGAATTGTGAGTTATAAAGTCAGAATTGTGAGTTATAAAGTCAGAATTGCGAGATATAAAGTCAGAATTGTGAGTTATAAAGTCAGAATTGCGAGATATAAAGTCAGATATGCGTGATATAAAAAAGCCAGAATTGCATGATATAAAATGCGCAATTGCGAGATACAAAGTCAGAATTGCGAGTTATAAAGTCAGAATTGTGAGATATAAAGTCAGAATTGCGAGTTATAAAGTCAGAATTGTGAGATATAAAGTCAGAATTGTGAGATATAAAGTCAGAATTGTGAGATATAAAGTCAGAATTGCGAGATACAAAGTCAGAATTGCGAGATATAAAAGGTGCAATTTCCAGAAAATTTTCTTTTTTCCTCAGAATTGCATGTTTATATTTTGCAATTCTGACTTTTTTCCTCACAATTTTGAGTTTTTATAATCCCAATTCTGACTTTATAACACACGATTGGGATATATAGTCCAAATTGCATAACATAAACTCACAATTACGTGTTATAAAGTCAGATTTGCGAGAGACAGTATAAACTCGCAATTGCGAGAAAAAAGTCAGAATTGCGAGTTTATACCATTTAATTCTGAGAAATAAATAATAACATCATCCGTTATCATTTAAATCAATTATCGTTTTTTTCTGTGGTGGATGTACAGCATGTACTGTAGGCCGATGTAAAAGTTTTTAGTTTTGAATCGGCTGAAAAAATGGCATTTATGCGTTATTGAAATAAGGCCGATATGAAACATTATCTACGTTTGAGCAGATAACACTGTTAGTGTAAACGCTCATGTTACTTTTAAATAGTAGCCTACTGTGTTTTATATAAAACATCCTAAGTTGTGTCCTACAGCATTCAGATGTATTATGTTACATTGAAACATAATGTAACATCTAGCATTGAAAGTTTGCCGACCTGCCTAACCATTTCATATATATAAATAGTATCTAATAAATATAAAATAAAATATATAAATACTATAAATCTTTATTTTACAGTTTTGTTTTACGGTAAGTGTACACAAATAAAAATAGACCCTTTACAGTTTGGAATGAGGTATAACACTTGTTATACAGTATTTTAAGCTCTTTTCGCCCAGAGGGTTGAAGTGTATAACTGGAAAACGAGTGTGTAAGTCCGCATGCAGAGGAAAGGAGAGCGGCGTTACCTGTGAGATAGGTGTTGTGGGAGGACTTGACGTAGTAATGTGGCAGAGGTTGAGTCATGTCGTGACTCTGGGCCAGTTTGTCCTGCTTCACCACGGATGTTTCAGATCCCATCAGATAAAACATCAAACCTTCAGGAGAAATCTGACCTGCAGAAGAGAAATCTGTCTGTCATTGCTCAAGCAACATCTACAATACTCTTGTGTCATTCACTGACATGATCTTTGTGAAACACTTCTGTTTTAGTGACGTCTTTCTGTGGTCGAAACACTCTTGATCGATTACATTACGATTATAATTGTATATTTTGATAAATAATACAATGTGTCTTTCTTTGATTCATGTCAATAAGTGTATGCTTGTTTCCATCTGTTTTGTCTGTAATTAGCAGATGGTCTTTGTATTTGTCCGCTTGTTGTTTTACATTTTGACGCTATAGAAAATAAACATATTATTATTATTATTATTATTATTACATAAGACATGATTGATTTCAGTAAGTTGTTCTCCACTCCTGATGTTCACTAACGAGTAGTACAGAGGAACAGTTCATTGGTTCATATGCACCAAAACGACTTTTATTGTTTGAATTTTTTTATTAACGAAAACCACACATTGATCGATCATTAAAGGAGTAGTTCACTTTTGAAAAAACTTTTGCTGATAATTTACTCGCCCCCATGTCATCCAAGATGTCCATGTCTTTCTTTCCTCAGTCGAAAAGAAATTAAGGTTTTTGATGAAAACATTCCAGCATTTTCTCCATATAATGGACTTCAATGGGGTCCAAACGGTTCAAGGTCCAAAAGACAGTTTCAGTGCAAACTGCAAACTGTTCAAAGGGCTTTAAACGACACCAGACGATGAATAAGGGTCTTAACATGCGAAACGATCGGTTATTTCAAAACTTATAGCTAGCCTTGCTCTATTCTGTGAGGCGCGTTTGTAACGTCACGTAATACGTAATTACGTTCAAAAGGTCACGGGCGGCGTAGCCGGAAGTACAGAGTCAGTGTTTACAAGTTGAACGCATAGGTTGAACGTGCAAACCAACTCAAACGCCGTTTACAAAAAAAGGAATTAAAAGGTAAAACAACGATGTCGGGCGATTTTGACTCTGTACTTCCGGCTACGTCGCCCGTGACCTTTTGAACGCAATTACGTATTACGTGACGTTACAAACGCGCCTCACAGAATGGAGAAAGGCTAGCATTTGTCCTTAGAAAAGTTACATTTTTGGAATAAGTTTTGAAATAACCGATCGTTTTATTAACTGTCTTTTGGACCTTGAACCGTTTGGACCCCATTGAAGTCCATTATATGGAGAAAAATCCTGGAATGTTTTCATCAAAAACCTTAATTTCTTTTCGACTGAGGAAAGAAAGACATGGACATCTTGGATGACATGGGGGTGAGTAAATTATCAGCAAAAGTTTTTTCAAAAGTGAACGACTCCTTTAATGTGTTATAATCATTAATCTGCAGTTGATTTGCTTGTTGGATGTGAGGAGGAGCTCACCACGGCTGGCGTTGGACGAGCTCGGCTCGTATTTCTCGATGAGGGTCTTGACCTGCTCGGTTCTGATGAGAGGAAACAGCTCTTCGTTGAGGCGGCAGTCTCGTTGTTTCTCATTCAGGAACTTCGTCATCATCTCCTTCGTCATGAAGCCCTTTCCTTTGGTGCTATAGGGTGTCATGATCAAACACTGATGAGTAATGAGGAAGTGGAGGTCATGTTATCAGTGGAAGAGTTTCACTCACAAGGACGTGAAGATTTCATTGATTTCAGGTCTGGGACAGAGATTCATCAGGAAGGCCTTGAACGCCGCCTCGGTGAACACCTCCGACTTAATGCTGTCAAACTGACCACACAAGACATCTGATGCTTGAATACTGCATAAACACACACACACACTCACAGAAACACTCACACACAGGGGCGATTCTAGGATTTTCCTTTTAGGGGGGCTTAGCCCTAAAAAATAAAAAATAAATAAATAAAAAACAAGGTAAAAGTTTAATTTAGGGTTTAATGCTCATTTTCATTACCATGCAATTGCAGGGTTTTATAATCACTGTAGTCCTGAACTTGAGTTGTGTTACTCGGGGTTCGGGGTTTCCCCAAGAAAATTTTGAATTCTCTGAACTATTATGTGCATTTTAAGATGTTTTGAAGCCATTTTTTTTTTTTTTTTGGATAAAACCATGTCAGTGGGCAGCTGATTATTTTTCTCTCCTCATCAGCATCACACTCTTTTTCTCTCTGTTTTTCTCTTTCCCTCCTAAAGTTGAGCTTTGACTGATAATAGGCTTTTCATTTTTGTAAAAAATGTCTCACAATGACAGTAAACGAATTATTACATTAGGCTGACGTTACAATTTCAGTTCAAAAGGGCGAAATTAGATAAAACTATATTAGTTTTCCTGATTATTTTTTGAAGCACCCCCTAAAAAGGGCCTAGTGACGCCCCTGCTCACACTCACACACACACACTAGGGTGACCACCATCAAACAAACCAAATGTGGGACATTACCAACACTAAAACATACCCTGAAACTGTTATATAATGTCTATCTAACTTGATAAAAACATTTATATTCTGCCTTTCAGCTGATAAAAATGATTTGTTCTTTAGTCCCTTCCAGAAAAAAAATATTTTTTTTCCAAAAAAAAAAAAAAAAAAGTCACTTAAATTCAGCATCACTGAGCCCAAAGGCAGCAGGAATCATGTATATAAATATTTTAGAAACAGTTCTGACCAAGTCCAACAAAATAAACAATGAACAAATAAAATATAAAACAACATGAAATTAGATAGACAGTCTTATATATTAAGAATATATTAAAAACCAAAACCGTTCATATTTTTAGAAAGGATGTGAATTAAAACAACCACAGATATACAGATATATTCCGTTAAATTAAAATTTTAATTTACATAATTATCCATCTGTTTTCCGACAGGGAACATATGAAGAGTTCAGATGCAAAAGCCTCTAAATGCCATTTGAAATTTTCTTCTTTAATGATCATTTTTATCAAGCTTGTATATTTAAGTTCAGTGATTTCACTTAAATGGCAATGATAATTACCTATTAATTTTTTTTTTTTTCAACATTGTATTTATTGATTTTAGAAACATTTACATTAAAACAAGCACAGAAAGAAAAATAAAATACAAAAATACAAAATAAAAATTAAATAAATAAAAAAGAAATAATAATAAAAACAACAACGACAACAACTATACTATACAAATGTCAAGACAATGGTACATTAATAACATAATTTGTTATTCCTGGTTACACCGAAACAATTACCTATTAATTACCTATTAATTGTTATTTAAGTGAAATTACTGAACTTAAATATACAAGTTTGATAAAAAATCATCATTAAAGAAGAAAATTTCAAATGGCATTTAGAGGCTTTTGCATCTGAACTCTTCATATATGAAACGAATCACCGGTCCACATTTTGATTGACAGCCGTCACAACCAACGAGTGATCGTGTTTACTCCTTTCTTTTCAACCATTGGATAGAGTATAGCTAAAACACAGCTGTTGTATTTATACTTATGACGAAGCGCCGCAAACTACGCAGCAAAAGTAAAAAGTAGAATGTTTTCTCAAAAAGGCAAAAGAACGCATGCACGTTTTCTTAATATGATATTAAAAACTAATAGACTGATGAAAATGCGGGACATTTCCTCAATATGCGACGTGCGGGACAAGGGGTGAAAATGCTGTGCAGTAAAACGCAAAGCGGGACGGGTGGTCACCCTAACACACTCTCACACACACACACACACACACACACACACACACACACCTTTCCCTTGGGGAGGTTTGCCGCAGTCAAAGCAGCTTCCACTCTTTTCTTGTCTGCAGGAAACATCTTAAAGATACTGAGATCAAATCAGATCATTATGAGTCAACATGGAAATATTACCTTAAAACCATTCGCACATATAAAAGTTTGGGTTCAGTAAGATTTCTGATGTTTTGAAAGAAGTCTCTTCTGCTCACCAAGGCTGCAGTTATTAGATCATAAATACAGTAAAAACTGCAAATCCATGTGAATATATAAGTGTATAGTGTAATTTATTCCTGTGTCACATGATCCATCAGAAATCAGTCTAATATGATGATTTGATGCTTATAATTATCCATGTTGAAAGCCATGATTTGTTTTTTTTTCAGGAAAGTTCTAAAGAACAGCATCTATTAAAAATATAATCTTTTTTACTGTCACTTTTGATCAATTTAATGTTATTTTTTAAATCTTACTGACCCCAAACTTTTGAATCATAAATATATCACTATTTATGGCTATATATACACTTATACGCTATATATTTTATTTTTATTTTTTCTTACTTTTTAACAGGGATCTTTCCATCTTTGTTGGTTTGCAATGAGAGCCGAACATACCTATAGCAGACGGAATGAAGAAGCCGTCAGTGTAATAATGATCACGAGTGTGTTATGAGTTATGAGTATGGCTGAATATCCTCACACTTTCTCCAGGTACAGATGTCTGCTGGCGTTCGCTCTCAGTGTGTTGTACGCGATGGCCAGGATGTCGTCCGCCCACACCTGTGCACAAACACACTGAGTTAACAGGTTCATTCGGACGTTTCATACTCTCTGTTCAGATTCATTTTAATAATAGTGCTGACTGATGGGTCAAACCCAGCCTGAGTGTATTTCAGTCAGATGTGTGTAGAGATTCATTAGATTCATCCACCAGAGGGCGTGTGTCAAACACCAGTGCTTTGAGCCACACACACACACACACAACAGATCTGCACTGCAGGTTATTGGCGGCAGGATATGAAAATCATGAACTCATAAACTCATTTCCTAACCACAATTACCAGAGACTGATTTGAATCTTCTGATAAATCCATTCATTCACTGAAAACATCTATCTATCTATCTATCTATCTATCTATCTATCTATCTATCTATCTATCTATCTATCTATCTATCTATCTATCTATCTATCTATCTATCTATCTATCTATCTATCTAAATAACTATCTATCTGTCTGTCTATCTATCTAAATAACTGTCTATCTATCTATCTATATAACTATCTAAATAACTGTCTATCTATCTATCTATCTATCTATCTAAATAACTGTCTATCTATCTATCTATCTATCTATCTATCTATCTATCTATCTATCTATCTATCTATCTATCTAAATAACTATCTAAATAACTATCAATCAATCTATCTATCTAAATAACTGTCTGTCTGTCTATCTATCTATCTATCTATCTATCTATCTATCTATCTAAATAACTATCTACCTATCTATCTATCTAAACTGTATCTATCTATCTATCTAAATAACTGTCTATCTATCTATCTATCTATCTATCTATCTATCTATCTATCTATCTATCTATCTATCTATCTATCTATCTATCTATCTACCTACCTATCTATCTATCTATCTATCTAAACTGTATCTATCTATCTATCTAAATAACTGTCTATCTATCTATCTATCTATCTATCTATCTATCTATCTATCTATCTATCTATCTATCTATCTATCTATCTATCTATCTATCTAAATAACTATCTAAATAACTATCAATCAATCTATCTATCTAAATAACTATCTATCTGTCTATCTATCTAAATAACTGTCTGTCTGTCTATCTATCTATCTATCTATCTATCTATCTATCTATCTATCTATCTATCTATCTATCTAAATAACTATCTACCTATCTATCTATCTAAACTGTATCTATCTATCTATCTATCTATCTATCTATCTATCTATCTATCTATACTGTATCTATCTATCTAAATAACTATCTATCTATCTATCTATCTATCTATCTATCTATCTATCTATCTATCTATGCTGTATCTATCTATCTAAATAACTATCTACCTATCTATCTATCTATCTATACTGTATCTATCTATCTAAATAACTATCTACCTATCTATCTATCTATCTATACTGTATCTATCTATCTATCTATCTATCTATCTATCTATCTATCTATCTATCTATCTATCTATCTATCTATCTATCTATCTATCTTTCTATCTTTCTATCTATCTATCTATCTATCTATCTATCTATCTATCTATCTATCAAAAGTATGAGCATAATTAATATAATTATGAAGTATGATACCTGGGCCACTTCTTTGGCAGCAAAGAAGTTGTGGTACGCGAGGTTGACGGTGTCGGGGCCGGTGACGATGGTCAGCGCTTTGGCCAGATGATGACTGTCAGGGAAGTCCATGTTGAACACATTACGAACTTTTGGATGCTGAAAGAGTCAAACAATCATAAGTCATTCCTTCAGAACATGAAAAGCTACTTCAAATTACCAGGACACTTTATATCTCTGAAGATCACTGCATCAGATATCAAAATATCAAAGCAAGCGATCCTGAAGAAAGAGTGAAAACTCTAGTAACGTCAAGCATCTCATCCATAACGTCTGCTTTCCATACATCAGCAACCCCAGAGCGGCAAACAAATCCGGTCAAATGCAAATGAGCGAAGGGAGACATACGAGGCCAGCAGCTGTGTGTCACGATATCAATACATCAAATATAATGTCAATAATATTCTGTTTACATTTCTAATAGTGTTTTAAAATGTGCGTGTCAGAAATGCTCCTCGATTAGGATGAAAGCATAAATGCATAAATGTCTTTGTGAGAAGGATGATCAGTATTTTCATATTTTAATGCTCAATCTCTGTAGTTGTTTGTGATCTGGAGATGAGTTATGATTGCTGTGGAAGTGTGTGAACGCTGTTTGCAAGGCAAATTCACACAAATACTGACTCTCGAACACTGACTCTTCATGCGTTATGCAACAAAACACACGTTACACAACATGATACGGCACATACTTTCGGGGCTTTGGCATATTTTCCTGCTCTCGTGTCCCTGATGGTGGAGATGTCCAGAAACTCTGTTTCCTGCAGGAAATGACATCACAGAACAGGATCAGAGCAATAACAGGAATCGCTCAAACTAGCGCGATGTTCGCAACGTCAATATCAAGGGTTCGATTCCACAATAACGGAATGATCAAATGTACAGATTTTATTACTAGAATAAAATGTCAATGATTATGTGATTTTTTGACTCACACACAAACACACGTCGGCGTCTCTAATGAATATTATATCTGGATGATGCTGTTTTAGGCATGATAGGTTGGAGCTTATAAAACAAATCTTAAATATTAAAATGTAAAAATATATACATGTGATAAAAACGTCTATGAATGTCTGTAGCTCAAACTAAAGCATGATGTTCGCAACGCCAAGGTCATGGGTTTGATTCAGCACACATAGCGAGATAAAAACAATGTAAAAATCTGTAATACATAAATAAACATTTTTGTACAATTATTGTAGAATAATAGCAAACAAGACCTTACAAATCACATGCTGTTGTCTAGAGTGTGTTACATAGTAATTATATAGTAAATGTGTTATAATCTATGTTATCAAGTGTTATAAATCTATTAAAAATAATTCTTGTAGTAATAAAGACGAAACCATATTTTACGAAACATTTCAACTTAATATGATAATTGTTACACATATAGTTGAAGTACTAACACTAAAACTGAAAAAAATAAGCAAAATGTTTTTAAAAGTGTGATATAAAATAAACTATATATTTTAAGTACAGTTAAACGTCACACTCTAAAAAATGCTGGGTTGTTTGAACCCAAATTTGGGTCAAATATGGACAAACCCAAATGTTGGGTTAAAAATGTAATTTAAAATTTGAACCCAACTTCAACTTTCAATTGTACATTTCTAACCCAACATTTGGGTTTGTCCATATTTGACCCAAATTTGGGTTGAAGCAAACCAACGTTTTTTAGAGTTATACTTTGTCCTTTTACACTGAAATTCTTCTCTTCGACGGGTAATTTGCATGACAAATGGCTGATTTTAACACTGTACTGCGGTAATACTGTGGTTTTTGGACATTTAGTAGTATGACTAAGCTCAATGTAAATACTGCGGTGAAATAATATGGCAATCATTCAATATCATGATATGTCAAAACACTGTGTTATTACGACTTCAGGTACGTGATTTAGAATAATAATACAGGGGTAAAAACACATAAAACAAAGAAGATGATCTCTGAAATGCATAAAGATTAGACAAAACATGAGATTTGGGTCCACCTGACATAAAAAGACCCCACAGAATAGATTTATTCTTATAATAAACTGATGTTGCTGTGTCTGACCTTGCTCTGGTTGACCCAGTACAGGTAGAAGCCCTTGGGGTCCATCTTCATGGTGACCGGAGTCGTTTTCTTGGAGTCCTGTCAAGAGATTTGATTGTAAAATTCGATTCCCATGACACAAATGAAGGTTTGTGACGAATTTAAAATCATAAACGACCCGTTTTCATTAAAGAATTGCTGATGTCACATAATAATTAATTAGAGATCATCATGTCCAGAATACGCTCATGTTGACTTACTTCTTTCCATTTTGTGAACCTGTCTCCCTTCACGAGATAGTCTTTGATATCGGGTGGCTGTAGCGTGGGACGGGTTCGAATCATTTTGGTCTAACGCTTCAACTCATTGTCCCCAGATAGAATGACGAGTTTGGGGAAACTCACTGAAACGAGCCGGTAGGACGTCCAGCCTTCCATATGCATTGCAAATGAGTGTCCCACCCAGCTCTCAGCATACACACAACCCAACACACACAACCCAAGCATACACACAAGCCAACAACAGAGTAGCACATGTCCATATGTCGAAGTCCACATTTATGATCTATGCATTTTCAATTGCATATCAAATTTCCATCCGTTTGGATTATGTGTGTGTGTGTGTGTGTGTGTGTGTGTGACCTGGATGGAACTTTCTGCACTCTAAGAAATCATGGCAGTTTATTAGTAGCTATTTGCATCTATTTGGTTTTATTTAAATGTTTTTGTTTTTTTCAAAATGCATTTTTTAAGAATCAGTATAAATCTGTTCATTGTGAAAAAAATATATTTAATCAGTTAAAAAGTATCTCAGGCTCGCTGTTGAACAAACTGGACTTTGATAAATATAGAGTATAATACAATACATCATACTTGTTATTCATTATTATTGGCCTACATATAAAGAAAACATACAGTATATAATGGTTAACTAAAACCAAATTGTTACTTGAAATAAAGTAAAAATGAAATGAAATTAAATGACGTACATGTTTCATCCCGGATATGCATGTATTTGTCTGTAAAATGAGTGGAAATTTTACATGCAATTCAAATACAGAAATCTTCCTAAATATCAAACCAGCTAAATGTTCTCTGAACGGTCTAACAGTGTTGGGTAAGTTACTCTAAAAAAGTAATTAATCACTAGTTACTAATTACCTCTTCAACAGTGTAATTAGATTACTGTACTAATTACTCTCTCTAAAAAGTATTTTGAACTTTTAATTACTAATTACTTTCAAAATCCCATATCAATCTCAACCAGCTGAATAATACAAGGATAGACATAAATCTGTTTTAATTCTTTCAAATAAATACTATAAAATTGCATGAATTATCCTTAAACTGACCAAGGTGGAGAAGGTTACATTATAAAAACATACTTTTTAGCATCAGACAATACATTTTGATGTTAAACCCACTATTGTTTTATTTCTGATCTCATGACATTTCACACTTTTTTCATACATATTTTACAATAATTCATACGAATTTGTACGAGTGCGGTCGTAATATTTAGACACACCTCATATAAAATGCATACGAATCTCTGTGAGATCGGATTGATTTACCTCAATTACATCAGAAGTAACTGTAATTAAATTACAGAGTAATCCCTTACTTTACATTTTCAAGGGAAAAGTAATTCAATTACAGTAACTAATTACTTAGTAATTAGTTACACCCAACACTGCAGTCTAAATGTCCAGTTTTAAAACTGTTTAAAAACTGTTAAGGGAACATTCCATTTTATTATTCTTCACACAGAACGTTACATTTAAATCATCTCTGAACATTCCAAAACCGCTAAAAACATTTTTAAAAAAGGCAAACGTCCAACTAAAGCGTTTCAGAAGAACATTCCATGAGTGATGTATAAATAATGTTTTAGTGCTAATAATCTGTGGAAACCATTAAAGACCCGATAACTTTAAATAAACGGTATATTAATGTTACTGGAAGAACATTTGATCATAACTTTAAGAGAAGCTTGACAGAACATGAGAACGTTCCCTGATATCTGACTGGTCGTTAACCGATCATAATGAGCATCATAACGAACAAGCATAATGACAAGGACCAAGCGTGTGACAATAGTAATGATGATTACGTATATGAAGAGTTCAGATGCAAAAGCCTCTAAATGCCATTTGAAATTTTCTTCTTTAATGACGATTTTTATCAAACTTGTATATTTAAGTTCAGTGATTTCACTTAAATTGCAATGATAATTACCTATTAATTGTTATTTAAGTGAAATTACTGAACTTAAATATACAAGTTTGATAAAAAATCATCATTAAAGAAGAAAATTTCAAATGGCATTTAGAGGCTTTTGCATTTGAACTCTTCATATATTCTCATCGCTGCGTGATTGATGGGTCTCTGTAAGGTGCGGCACACACACACACACACACACGTCAGAGATGTTTCATTAGTATGTTGATGAACTAAGCAGGACTGGTTGAGTAAAGCCACAGATATGAGTGAGCAGAAGGAGCTGTGCTTCAGAATCATGTTCGTGTCGTTTGGCTAATAGTCAAATATGAGCCTGTCCGGCGCTGACACATGTAAATCATCACATTAACATGAGGCTGTTCCCAAAACTACAGTGTGTGTTCACTCAGTTCACTTCACAATGCATGAGAAGGAACAACTAAACACTATCAACAAGGAGTTGTGTAAATCAATATCAGACCATGATAGTGACTTACATATGTTTGTGTGTGTATGGGAGTGTGTGTGTGTGTGGGGGGGTAAGGGGAGAGAATATGTACAATAAAAAGTCATTATGTCAATGGGAGTCCTCATAAAACATTAAAATACAATGGGTGTGTGTGTACATGTTTTTCTATCCCGGTGGGGACTTAAACCTGAACGCACACAGACTCATGGGGACTCGTGTCATTGTGGGGACATAAATTGACACGCTTGTAAATCATACAGAATTCAATTTTTTTTTTTTTTTTTTTAAAGTGTGCTTGCATGTGTTTGTGTGTGTGAGAGAGAGACACACACACACACACACACACACACACACACACACACACACACACACACACACACACACACACACACACACACACACACCTGCATAGGTACGTCTCAGCATCCCTGACGCCATCTTCATCTTCATCTTCAACATCACTTCAATATCAAGTTTTCTGAAGGATTCATTCAAAGCTAAATCTGGAAAAAGGGTTATAAAAAAGTTGTTAATATTATTGAATCATACTTCTTAACAGATCATTAATACTTGTACATTAAAATAGAAATGTCATTATTGATAGAGGATGTATTTTATCCAAAGTGAACAATCAGTATAATCCGTAATTAGTTAATCAATAATCAGTAAAAATATCAGTTAAAATATTTCAAAATCAGTATCAAATATAGGTCTAATACATACTGTTCTAATTATTAAAAATAAAAAGCAAGAAATATCTTCTTAATACTTATCATAGTAATTACATTATTGTTTAATGTACAATAATAGGCTATATATATATATACAGTCGTGGTCAGAATTATTACTAATCTTGCATTGAGACGACAGACACACGTCTTCTTCAGGAAGATTCAGAACATCTTTAGTCGATTGGAACTTCTTAATTATTGCCCTGATGGAGGAATTTTTCAATCTTTAGCTGTTTTCTTACAGACGCTTTCTATTTGTGAAGCTCAACAATCTCTTGCTGCTATTTGATATAAGGAACTGACACAACATTTACAAGTCCGTTCAGTTCAATGATTGTTTATGTTCTGTGCCTCCAACATGGCCGACTTCCGGATTGATGACGCGTCGTGACTCTCATTTTTTTAATTGAACTTTTTCTCATTACAATAAACAATAAAGAAATCTAACAAAGAAAGAACATATGACATTATCAAAATGTACAATAGGCCTATAAATCTTATTGTATTACAAACCAAGAGTCACACCTGCCGCACATCATCCAAAAAGACATCCTCTGCACTGTTCACATGACAAGGGAGAACAAAATAGACTGAAGGAACTCAAAACGTAATAAATTAAAAACTAAATTAAATAAAAAGTAAATTAAAAAAATAATAATAATAAAAAAATAAATAAATAAATAAAATAAATAAAAACATTCGCGACTCACCTATAATTAAAGGTGGCACTTCCGGTTTCCTTCCCACCGGAGCCTCGCTTTCGATTTCAAAATAACTGGAAGAAAATCATAAAAGGCAGAAGATCCGAGCACAGTGAATCAGTCCAATCAAACAAACCAATCCAGAAACGAGAAAACAGGGGAAACGCTCAGTAGGCTACTGCTGTTTAGACAAGACTTAGCAGATAACCAACTGAACAGGAATAAACAGGCCGACACACAGAGAGAGGTGACGAGGTGATGATGAGGAACAGATGCACACACTGATCTATAATGACAATCATTCTATTTAGATCAATGGATGCACATGAATGATGACAAACAAAGCACTGTGGGAAATTGAGTCCATGTCATGAAAGCGGTGTATCGAGCGGTTAGAGTTCCCTCTGCTGGCGAGTGAGAAATCTGCACATCACAACTATATTCTGTGGTTTCACTCACTCCTGTGAAACATTCAATCACATAATGTGATTCCCCACCATTTTCAATGATTTTTTTGTTTTGTTTTTTTGATTTTTTTAATGAAAGATTAACAATATACAAACTTATTTTTACAACCATCTTTGATCATATCTATCAAGGGTGCAAAGAATTCTGAATGAATATGTATATGAAGAGTTCAGATGCAAAAGCCTCTATATGCCATTTGAAATTTTCTTCTTTAATGATGATTTTTATCAAACTTGTATATTTAAGTTCAGTAATTTCACTTAAATAACAATTCATAGGTAATCTTCATCCCCATTTAAGTGAAATTACTGAACTTAAATATACAAGTTTGATAAAAATCATCATTAAAGAAGAAAATTTCAAATGGCATTTAGAGGCTTTTGCATCTGAACTCTTCATATATATATATATATATATATATATATATATATATATATATGCATATTTATATGGAACAATTTCTGTATTAAATGTAGAGTTTTATTAGTGCTGTCAAACCGATTAACATAACCGCATCTAACATAAAAGACACATATATATATATGTGTGTATATATATATATACATAGGCTATATATACACATACAGACTTTTATGTTAGATGCGGTTATGTTAATCGGTTTGACAGCACTAATAAAACTCTACATTTAATACAGAAATTGTTCCATATAAATATGGTCTAAATATTGCATCTTAATGATTTATGACTGTATTTCTTATGGTAATTCATGAACATTAATTCATTTAGGTTGATACAGTTAAAATATAAAATCATATTTTTGATATAATGTTTTATAATACAGGCTAATATTGTCTAAAACCAGTTAACTGAAAATGTTGCCATGACACACACACACACATATAATGCAAATTACACAGACATAGCTGTTAAGAATTATATAATACATATTTTATATATATATTTTTAATGCATTTTGATGAAAATCATTATAAAGTGTTACCAGATCTTGAATGATCATCATGTTCGTGTGTTTTCGTTCTTCAGTCTCCGCTGGTCCTTTAAGAGTCTCCTCCTCTTCCTCCTCCTCTCCTGTATTTTTAGCTGATGAAGCCTCTTCTTCAGTTGAACACACACACACAGTATGAACCGCCTCATAATTTCCAAGCCTCTCAAATCCATCCCATGATATTTTGATCAGAAACATCTCTGTCTTTGGGGAAAAAGCTGCAGTGGATGCTGGAAAACACCAGAAGCATCATCATCCTCATCAGCATCCACATCGAGCTGCAACATGATCCTGATGGATTTCTGAGACATTTCAAGCGCCATGGACGAAACTCAATCGATTTAACCGCAACCCACTGCGTCTGACCATCAAGATCCTCCAAGACGGACGCGACCGTGGAGCATCGAGGAAAGAAACGGGTCAACCGGGACAGAGACCAGATGCCCAACATGGAGAGGGGCAAACCTGCCACTTACACGGGCGACAAGAAGGCAAAGATGGCTGCAAAAACCAATAAGAAGTGGGTAAGACTGGCCACCGTGTTCGCGTATGTTTTATCCGTGTCTCTGGCTGCGATCATCCTGGCCATTTACTACAGTCTCATATGGAAACCCTCCGGACCCAATAATTCAAAACCCAGCTCTCCATCATCCAACGACACCAACAGCAACATCTCCGCGATCAGCAACAACAGCAGCGCGTCCGTGGTGGATCTGATCCACTTCAACAGCACCGGCTCCAACCGGACAGCGAGGTCGCTCCCCGAAAGCGCGCAGTCCCAGTCCGGGGATTTCTACAGATACGCCGTGCCCGCGGAGAGCCCAAACGCCGCAGACACACAGTCTTCCCGGACAGATCACCACCACCAGACCCGCGCCGGCGGAGACGCGCACCAGGACGCGCGCAGGGACGAGGACGGCTTCGGAGGAGGAAGAACACAAACTCAGTTAGTGTCTGATAACAACAAGCACAGAAAGAACCAAGGGAAGCCTTGAGACTGGAGAGGAGGCCGGGAGCGCGCACTGTCGGACACAAACGCATAGATCAAATATAATCTGTCCTTTTCGTTTCGCCTTAATACTCGGTGGACGTTTGCAGTGTAATGGGCTTTAACTTTATATCCTCCTCGGAACGTATAGCCTACTAGTCCAAAAATCACCGGCTGGCCTGTCATTCAATCGTATAGGAATCATTCATCCGAACCGGAGACTGTCCATTACGCGCAATGCCTTGTTATGAACTGAACAGCCATGTTTATGGGGTCAAGCTTTTAAAATATCAACACTGAAAGCTTGCATGAATTACCTGTTAACCAATTAATCAGGATTCTTATGTTTAGAGAGGAACCTGTGTCGATGCTCAGGTATGTGCAAATAATATTATCATACTGTTTAGTGATGCTGTGGAAATCATTTTTACAGCAACTAATGTAGAATACGTCACTCGAATGGTAAATAAACCAGTACAAACACTCATTTCCTTCGTTATAGATTGGATGAGGGGTTCACACGCATGCACATCAATCACTTACACAGATTATGGGTGAGCGCACTGTTTAATCCCGGATTAATCAGATATTAAAATCAATGTGTTTTGTTGAGCTTTGAGCAGATTAGACCAGGACTAGTGTGTGTGTGCATGATTCATTGCACGTGCATGAATTTATTGGTTGTATTCAGGTCATTTCCGGTCTTCTGTCCTCGTAGTGACCCGCACACACAGTCAGTCCCATCCGTCTACTTATCGGTCTCCAACACTTGATTGTTTGATTGCAGAGGACATTTCAGGCACTTATAATGCATGATAAACAATGTGTTGGTGGTGCAAAATCCTCCGAGAAGCAGTCAAAGCTCGCGCAGTCTCATGTATTGATCTATGCATGTTTAGCAGAGCTTCTTGCTCTCTCTACGGTCAAGGCGTATCGATTGTTTTACAGTTCTGAGTCAAAAGCAGAGATTACACAATCCTGCTCTATTTTCAGCGCGCGCGATGACCTGTTACAGCACATGCTGGAAAATATCTGTGCAACTGGAACAGCAAAGCACATTTACACACTGCATCTTCTGGAAAACACATGTGCTGTGCATAAATACACACCTCGATAAGAGAATGTGTTTAGTGTGTTTACTTAGACATCATAATACGGGAATAATATCTGCTTAAGTGCGAACTGAATGTAATATTTTCAGACAATTAATTGCATGCATTTGCAATTATAATGAAAATTTGTTATAGTTTAAATTTATATTAAATGCAATTATTTGAACTTGAAAAGTGCATCTTTAAATGCAATTTCAGTTCAATTGCTTCAAGCGTTTATGCTAAACTAATATTTATGCAATTTCTATTAAAACTTGTAATCTAGTAACAATTGCATGCTTGTAATGAACTTAATTTTGAACAATATACATGCACTTTAGTGTTAAAGTTAGCACAGTGTACTTCTTTAAGGCATGACAAAAGCTTATTAAAACAATGATTTTATACATACAAATATACATTAAAGCAAAACTTTACAAGTGAACTAACAGTCACTCTCTTTAACTTATTTCATTATTATGATTTAATGAAACTGCGAGGAGAGTTTTTGGTAGGGTGAAAGTTATATAACGGTAAATTATGCACAACTACAAGTAAAACTATTAACCTGTAAACAAGATGTTTTGAACTTTCTGATTCGTCCTGTGACTGAAGACGATTGATTCAGCCGCTGTGGGAACAAATCAATGTTGACTTGACTAGTTAAAATGTCAGTTTTTAGTGTGCAAAACCCCCTTGAGATTCAATTATCAGACTTGTTTACCAAGTCCGTCCTCACTAAAACGGCTGACAGTCATGTGATGAAACCTCCAGCATGATTGAAGATGTGTGTGTGTGTGCGTAAAACAGGTGAAAAATCCCTCAGATAGACAACGAGCCACATCTGGAGATAAGATGATCTTCCAAATGTTATTTTTACTTGAGAGCATCATTGACAGTGTGTTTTGCATGGACAATGACCATGCATTTTCTTCAGAAATGTTAAAAGTCTGAATCAAATTGACACGTTTTTTATAAGATTGTTACTCAAAAAGAAGCACATATGCATATTTCATACAAGTACGCATACAAACCAAAGATTTAACAGCATGCATGCAAGTTAAATGAGAGGTCTCGACTGGTGGGCCGAAGCTTCGTTCAGATCGATGTTCAATACAAATAAACAAACACAACTAACCATATCTTTTATTGATGCCAAAAGTCATGTGTCCAGTCAAATCATTATATTTCATAATACAAAATTAACCCAATGTTTGCAATGTTCTTTGTGCATTCACACTGTTATTAATATTGCATATTTGGCTCAATCATTTAATTCCACTATTAAAGGGATAGTTCACTTTGAAATTAATTTTTGGTATGTTTTATCTTACCTCAAGGGCATCCAAGATGTAGTTGTCTTTGTTTCCGCAGTATTTTTTTAATTTTGATATTTTTAGGTCAAACCATTCTTGTCTGTCAGTCATATAATGGAGGTCTATGGTCACCACCTCAAAGAGCAGCACAGAGAAGTCCAGATTAAACATGATTTAATGACTCGTAAATGTAAGTACACATTGATGGCCTAAGACACGAAACGAGGTGCTCTTTGAGGTGGTGACCATAGACCTCCATTATATGACTGACAGACACTAACGCTTTGACCTAAAAATATCAAAATTGAAAATACTGCGGAAACAAAGACACCTACATCTTGGATGCTCTTGAGGTAAGATAAAACATACCAAAAATTAATTTCAAAGTGAACTATCCCTTTAATAAACCTCCAGTTTGATGTTAAGGACATTTTATACTTGTGCATGATCAACAATGTTGTGTTTGGTCTGCATCCCGAAGCAAAATCCTTCGAGAACCAGTCAAAGTTTGTGTTTGATTATGTTAAAGGTTCATAATGGGCTTTTCAAGGATCATCAGTCAGACCAGACATGCATTATTAATCAAGTGTTGCTGAAGAGTGCTGTAACCCAGCCCGTCCATTACTGATCCTCGTTTCCCGTCAGCGTTCGGGACCGGCTGAGTTCACAGCCGCAGGTGCTCATGATGTAATCTAATGTGTGCCGAGAGACCTGGGAGCCATTTTCCAGCGCACTGCAGCACGAGCACTGCCAGGAGACCAGCCGAGACAAGCCGGACCGGGCCAGATCAACACTTATTTCTGGCACTGGAACTGATTTTGCGAGGCTTTCTGTCCCATTTCTAGAATAACTGGTGGGATAAGCAGCAACGGCCTCTTTACAGGGCTGAACGTCTTGGTTTTACTATAAGAAGCATAAACACCATAAATGAGAGAAACCTTACACAACCCCAGACATTTCCAGAAAAGTTGGGTTTTTGTAAAATGGAATAAAATCAAGAAGCTGTGAATTGTTAATTCTTTTGAATCTTTATTTAAATGAGTAGTTTACTATTAAAAAAAAAAACTTTGCTGATAATTTACTCACCCCCATGTCATCCAAGATGTCCACGTCTTTCTTTCTTCAGTCGAAAAGAAATTAAGGTTTTTGATGAAAACTTTACAGGATTTTTCTCCATATAATGGACTTCAATGGGAACCAAACGGTTCAAGGTCCAAATGAGAGTTTCAGTGCGGCTTCAAAGGGCTTTAAACGACGCCAGACGATGAATAAGGGTCTTATCAAGCGAAACGATCGCTCGTTTAAAAAATACATAAAAAAGTTTAAGTTTTATAAGCTCAAACGCTCGCCTTGCTGTTCTGTGATGCGCGTTCGTGACTCTCCTGTTCGAACTCGTTCATCAAAATGAACGAATCTTTTTTCCGAGTCATTTTGTTCATTAAACTTTTTTATTTATTTATGAAATGACAGATCGTTTCGCTTGATAAGACCCTTATTCATTGTCTGAAATCGTTTAAATCCCTTTGAAGCTGCACTGAAACTCTCTTTTGGACCTTGCATTTTTTGGACCCCATTGAAATATAAGCATTTTTTCCTTGAAAAAAACGTCTTAAAATATCTTGAATGTAACTCGACACCCTTGCCTCATTTAGTACGCGCGGTTCTACGAATATGCAAATGAGCCCCGCCTCCACTCATTCACTCAGAGATCCACTGGTTGACGATCACACGTTGATCTGATTGGTTACAAGGTCGTTTGTGACGTCAGAAACACCAGCGATTTCAAAGCGTATTTTTGGTTCACTGCAGTTTTAAGCAGAAAATACTCAGCAATGCTGTCGACTGATGAACTTACACATGGTGTGTGTTATTAAAAACACCACACAGACACATAAACAACATTAAACTTGATTTTCACCACAGGGGGACTTTAAGTGACAGCGGTTTTCCAAAATACTCCTGAGCGCATGTGGCTGTATTTAACAAAGCCTGATTTAATGCCTTGCCCTTCATGTATGGAGATTTCTCTGGATCTGAATATTTTCACAATATTATTTATAGTAAATGGTGAAAGATCTGAATTCTTTGCTATCATTTATTGAGAAATGTGATTTTTGACTATTCTCTAATGAAATTCTTCCCATCTTTCATACCCAATCATGATACTCTCACCTTTATACCAATTTACATGCTTACTGTGGACTACTTGAGAACAGTTTAACGTCAATACATGTGAAATGCATTAGTGATGTTTACACCAAGAATCAATGCAAGTGATGAAATTGAACTTCCGTTGCTTTTATATTGCCTACATCAAAGCCAGCTGGGTGATGTTCCACTCTTGTGTAATGCACTTGCATCTTCACGAGTATAGCATTTGCCCAAACAGAAGTAGATTCAGCTACCTTCATCATCATCATGAGACATGAGTCACGTGACGGCCCCGCTGCGGGTCCCCGAGGATGATGCCGTCCCCGAGCATGCCTGCTGGAAAAGGGTAATTAAAAGAGTAACAGAAGACAAAGCTGTGTTTGAAGAGAACAGGGAGTGATTTCCAGAGCAACCGGCCGATGGGAGGCTTTTAAAAATAATAAGACACTAATCCCAGAAGATCCTCTATTAAGCGGAACGCAGAGGTCTGAGGCAGCGCTGCCTGTTCAAAACAACACAACACGTTTTTTTTGTATCTGTTACACAAATGTAATTTCCACCGGAGTGAGTTATTTGACTTGATCTCCACAGCAATGATTGCTTTAGCACGTGAAAATATCCCAGAGTAAATCGACTTGCATAAAAATATTTAATTATCAAATGTGTGATAAGCTCCGCCCCCTTTATGGATCAGGTCAAAACAACGAAAAGCTGGAAAATAATAATAATATTAAAAGCTAATTTTAACGTTGTAAACATTTTTTTTTAAATGCCATGGGGTTGCCAGGTTTGAATTCTATTACTTATTACAAATGCTCTGTTTTTATTTTTTAGGTCTTTTTGGGTTGAAATTTTGACATGTTTGTTTTACTGTGTGTGTGTATTTTTGATTTACTCGTGAAGCATATTCACGATGTGACCTTGACCTTAATAAGTGGATAGTTGGAAACAAGACAGCTTACCTGAAATAACAATTCGTTCGTTGAATGAACCAAATGACTCGGAAAAAGATTCGTTCATTTTGATGAACGAGTTCGAACAGGAGAGTCACGAACGTGCGTCACAGAACAGAGCAAGGCGAGCATTTGAGCTTATAAAACTTAAACTATTTTTATTTATTTAATAAATGAGCGATCGTTTCACTTGATAAGACCCTTATTCATCGTCTGGAATCGTTTAAAGCCCTTTGAACACTTTGCAGTTTGTACTAAAAGTGTCTTTTGGACCTTGAGCCATTTGGACCCCATTGAAGTCCATTATATGGAGAAAAATCCTGGAATGTTTTCATCAAAAACCTTAATTTCTCTTCGACTGAAGAAAGAAAGACATGGACATCTTGGATGACATGGGGGTGAGTAAATATATATATACACACACACACACACACACACACACACACTGTGTGTGTGTGTGTTTGTGTGTGAGAGAGAGTTCATGCACGCAAGTAAAAGGTCTATTATATCCTTCTATGGTAAAACAGGACATGGACCAGAATAGAAGCTTAATCAACAGGGAATTGAAGAAAATTCAGTGTATTTTTAATGGACTGCAGTGCAAAATATGTTTATCTGTGTATACGCCTTCTATCACTTCTCTAACAAACACAAACCACAAAAACATTCTTAATGTGAAACCCTAATATTGTGGCATGTATTTATAGGTCATTCAATTTAACATCTAGTAGTAAAGGTAGCTATTGTTGCAATAAATGCATAAATAAAAAAGTATAATTTTAGCATTTAACAACTAAATGAATCATAACTGATGGTTGTTATGGTAAAAAAAAAAAACAATTTGAGCAGTGGAATCAGTGCAAGCATCACAGCACAGGGCTGGTAAACATTTTAATGCTTATTAATATTATTTAACATTCATTTCAAAACCAAATGAACACAAAATAAAAGCGTCAGCAAAATATAAAAATCAAATCTTAAACCCTTCATGTGTTCTTCAAACCGTAACGTTTAAACACCGAAATGTCGTGAAGATGAACATCAGTTTGATCATTCATTGCCACTGTAAACACCTTTAATGGTTTTTATTTCTGATAGCTTTTCAGAGTATTCATACAAAATAAAGTGCTAATAAACATCCTTGAACGATCCTTGTGAACTATCCACACAAAATCCCATGACGCGTGTGCTTGTGAAGGCGAGATCAGGCTGGATTTCAGTGCCGTAAATGAGATCTGATGAAGATTACTACTGGGTTAGTCAGTTAGTGTGCTGTATAAATGGGTTTGTCCCACATTCAAGTTGCTTGTAGTGCTTTCCCATCAAACATCCCACAAAAAAAACATGGGACCTTTGGGTTTGGTGGCTCAGATAAAGGTTAACTGTGCATTGAAGCATTAATAATCTACTAATCAGAACCAGTGTTTTCAATAAATGACAAAAATTCCCAATTAAATACTCCAAACACAGAAGAGTTACGCGAGTATCAGTCAAATAAAAAGGCAAATTATATTTTTGTTCTTCTGTTTTGGTTTGTTTTAGTGCATGAAGTTTCGCTCCAGATGTGAGTGACATCATTTCCATCTAAACAACTTTCCCGTTCTCTCTCGCCTGGAATAAAAACAGAATTTATAAAATTAATGTCAATATCGTATCCCCTCCCCCAAATCATGCAGCCCGAGTTCATTATTAAATAGCGTTGCATTTAAACACTTTAAAACGCATGTCACTGTGCTCTTTGCTTCGTAGGTTGGAAACGTGGCCTGGTTACATATATAGTGCTGCTTCCTAGGGTATTTCTGAAGCACTTCAGCTCGATAATGGAGTTTCAGTGGGCCGCTAAATCCTGTGAGGTGGGACACTTCAAATCTGCAAGTCAAATGAGGATTGATGCTTTAATGCAGCACTCACCATATCAGCGCTGGTGCTGCGGTCGGGAAGAGCGTCGCCCGGATCCAGATTCAGGACACACACACTCGAGTCCGTCAGTTCTTCTGCAAGAGAGAAAACACACACACACACATGATCTCAGTGAAAACACAAGGATGCACAACCTCCCAAAACCTGCTGCGTGTCACAATCAGAGGTCATTTGCATCGTCTCCTGTTCATTTTTTCCATAGGGATATGGGGAAAAAGTCGTTATAAGTGACAAATCGAATTAAAAATGTAAAAAAAAAAATAAAAAAAATAATAATAATTTAAGTTGATTATCTCTATAGAAAATACATATTTTAATTAGGGCTGTCAAACGATTAATCGCATCCAAAATAAAAGTTTGTGTTTACATAATATATGTGGGTGCACTGTGTATAATTCTTTTATATATATATATATATATATATATAAATACACACACATGCTTGTATATATATTTAAGAAATATTTTAATGTATATACTATATATAGATTTATATATAATTTATATTATATATATATATATATATATATTACGAGGTAAACACGATATAAATACTGTTGGTTTTCTCACACAAACCGCTCGTTTCGTGTCTTAGGCCATTTACGAGTCATTAAATCGTGTTTAATTTGGACTTCTCTGTGCTGCTCTTTGGTGGACCCCCTTAGCCTCCAGTGTGTGACTGATAGACAACAACGGTTTGACTGAAAAATATCAAAATTGAAAATACTGTGGAAACAAAGACACCTACATCTTGGATGCCTTTGAGGTAAGCTAAAACATATCAAAAATTAATTTCAAAGTGAACTATCCCTTTAAGTCGTGTAGTGTGTTGTTATTCCAATGTTCTCGTACCGTTTCCTCTAGAGGAGCAGCTCTTGCTGTGTTCAACGGGTTCCAGTGGTTCAGTTGCACTTCCTTCAGTGGCTGGATTCAGTTTTTCCTGCTCCGGAGATGGAGGTTTTATCTCTTTCTGGATCCATTCGCTGTCGTCTTGTGCCGATGTTTGTTCGTCGTCTTCTTCTACAGGGCCGTTCGTGATCAGTGAGGCCGCTTGCAGAGCACTGCTCTCGGTTTCTGACTTGTTCTTGTCATGGGTCTCAGAAAAGCGGACCTTTTTCTCAATGGCCCTCTGAGGAAGCGGCTCCGAATGAGCGATTTCTGTATTCTGGTCCGCCGTCCCATTGGAGGTCACGGCACTGATTGTGTTCCGGGTCTCTTCAGATGCACATGGCTTTGGGTTTTCAATGTCAGTCTTTGGATTGACGCTCTCAGGAGCACAAAGAGCGTCAAGCTCCTCTAAAAACTCCTGCAGACTGCCGTCTGGATACACCTGGCAGAAATCATACAACAAATACATGTATTCAAAAAGACTGTGAAATATTAAAATCTCTTAAAATTTCAAGAAAACAAAGAGACCGATAATCGGTTTTACCGATATTTATGATAATGGTCAGTCTATGTACAAATCTAAAAACTTCTGGATATTATTTGCATGTTTATGTGCCCGATAACTAGAGCCAGACCGATATATCGGCAGGCCGATATTAGGCATTTTCCAAACTATCGGTATCGGCAGTTATAATGGCTGATAAATTAATATTTCAAAAATAAAATAAAAACGGATGAAACACGCTTGAACCAGTTGTATAGTTTGTCCACCAGGGGGCGCTCTACACCGTCCCTATTGGCAACACTCGTGTATATCTCGTGTATATACGAGTATATGTATATACTCGTGTGATCCAGGTTGCAGGTAGCTTATAAGGCAATGTAGGGACTAATATCAGAACTTTAATATATTTTGATGTTCCTCCGTTCTGTTGTGACACTAAAAGAAACGAGTTTATTTTTAAAATGCATCATCATATTATTTTAGTTAAAACTCATAAATAACTACAAATAACTAATGTTAGAGAAATCTGTTCATGTTTTGTTGCGCGTTTCTGAAATATAATTTTTTTTTTTTAAATATCGGCCGATATATCGGATTTTAAAACCAACAAATATTTGGATCGGTATCGGCCTTCAAAATCCTTTATCGGTCGGGCTCTACCGATAACCGATATCCAGAACCGATATTTATGATTATGTGCAAATCTAAAAACACCCGCAAGATGACGCCATTTCTCGGTGGATCCCATATTACAAAACCGACATTCAATTATGGAAAAATGCTTGAATATCGGTTTTGTAATATGGGATCCACCAATGAATGGCGTCATCTTGTGGGTGTTTTGTGATTTGCACACAAGACTGACCATTATCATAAATATCGGATCTGGATATCGGTTATCGGGCACATAAACATGCTAATAATATCCAAAAGTTACCCCAAACATCTAAATCCAAATTTGAAACTTATATTTAGGAGTATTATAATATATTTCATTATGAAATTATTTTAATTTAAAAATTAAGCACATTTTCATCCCATTATGTTCATTACTGTGGCAGTAATAATAACTATAATAATAAAAATCACCTGCAAATGCTCCTCCTGCTCTTTAGCATCCCACCTGAGGGCAAAATAAAGAAATGTTTGACAATCGTATTAATTTACTCATTAAACACAGTTATTGTTTAAAAATAAGTAAAATGTTTTGGAATCAAAGATATTGTGATATTACTAAAAAAAATTAAAGATAATATTATATGTTTTATTAATGTATTTGTTGTAAATTTAACTAAACGTACCATGGTAATACAATATTTTTAGTGTCAGTGTTCTTTGGAGTACCACATAAATAATGTTTTATGAATAATATTAATATATAATGTCAAGTTAGGTCGTTCCTCAACCAGACTGGGTGGCATTTGCTAATTTCTCATTGCGAAGTTTAACCATCATTTATCTATCTTCTAGAACAGCATCACAACATCTTCTAATTTCTAAACATTTGTTTGAGCTTTTTGCTCAATTACTGTGTTTAATAAGCGTTTACTGTATGATAACAAGGAACTGCTTCGAACCTAATGAGATTTTAAAAGATGAATTGTATCATTGTAAATCATCCGGTCATGTGATCGGATGAGTTTGTGGTTGAACGTTAATGCAGAGTGGGAGTGGAAATGGTCATAACCATAAATCCCTCTGAAAAGCATTTCCCATCATCCTTTGAGTCTGAGTTAATGGGTTTGAGGTGAAATGTGGCAGGATGTTACTGTAAACGGTTCAGCACTTTAACACTTCAGTGTGAGGTCAGTTTACCTCCTCGCTCGACCCGTCAGACGGTCTTTCCCCTTCGCTTTGCTCCCCACCACCGGGACGCTTCTCTCCTTCTTGTCGGACGCTTGGTGTCGACCTAGAAAATCCAAAACAAATCAACACATAATGCAGAATGTGACGTCGTCGACTTGACTACCAGTTTATAATCTTTAAAGTAAAAAAAATTACAATAAAGTTTTGAATATTACACAGTTACGCACACAATACGTTTTTATAACATTTTTCCAATGAGAACTGAGCTTTAATTTTATTGCAATGTGTTGAACTGTCTATTAAGGAGAAAATAATATAATTAATATAATATAAAAAAATCATTAGTATATTATATTAGTAAATATACACATTACACAAAACAAATGGATGAATTATATTTATGATTGAATTGTTTTTCCATGTTTCATTTCTACTATCAATTCACAAAGCTTGTTTTTTTTTCCATTTTAATTTTCCTGGATTCCATTTTAATTATTTAATTAAATTTTAATAATTAAAAAGGACGTGTAATGAACTGAATTCACAAAAGTGCAAAATTTTTAACAATAATAATGTTTTTTTTTTCCTCAGAAATTTGTTTCAGCTTCTAATAAAAACTGAGCTTGAATTTCATTGCAGTGTTGAATGTGATCTTTCATAACTGACTATTAAGAGAATTATAAAAATATCATTAGTGGTATATTAAACACATAAAACATGCTAAAGGAAAGATATTAAAGGCAGATTATGAATAAATAAAATGCATGAAATATAATGATTGTATTTGCTATTGTACAGAAATGACTTTGCTTTTAAAAATCATGAACGTTATTTATTTATACGTTTCATTTCTAATATCGATTCACAATTGTAATAAAGCTTTGAGTGTCCCATCATTAAATGTACAGCTAACTGATACTTGATTGGTCTATTTTAATTCCCATCCATCATATATCTATATCATTCAATCAATTTCTAGGTCGTGAGTTTCCGGCTTTACGCACCTCTGGATTCTTCCGATCTCAGATTTCCTCTTCTGCCGTTTTGACCTCAAATAATTAAATATAATTAACCCAGAAAATACAGCAATTACACACTACATTACAGCAAGACCCAATCTTCAACAGAGAAAATAATAAATATACCATTTGCTCCTTGATTAGTATCTCGATCTCATCTGAAAATTAAAACATTCACCTCTGTTTGACGTTCCTCCATGTTCCTTTTCAGAGAACCTACAAATAAAACATTGGAAAAAACAAAAACGCACACGGCAACTGAACATCAACACCAAATAATCACTGACAATATACCATGCAAATCAAGCGCAAAGGGCCACTACAAGTGCATGTGTTAGTAAGCATGAGTTTTAGTGATGGTTATTGGTGCAGATTTATATTTCCGGCTAACAATAATATTGTCTGGATTATTACAGACCTTCTTTCCATAACTTTTTAAAATGACAATTTCTTTCTTGATTTTGGAGTTAAATATGACCTGGAGTGCTGTTGTCTTTTGTTCCTACATGTATTAGAGATTTGTCTTATAGTAACGCAATCCTTGTTTTGTGTTCTAATGAGTTCTTATTATATTTACTAAATGGGAATGGAGAACTTTGGTCTAGATCACAGACTGTGACCATGAGGTAATGTAAATCTGGCTATTGTTTTGTTCCCAATGTTAAAAATATATATATATAAATAATTATTATATATAATATTTTAAATATTTAAATATTATATATAATATTTTACATTTTATATAATAAATATTATATAAATATATATAAAAATTAGGGCTGTGCAAAAATTAATTGCGATTAATCGCATCCAAAATAAAAGTCTGTGTTTACATAATATATTTGTGTGTGCTGTATATAATTATTTTGTATATATAAATACACACACATGCATGTATATATTTAAGAAAATGTGTTATTCATATATAAAACATACATTTATATAATATAGATTATGTATAATATATATATATATATACATATATATACCAAATTTAAATGCAAATAATTCTTAAATATATGCATGCATGCATAGGTATTTATATATACAAAATAATTACATACAGCATATGTAAACACAGACTTTTATTTTGGATGCGATTAATCGCAATTAATTTTTGCACAGCCCTAATAAAAATATATATTATAATTTATATATGATCTGGATATTTCTTCACGAGATTTACGCAAACAGGACTTGAATACAGGGATGATGGTTAGCTGGAGAAATGGTTCAGCAGACATGAACACTTGTACTGGACGTTCACTGATCAAGTGTTTTACCTCCCACAAAACAGTTTCGCTGCCCTGAACAGTCTCTAATGTTCACAAACCCTCCCAAATAAGGAAAGGCATTCAAAGCACCCTAAAAATAACCTCTTGTCCCTGTCCACTCGATAGGGAAGATGATTTATTTCAGAGGAACCCATATGAAACACTGAAGCCTTCCAAACATTTGTTAACATTTGGCCTGAAGTCTTGTTTGTGGTACTGCATGTTTAGGTTTGTGAGAACTCACTGTTGGTGACATTACTGACTTACACACACACACACGTTCGTTTCACTAGTGAAGACATTGCATAGACGACTTCCATTGATTTTATATCAGGTTAATAATATAACCCATACCCCTAAACCTACACATCACAGAACATAACAACATAAAACATGGTGTTTGAACATAAATGTGTTGGCAGTGAAAAAAATCCACCCACTCCTTTTTTAATCCCCATAAGATGTTCTCAGTTTCTATGCAATATGACGGCACATTTGCATAGGCCCCGCCCACAACAGCTGACAGACTCCGCCTTATTAGCATAGACTCCACCCCTCTGTACACAGTCCGCCACGTTTATCTCCTTGCACAGCATTCAAGTAAGAAATGTATACTTATAAAAGCTACTAAAGTTATTCAGTCAAGAGGAGTGAGTGATTTCATTTTTCTTTTGTTGTTTGATTCATATTAATTTATTTGTATTAATTTATTTATTTGAAGATACATGTTTTTCCTTCCACTCAAAAATGCACTTAAACATGCAATACTAAATGATCTATGTTTTTTTTTTATTTACTTTTCTTATTTAATTTAGTTTTTTATTTATTTTAGTTTTTTATTTTAGTGTTTTGAGATCCTTAAGACACATTCTGGGGACAACTGAGACTTCTATTACATCTTGTAAAAATTCGCATAGGTCGCAAATGTTTTTTTAATTTTTTTTTATTTATTTATTTTTTAAAATGTATTTATTTATTTTTAATTTACTTTTTTTATTTAATTTAGTTTTTTATTTATTTTATTTTTTTATTTTAGTGTTTTGAGTTCCTTCAGACACATTCTGGGGACAACTGAGACTTATATTACATCTTGTAAAAATTGGCATAGGTCGCGAATGTTTTTTTAATTTTATTTATTTATTTATTTTTTAAATGTATTTATTTATATACTTTTTTAATTTAATTTAGTTTTTTATTTATTTTAGTTTTTTTTTTTTTTACATTTATTTTAGTGTTTTGAGTTCCTTCAGACACATTCTGGGGACAACTGAGACTTATATTACATCTTGTAAAAATTGGCATAGGTCCCCTTTAAATAAAAGCATGTTTTGGCTGATTTGAAAGACTTTTTAACAAGTGAGGACCAATAAAATATCCTCACTAGTCAATTGTCATAATATTTAACTTAAGTGAGGATGTTTGGCCCTCAAAAATAGAGCCAAACATTCACTCTCTCTCTCTCTCTCACACACACACACACACCTTTGTGCTAAGAAAACCCTTAGTTATTAAGGGTTAGTGATGAAAAATGAATGAAGATTAGTATAACATCACTAATGGAGTCCAATTTGATTTCATGTTGACCATAACCATGTATAAATGTTATGGTGATCATTTATATAAACACACACTCAATCTGGTGTAAATCTGCATGCTGTGGAATAAATATACTGAATTTCTGCTACAAAAGACAAAACCTACAGTACATGACCTTATCTTCTAATAATCCACATCACATTTAGCTCATCGTCTAGTGCTGTTTGATTCAATTACTTGAATTAAAGTCATCCAAGTCTCATGACCTCGCTGAATCAAAAGATTTGACCTTAAAAATGCCATTGTTTTAACAAGAGATGCGATTCATGAACTTTCCCTGAAAACAACTTCAGTTTTAACAGGCGGAGATATATGAAATTAAGTTAATTTTATTTATTTATACTCTTGTTCCCACTCAAATTGTAGTTCTTCAACATCGGCTCATGTTTAACAAATGAAGCAGATCAGACTTATTTGGCATCTAAGAAACTTGATAGTCATGATCTGAGCGAAAACGAGGACCTTTTATAACCTCTATGACATTAAACAAGAGTCCAGCTCACTGATGTGTGCAGCTGAAAGGTCAAAGATCATTCATTAAACCCATTTTCCTTTCATAATGTGACATTTCTCAGAGCGATAAGATATTTAGGTTTGATCTGAATGTGATTTGAGCACCTCCACATTTCCCAATGGTGACGCGTCCTTTTCACAGCTATCATTATTTGATATTATTGCTTATAATTGTAAACCGTAACCAGCAAATTACTTTATAACAATAGGCAAGATTTTAGAAAGGCTGCAGAATCTATTGACTACTTCTTGTAGGTACAAGAGTAACTTAAACCATTAACAGTTATCTCAGAATTACAAGATAATTTTTCATGGAAAATAAGTTTTTGCTCTGTTTTTCTGAATTAATGAGTTAATTATCTCAGAATTACGAGAATTTTCATGGGAAAAAAGTTTTTGCTCTGTTTTTCTGAATTAATGAGTTAATCATCATCATATTACAAGATAATCTTTCATGGAAAATAAGTTTTTGCTCTGTTTTTCTGAATTAATGAGTTAATTATCTCAGAATTACAAGAGAATTTTTCATGGAAAATAAGTTTTTGCTCTGTTTTTCTGAATTAATGAGTTAATTATCTCAGAATTACGAGAATTTTTCATGGAAAATAAGTTTTTGCTCTGTTTTTCTGAATTAACGAGTTAATCATCACCATATTACAAGATAATTCTTCATGGAAAATAAGTTTTTGCTCTGTTTTTCTGAATTAATGAGTTAATTATCTCAGAATTACAAGATAATTTTTCATGGAAAATAAGTTTTTGCTCTGTTTTTCTGAATTAATGAGTTAATTATCTCAGAATTACAAGATAATTTTTCATGGAAAATAAGTTTTTGCTCTGTTTTTCTGAATTAACGAGTTAATCATCACCATATTACAAGATCATTTGTCATGGAAAAAAGTTTTCACTCTGTTTTTATGAATTAATGAGTTTTTGAGATAATTAAGTCATTAATTCAGAAAAACAGAGCAAAAACTTTTTTCCATGACAAATGATCTTGTAATTCTGAGATAATTAACTCGTTAATTCAGAAAAACTGAGTCGATTTTTTTTCTTCAAGTGAATGCAATATGCTTCCGTATAATTGTGCGTTTAGGACATGGATTTTAATGGGACTTTTTATTATCAGGCTCCCAAAAATTATATAAAAAATTTGGATTTAGATTTTTCCGCCAAAATGTCAGTTATCAGCAGAATTATCGGTCATCGGCCAACAGTTTCATATCTGTGAATCCCTACGATTGGTTAACATTAACCAACAGCACACATGGACTAGGTGACATCAGCCGAAAAAGCCATTTCAAAAGGTTTTCTGATGAATCTATGAAGCATTAAAAGACAAATGGACGATATGAGTGCAGCATTTGAACCCATGGACCTGAAGGTGTCAGTAAGACACAGACACAGAGATGATTCGAACAGCTGGGATTTATATAAGAGGCAGTTAAACGTGCAACAAAAACAAAAACAAACCCGAAACGAACAAAGAAGAATTCAAACTGAAATGAAGATGCAAACTAAAGCAACACAGGTTAGTTTCTCTCACGTCAGAACAGAAATGAGGCGCTTGCGTCTGGCTTACATCAGATCGGCTTTATCCACGTCCCAGGCTCTCCTCCACTGGCCTTTGGCGTTTCTGTGCCGGGCCACTCGCTCTCGGTCGATCTCCTCGCGCTCCTTCTTCCATCGCAGGTACTCAAGATGTTCTTCCTTAGATGCGATGCTCAGGTCAGCAATGGCCTCAGAGACCTAGGAGATCATTTGAGTGTCAAATACACAACAAAATATATACAATTGGTTTCCATCTCTTACATTTTAAAATGAAATTAACTTTTTTCATCTTGCTTTTAGTGTGTATTGTTGCTGTTTGAGCATGAAAACGCTCCAGTTCTCCTCTATATCAGTGTCTGTGTTTCTGAACTCCTGAAACGTCTCCATTATAGTCGAACATGTTACAATATTCCTCATTATAATAATTAATGCGCAGAATAAAGGGGCGGGGCCTGGTTGAGTTAGTTAGTAGTGTGTTAATCTGGCGGTTATGGAAAGGGGCGGGACATTTCCCAAACACACTCGACCAATCACAACACACCAATCCAGCCGACCAATCAGAGCACAGTGTGCTTTTCAGAAGGAGGGGCTTCATAGAGACAGGAAGTAAACAGAGCGTTACTGACAGACTGGGAAGAGAGGAGCCGCAACAATGCAGGAAAACCTGAAACAACATCAAAACTCAAAAAGGGCATAATAGGTCCTCTTTAATATTGCTTATTCCACAGCCAGACATATTTTAACCATGTTCATGCTTTTTATTAAAATGTAATTGTTTTCTCAAAGATTATTCATTATAATATGATTATTTAAGAAACTCAAATAAATGCAAATACTTTTTCTGAAAGCAGAAATCATACCCGTTTCTTACTTGTCTGTCAAATGCATGTGAAAACGGTTGTGATTTGACAGATGAATTTGTGACTAATTACTATTAAGTCTGATTGACCAACACAAAGATATGGGAAGATGCAATGATATCTTCATTTGCTCCCTTTTAAAAGCTGATGAATAATTTATTTTGCTGTCCTAACAACATGATTAGTGGCATTTGAACATTTTGTTTTAAGCTCTGTGTGTTTAATTTAATTTGTGCGATCGATGGAAACACTCTCACCGGGACACCTTTAGATCCTACACATCGACTCCATTGATCTCCTCGTTCTGCGTCCTCCTAAATCAACACACAGATGAGAGACGGACAACATTACGGAAACCTCAGTGTAAAAGATTGATACAGATTAAGACTTCAAATACGGTGATTCCACAGCTGTAATTTACACTTACTGATGCACACACACACACACACAGGAATATTTAGAAGGGGAGAGGGGTAAGATGTGACACCTGAATCTGAGCATGTCACCATATTTAGAACAAGCACATAAAACACACTATCTGGGATGTGCTGCCCTCATGTGGACAAACACAAGCATTACACTTGCTTTAGTGACATCATCTTCATCACAGCTGCTAGATCTGTAGATCTATAAAGTTCAGCCACGAGACACACACACTGGGCTTCATCTGTAAATACAATCTCACCTTACAACGTACAAATGTGGCATAAAATAAAGCGGTTTTCAACTTCTGAGCTGTGAAATGACTGATAAATTCAAGGATAAAATGCAACAAACCATATAGATGTGTGTAGTTGGGATAGTAAAATAAATAGACTCATTTTGATAACTTTTGGCTTGCTTAGTTGGGGTTATTTAATATTTAAAAATATTATTGATCTGTGTTGTACTACTTTCATGTTATCACTGTGAAGCTGCTTTGATACAATCTGTATTGTGAAAAGCGCTATATAAATAAAATAAATGTAAAAAAAAATAAATAAAACTTATATTTTGTAAGGGAGGAGAAAAACTTCCCATATCATTTGATGTTGATGTCAAAATGTGCAAATTCAGTATTTTCAGTACAAATTCCTCCGTCACATCAGTCAGATGAAGTTCATGTCAACATGGACAGGTTGTGCGACAATCGCTTGCAGTGAAAATAAACAGAGGTTTTTGGTGAACACATCCTGGTTTTAAGTGGTGAAGGATTAAAATTCAACATTTATAAACAAAACTACAAATTTTTCGTGTTAATAATGTCGTACACTTTACAATTAGTCAACATGAACTTCATTCAAATCATTTCATGATAATTTCATCATTTACAAATACATTGTTAATATAAAAAGCTGTATTTTCTAACATTAGTTAATGCACTGTGAACTAAGATGAACTAACAAAAAGGTTAATAAATGATTTGTTAAATTAATAATAATAAATTGTTAGTTCATGCAACGTTAACAAATGTGACCTACTGTTACACTTTATTTCCTGAAGCAAAACCAGTAGAGAAACGCTGTCCTAAACAGAAACACGCACTACTGTGACAGAACGAGACTAAAACACACACACATGCACTCATAATAAACCTATTCAGAAGAAAGAGCAGCCAAATGTTCATTCGAATAAACTCTATGGCTAATTATGATCACAAACAATGAGCTGAGAGAGAGAGAGAGCTACACTACACTGTCTCTCTCTCTGCCTCGGTCCTCCATCATGATCACAGCATGACATCACGGATATCATTTATGGCTGTGGCATGATGTCATTCTTCTGGAAACATATTTGATGAATGCTGCGATCGGCGAGGGCAGAGCACTCAACTGCACTGATGCATTATGGGAGAATCCTCTTGTATCACATACAAAAATACTCCCACTCACGCTACTAAAATGTGTCTGTCAGCCACTAGAGCATCTGCTGCACTCATCAGTGATGAATATAACATGAAATATGAGTTTTGGATCAAAATATGGCTTTCTGAGACACTTTCCACCATCCAATCAATTCTTCTTGTATAAAATTGAGACCTACTTTTTTCGCATTGAATATCCTGTTTCACTCTGAAAATGTTACATTATAGAATTTAAATGTGTTTAAAAGAACCTAGCAACCACCCAGATGGCCCTAGCAACCACACTACAAAAAAATTATATATAAAGTGTTATTATTGCTAAATAAATAAATAAAAATCGTAAAAATTAAATTAATTAATTAAATAAATAAATAAAAAAAATTATATAAAAAAAAAAATCACTTACATTACATGAGATAAAGCTGTGGGTAAATAACATATAAATATCAGATTAAAAAAACTTAAATGAAAATTAGAAATGCTGCCTTGGCAACTAACTGAAATAAAAGAAGTAGTACAATTTCTAAAGCTAAAAAGAAATATAAAAAAAAAAACTTATATATTTATAAATAACTTAAATTACTTATTTAATTTAATTACTTATTTAATTACTTAAATATTTATCTAAAAAAAACACTGCCCTAGCAATAAATGTGTCATGGCCAGAGTTGTTATTGTTAACTTTTGTGAATTTAAATAAAGCTGTAGGAGAATAAAAAAAAATAATTTTAGATAAAAAAACTTTTAAAAAATTAAAATTATTAACTGAAATAAATAGTTGAAAGACTAAAATTCTTTATATTTAAAAAGAATTTACTATAATAATATATTTTATAATATAATAATATATTATTATAAAATTATTAAAAAACTAAAATTGTAATAAAAAAGTAAAGCTACATAGAAACATAAAAACACTACTAAAAATGTCAAAAGCACGTAACAAAACCACTAAAACAAACTAAAATTAAAAAGCCAATTAAAAACATTAATCTCAGGGTATAACGGTTCACAAAATTCACGGTTCGGTTCGTTTTCGTTACAGCAAAAAGAAAGAAATGCCAGAGAAATTTCCTTGATTTAATATTTTTAATTATATTTTTATTAAAACTAACATCATAAAGTATGATATCTTTTTACTTTGAGCAATGATGGAGCTATACTTGACTTTTCTTAGGAGTTTGGTTTAAATATGAATACGTGTATCGTTACACCCCTAAGTAATCTATATAATAGTATATAAATATAACAGAATGTGAAAAATACTAAAATAACACGTTTTTAAATGGAAAAAACACAGACGCTCAGTGTCATATATCTTAAGACGCCGCCGATGCGTTCTGTCAGTCTGAGAGTCTGTGAGCTCCGATCAGACAAAAGCTGGGATGATAAAGCGCTTCGGCTCGGCCTGTCGCGTCTGTCACACAATGGGCTGCATTATACGGGCCTTTCAGACGCCGGAGGACAGAAGCAGCTGTCGCCCAGACAGTTCAGCCCCGCTGGGGGGAAAACAGGCCTGATCAGTCCACACCCGCACATTCCCACACGCCAGACAAATCACACATACGTAACACTAAACCATCACTTCTGGTTTCTTATAATGGCCTTTCACTTTTATTTTTTTTTTGAAAGAAAAAAAATATCGGTATGTGGCCGATACCGATAACCGATATTAATATTGCTGTTATGGCCGATAGCGATATTTACAGATGTCTTTATCGATATTAGAGCCAGACCGATATATCAGCAGACCGATATTATCGGCCGATATTAGGCATTTTCCAAACTATCGTATCGGCAGTTATAATGGCCGATAAATGAATATTTCAAAAATAAAATAAAAACGAACGAAACACAAACATAATATCGGTCTTGAACCATGTCATGTGTGTTGGAGTTGTATAGTTTGTCCACCAGAGGGCGCTCTACACCGTTCCTGTTGGCAACACTCGTTGAGTTGGTCACGATACATACATTGCTTGAATAACAATTAAAAGAACATCCCCATCAGTTCTCTTAACTCAAATAAGCATGACAAAATTCGTGACCATCATGTCCAGTTTCAAATAAATAAATAAAATATCAGCCGATATATCGGAATATCGGATTTTAAAACCCGAAAATATTTGTATCGGTATCGGCCTTCAAAATTCTTTATCGGTCGGGCTCTAATCGATATATATTGCGATATAAAAACAATTTCACCAGATGATTTGAATAGCTCTATTTAGAAAGAATGAATCATTCTAGACTGACTGGTTTTGTCATGGAGTAAATCCGCATGGAAACTAATATTAATAGAATGTTAACTAATGTAGTTAACTAGACTTTAATAAATGGAACCTCATTGTAAAGTGTTTCCAATTTATGTCTCAGTGTTGGACAGATCAGTTGTTTTAACCATTCTTTAAAGTGAATCGGTTCAAAGGAGTCATTGGTTCGCGAATCGGACGTGTCATTAACGGACCACGGCACACGTTGTGTGATTATCCAGTCAGTTTAGAACATCGCACGAGATTTGACATCAACACAGAAAACATTTCATCACTAGATGAAAGTGTGGTTTATGTGATCTGAATGTGTGGAAAGTTTTCACCGACCTTTACCATCGTGTATTCTCAAAGATCAACTCAATTCATTAATTAGTTCACTTTTCAAAAAACTTTTGCTGATAATTTACTCACCCCCATGTCATCCAAGATGTCCATGTCTTTCTTTCTTCAGTCGAAAAGAAATTAAGGTTTTTGATGAAAACATTCCAGGATTTTTCTCCATATAATGGACTTCAATGGGGTCCAAACAGTTCAAGGTCCAAAAGAAACTTTCAGTACAAACTGCAAACTTGTTCAAAGGGCTTTAAACGATTCCAGACGATGAATAAGGGTCTTATCAAGCGAAACGATCGCTCATTTAATAAATAAATAACAAAGTTTAAGTTTTATAAGATCCAACGCTCGCCTTGCTCTGTTCTGTGGTGCACGTTCGTGACTCTCCTGTTCGAACTCATTCAACAAAATGAACAAATCTTTTTCCGAATCAATTCGTTTGTTTCTTTCGCCGAATGAACCAAATGACTCGGAAAAAGATTTGTTCATTTTGATGAACGAGTTCGAACAGGAGTGCGTTACAGAACAGAGCAAGGCGAGCATTTGAGCTTATAAAACTTAAACTTTGTTATTTATTTATTAAATGAGCGATCGTTTCGCTTGATAAGACCCTTATTCATCGTCTGGAATCGTTTAAAGCCCTTTGAACAAGTTTGCAGTTAGTTTCTTTTGGACCTTGAACCGTTTGGTTCCCATTGAAGTCCATTAAATGGAGAAAAATCCTGGAATATTTTCATCAAAAACCTTAATTTCTTTTCGACTGAAGAAAGAAAGACATGGACATCTTGGATGACATTGGGGTGAGTAAATTATCAGCAAAAGTTTTTTCAAAAGTGAACTTCTCCTTTAATATGCGCGAGGGAGGGAAAGCAAGACAGTTTGAAGACGGCGAGACCGGGGCTTTCACTCATCTACATCACTCACCGGTCAAATTAGGCTTTGGCGGGACAAAAATACGCCTATATATAAAATAGTTCCACCCTTCTTGCGCTTGATGTTTAAACTGACAGGACTTGCGCTCGTAATGTATGCGCTCGTGCAAAAACAAACATCCCCACCCCCAAACTCACTTCTACACACTCAGCAAAACAGGAGTGATTATCGGCCCTATTTTGACATCGGAACGATACTCGTGTAAAAAATTGACCATATCGGCCGATATATTGTGCACCACTAAAATGTATCACCGCTAATAACAATCACAAATGTTTGATGAGCATCAAATCATCATATTAGAGTGATTTCTGAAGGATCATGTGACAATGAAGACTGAAAATTCAGCTTTGATCACATCTTACAATATATTCACACAAAAAAACAGCTGTTTTAAATAATAATAATATATCACATTTTTCCTCTTTTTACTGTATTTTTGATCAAATAAATGCAGCCTCGGTGAGCAGAAGTCAAGAGACGGAGAAGTCCAAGCGGTGAAACGGGCAAACAAAACAAAAGAGGAACAGTGTGAATCAGTGTTTGTTGTGGCTGGTGATCCAGTGACGTCATGCGTCTGGAATCTACCAGAACAGCTGAACAGACGCACAAACTTCGGCCCAATGAACATTCACACGCTCGGCTCCTGTCATGTCTGAATCTATTTACGGCATCAACACTTGAGAACCAAATGAAGAGGGCGTCCCAGACACAAACATCTGCTCACCTCTGGGACTCCCCTTGCGGACGGCGGACGTTTCTCTCGTGCGTTGGACTCCAGCACTTCTTCAATACAACACTTCAACCTCTCTGGACTCACGGGCCGGTTCCGGTCCTTTCTTTCCCCAAACACCCTCTTACCCTGAAACAACATGACAGAAACACTCTCTAGCATGATTTAAAGTCACGAGTGTCTGGTGAGAGTTACTAACGAGTAGAGATGATAAAAATGTATTATTTTTTAAGCTCCAGGTTTGCTGTGTTTATAGGGTTGCATAATTTGCACTAGGGTAAATGTCATATTGTGATTGCGATATAATAAACAAATGGTTTCATGTGTTAACTTGCTTGGTTTTAAAGCAAAATGCACACACAGATTAGTGATAATTCTGAAATGTGCATTTCTCAACTCAAACTAGCAACAACAAATAAATGATTGATAACATCTATGATCAATAAGTAGGGATGCACCGATATGAAAATTTTGGCCGATACCGATAATTCTTTATATTTGAAAGCCGATAACCGATATATCGGCCGATAAACTTAAATCCAAATTTTTATCTAATTTTGAGAGCCTGATTACAAATACAAAAGTCTCACAATTAATTCCATGTCCCAAGCGCACAATTATAATGATGTTCTCATTATAGTGTTGTGTAGCCGATATGACAGATTTGCGCTTCACATGTTGTACCGAATCGTATTTTGTAAGAGATTTCAATCATATTTCAAGAAATTCAAAAACAAACAGTGCTGAACAAGTGTCTCAGCTGAAGGGAATAATACATTATTTATCGGCTTTAATATATCGGCCACATTTTCTTACCAGGCCAATAACGATAACATTACAGGGCTCCATACTAACTTTTTTTTACTAGGAGCGCTGTTGCCCCTGACTGAAAATTTTAGGAGCGCAAGCAAAAAATTTAGGGGCACACCTTAAATAAGCTTGCAATGCAATTATTCAAATTTCCCACAAAATAACTGTAATACTGACAAATTCTTTAATAATAAATAGACTTAACATTATGATATGCTGTTTTATTTTAACTTCACAGGGCTCCAGACCCAAAGTTGAGGGCAGCATCACCTCAAATGAGAACTCACAGTTCTAAAAAAAAAAAAAAAAAAAAAAAAAAAAAAATCTGGTAGCACTGGGGCTAACAATAAATCACTAAGCTTAATTTAGGGTGTAGATGAAATTAACTTTAGTTTTTATCATTTATAATGTCTTAATAATAATTAATAAAAGTAGTGAAAATATGTATATGGAGTGAAAATAGCCAATAAACATCCTACTGTTTACAATGGTATTATTATTATTATTTTAACTGGCTCTCCTAGTAACAGTGTTGGGTGAGCGAGATCGGCCCGCGACTGGCAAGTTCGGGGCTTTATTTTGTCAATGGTTCGGATCGCTGCTGCAGCTCCACGGTCCTAATCATACATGAGTGGCGTATTTTCGTTCCACTTTCATTTTGTTTGCATTCGTTGCTAGGTAACGACTAAAGAGTCGATAGATCGCTGATTGCTCAGACGCACATCAGTTTGTGATATTTGTTTCCGTCTCCTTCCCACAAACGTTTACGCGCGCTATTCTTGTCACGGATTCATTGACGCGCCTCTTCCACGCTTTACCATGCGTTTAACGTGTGGCAAATTTACTGGTCGCACATGTGCGACTGGATGTAAAATTCAGTCGCACACTCTCAATTTTTGGTCGCAAAATGCGACCATTTGGTCGCAGTCTGGAGCCCTGCATTAAAAATGAACATATATTGTGCGATACCGATATATCGTGCATCCCCATCAATAAGCCATTGATGTCTGGATAAAAATGTTTTAAACATTAATTATAGCCATCCAACATTACAGTGATTGAAAGCTATCATTCTTCTTTAAACACTTATTAAGCTTCAAAAAATATAACAGCTTTAAGAGAGTATTTTTCTCTGTTCCCTGTGTTCTTTGATTAACTTTACTGACAGAAAGCTTTATTGGCTGCTGGCCCTTTAAGAGCAGCATTTACGTCCATCATAATGCGTTAATAGCTCTAATTTGTTTATTTCATATTAAATCGCAGCATTTTGCGTCATATAATTGCATAGGCTTGACGATATGATTAATCGTGCAGCACTAATTTGCACAAATCTTATAAAAAGAAGCATTAAATTTATTATTACTAATTTAAAATTGTAAACAAAATAAGAAATATAACTGCTGTTTAAAAAAAAATTAAATGATTATAAAAAGAAGTGACCATTTTGACTCAGTTCTCATTGCATATTTTGTTTCTCTATTAAAAACGTCATATTATTAAACTTAAATGGGTTATAAAGCACCTAAAAACCACATAAAATATGGTGGTTTGATATGGAGACATAAAATATTAATATTAGAATAAAAAAAAAGAAAATTATACATGCAGCATTGGCAACTAAATTAAATAAGTTTAATTTGATGTACTAAAATTAATAAAGCTAAAACTAATAGAAATAAATAAAAAATAACAATGACAAAATTACTAAAAAAATTGAATTAAAATAAAAATGGGTCTGAATCGGCCTTGACTCTGTATGTAGTCTCTCTCGGTCTCACCTTGATGTTTCCTGGCGTTGTGACGAGCAGCTGCCGTCTCTTTCCTCTCCCGATGCTGAAGACACTGGATCCGGGATCACCGTCCTTCTCCGGCTCTCCTTCCTTCAGTCCGCCCGGCCTCTTGGTCACCACACGCTGATCCTGAACACAGGTGCTTACAACATGAAAACTCAACATTATTATTAATACAGGTGAAACTCAAAAAATTTGAATATCGTGCAAAAGTTCATTTATTTCAGTAATTCAACTTAAAAGGTGAAACTAATATATCATATAGACCCATTACATGCAAAGTGAGATATTTCAAGCATTTACTTGTTATAATTATGATGGTTATGGATCACAGCTTATGAAAACATTTCCACAATATTCTAATTTTGACTTTGGGGTTTTCCTAAGCTGTAAGCCTAATCAAATAAAGGCTTGAAATATCTCACTTTGCATGTAATGAGTCTATATAATGTATTAGTTTCACCTTTTAAGTTGAACTGAAATAAATGAACTTTTGCACCATATTCTAATTTTTCGAGTTTCACCTACTAAACTACTCTTTCTCCACATTTTTAGTTTAGTTTGCTGTAGCTCTACTTGTATAACAGTTTTAGGTCAGCGGTTCTCAACCTTTTGACTCCAAGGCTCCCCCACATGACTTTCCCAGTTGTTTGTGATTAACTTGATAAATAAAATAAGTTCTTGATAAATAAGCACAATTTCTTCCTGAAGTGTTGGGTGCAGTACATTTCAGTGTATTAAGTGGTCAACAGAATGCACTAGCTCATATTTTTTTGTAGGGTTGATAAAAAAAAAAGATTAAAAAAAGGTATTTAGGCACAATCAGCTACAAAACTGAAAAACATATATTATATTATAACATTAATTGTTAGAAAAGTACAAAATAATAAAAAATAAAACAGTTTTTTTTTGCAATCCTGTTATCTTTTCCTGCCCAGCCTACTTTACCTTTCTACGAACGGTCAACGGTCGAATTAACGCTGTTAAATGTCGTAGCAATCTTTGTCCAAATAACACATTTCTTCTTGTTTCTACATTCTCCGCTAAATTTCCCAAGTAAAATGTCCTTATAACCGTTAAACTCCAACAAACACATGTTTCCTGCTGGGGTAAACTGCACTGAGCGGTTGAATGCGCTTACTCGATCCGCCATGTTTTTTGTTTTGAAAAGTGTCTTATTTTACCCAGAATGCATTGCAGTGTAGTCCTACTAGTTTTAAGTGCTTTGTGCAACTGTCTGATTTAGATGTCTATCTGAAGTCTGACTATCTCATATATATCTAAGCCGTAGTCAAAGTCTATCTTTGCGAAACCGGCCCCTGGACTTGGAGTGTGGATCGCCCGTGACTGACTGTATTCGTCATGTGACTGTATGAACCGGACCGTGACAATTCGGGAAGAATACACCGTTACACCCCTAGTAAGTAATTTACTCTTTTCAATACAATTGTAATCAATAAAAATTTTTTTAATTTTATTTCTCGTGATGAAGCGATCATAGCTGGTTAAAGGAGTCCACATGCTATTTAATTTTTGAGCAAAATAATCATGATTACCAGTTTAACCTGTGAAGAAGTAAAGCAGCTCACATTGGAGGATTTGTTGACGGTGATTGACAGATCATCAAGCTTTCCCTTCCTGCCGTGGGGTGGCATCACTTCCTGTTCCGCCCGCTTTTTATCCTCCTCCACTTCCTGCAAAACATCACAAGGAAATCATATCATAAAGGGATCATCTTCTGCATCTTAGCATTTCATGTTTTTGTAATAATATAACAGAATAATAAATTAATTGTTATTAATAATTTAACAAATATTATTGTTTTTTTATTAACATAATAGATGAATCCCACACTGAACAACATTTTGGGTCACGTGACCTTTTTATTATTTTCCATGGGTCATAGAAGACTTTACAAATTTCGATTAGATCTAAAATGTGTTTTTTGGCGTATTTTAATCAGGTTCTCACCTGGTACCGTTTCCTTAGTGCTTCATTTTTCTTCCGCAAGGCCTCGATCTTTTTATCCAGCTCTGCATCCTTGTGCTCCTTCTTCATCATCATCATCCTCATCTCTGTCGAGCTCTGTCGAGCACAGAACGGTTTATGAACATTACATACACAAACACAATAATCCAAACAATCTGTGAGACAGGACAAACATTATGTCTGCCAGGAGGAGTTGTTCTGTTATTTACTGCATCTCACATGAAAATTAAAATCTTCATACACAAACAGCAAAATAATAGTCTTGCACATTTTAAATAACAGAATTTCATAAAGCAAATGTAATGGAATAAGGCTGCGTTTATATTACATAAATGTCTGACGTCAGAGACCCAGGAGAAACAGTCCAGGACTGAAACATAAACACAATGGCATATGATTAGTTATAATGAGTCAATTACTGTCTACATGTGTCTTTAACACGTGTACATTTGTGGGTCTAACTGCACATGGACACGCCATTATTAGCATCAGCTGCTACGACCGGCAACATGAGCTCGCGCACTAAAACTCCTCATGCCATCAGCTGTTTCAGGACGTCTGACACTCACACGTGACCACGATTTCGAACGCTGTGGCTCAAAACTCAGCCATAACCCTCAGATATTGAGCACAAAATTGTGGAATGGATATTTTGTTTTACAGTATTTGCCAGAATCTCTCTGTTAATGTTCCTCAAATGTTTCTTCAGGTAAAAATTGCAAATGTGATTTACAAAAATTCCAGGTTTGTTCTGTTCTGTGATGCACGTTTGTGACTCTCCTGTTCGAACTCGTTCATCAAAATGAAAAAATCTTTTTCCGAGTCAATTCGTTCGTTTCGTTCGTTGAATGAACCAATTGACTCGGAAAAAGATTTGTTCACTTTGATGAACGAGTTCGAACAGGAGATTCATGAACGTGCGTCACAGAACAGAGCAAGGCGAGCATTTGAGCTTATAAAACGTAAACTTTGTTATTTATTTATTAAATGAGCGATCGTTTCGCTTGATAAGACCCTTATTCATCGTCTGGAATCGTTTAAAGCCCTTTCAACAGTTTGCAGTTTGCACTGAAACTCTCATTTGGACCTTGAACCGTTTGGACCCCATTGAAGTCCATTATATGGAGAAAAATCCTGGAATATTTTCATCAAAAACCTTAATTTCTTTTCGACTGAAGAAAGAAAGACATGGACATCTTGGATGACATGGGGGTGAGTAAATTATCAGGAAAAGTTTTTTTTTAAAGTGAACTTCTCCTTTAAGGAGGAAATACTCAGTAATACTGTCGACTTATGAACTTACACATGGTTTGACTTAAAGAGAATTTAAGTCAAATTAAAAACAGCACATAGACATAGACAAAAGCTTGATTTTCATCATAGGGGGTTGTAACTGCAGTTAGCTTGTCGGTATTACAATATTGCTATCATCACGAGTCACGACAGCCCTATATCTGTCCAATGCAGAGTAAAGCAGAGACAGATTAAGCTATCAGAAAACAGTCTTATATCCACATACTATACTATAACAATCACAACACAATTCACCTCCCCAGACAGAGATTATTCATTAAACTAAACTGTAAAAATGGTCATGCCATCACGATCATGAGCTCATTAACATATGATCGCATGAATTTACATATCAACACACACACCGATTGTTCAGCAGCTGGACACACCCTGATAAAATACAAAATCTTTTGGTGCAGGAAAAAATCTTACCTAAAATTACAAAGGGGAAAAAACTTAAACGCAGCACAAGTATAACACATATGACCCGTGCAAATAGATGCACATTCATTGCAATGTGACATTTTTTGAATTCTGCATGAAGTGTTCTGATTGGTTAATATCAGGAGAATAAGTTTCGTTACTGATGACACCAAACATCTTAACTTTGTTAAGATTCCCAGCATTCCTGTTTCTCGAAGCACACATTAGTGATTAGTTTGGGGGAAAAAACATGCAGACTAATTAGGGATGTCCCGATCCGATCCACGGCATCGGTATCGCGCCGATACCGGCCCAGAACGCTAGATCGGAGATCGGAGGGGAGAAAAAAATATGAGCGATATCCAGTTTAGCGGCGCAGCCTGTCACGTGATGATTGTTGTGTTTAAGCACACGCGCGCAGAGAATCACTCTCGCTTTTGCGCACGGATTCTAATGTAATCGGATGATTCCACAAAAGCTGCATTTCAGTCTTTTCAGAAATTCATTGGCTATCAGAAAATAGCGTCATTTCATTCTCTATTGCAACTGGATAGATAAACTGTCACTCAAAGAGAGAGCGAAACTGGCGCGCGTAAAGTTTGAAGCGAAATTTACGCGCGTGACGCGCGTCAGAATCAAAATCCGTTGGCGGTCATTGTTTTTATGTCGACCGAGCATTCATCAAGAGAGTTACCTCTCTGTATTTACTCTGGATAGCAGAACAGCGGCGTGGGGATCATCGTCGCCGTATATTTGTGTCCACCGGACCCTTCGGAGCCGAACCGTTTGGCGAGTTTCACCATTTGCTCGCTCCAGGAGCTGCGCTGGATGACGGCCGCTGTCAGCGGTACTTCCGCCTGTCACGCGCCCAGTTTGATGACCTGTTGTGCCGCATCTGAGCGAGGATCACCCTCGCCCGGCCCCTCATCCATCTAATCTAGCTGTCATTTATTTTTGTTTTGATAATAAATAGAGCCAGCCTTCAAAAGTTATTAACCTGTCCTGTGATTTTTTTTTTCTCTCTCTCACGTCCAGACACGAATGTATGCACATATGTTGATATATATATATATATAGCGCGCTATGTATGTTATGCGCGCAGTATGTCTCGCTCTAGATTCCGGGAGATTTGAACTAATTTGCGGGCATCAGGGAGACGCTATCAATATGCGGGAGACTCCCGGAACTTCCGGGAGACTTGGGATGTCTGTCTTTACAACATAATACTATTTCTAGATATGGAATGAATAACATTCAATACAAAATGAACATGTCTTCATATAGAAATAATGTTTTAAGTGATGAAACATTTGCTTTGTTGTGCATAATCCCACCATGCATAGTCATATTAACAAAATAATTTATTGAAGCATCCAGACACTTCACCACGTGAGCAAGCAGCTAGGCTCCTGATTGGTTAACGCGGCGCGAATTCACGCCAAAGTTCAGATTTTTCAACTCGGGCGGCAGACGCGAATTCGCGTCAAACGCGTGAATGCACAACGCTCAATTCGCGCCATTCGCGCCAACTTGACGCGCGAATGAGGCGTATTCGCGTCTTCCGCGCCGCGCTCCACGCCTCATTCGCGCCGCAGGAATTTTTCTTGCATTGACTTACTTGAAATCATTCGCGCCTGACGCCCTATTCGCGTCCGGTGTGAACGTAGCATTAGTGCGTCGAAGTTGTGATAGCGCTGTCGGCTAACGCGAAATGCTACTATTTACATTCCATGGATGTTTATTCATATATACAATTGTTTTGGACTAAAAACTTCTTCAAATTGGATTGTATGGACGCTTTACAGTGAAACCAAACCATTTATGTTGGAATGTGGACTAACAGATGGCTAATTGGTGAGTTTCTTCCAGTTTGTGTTGGTTTGTTTTGGCTGTTGGTGGTCTGACAAAGAGACAGATTGTGCCCGCTGTGTTGATTGTATCTTAAAATGGTTTACGTCGTTCGAATCACGAGTTTCTCAGCTTTCCAAAGATATGTATTATGTTTACTTTTGTGTTTGTTTTGTTTTGTCTTTCACAAAGTTAAACCTATAAACCACCCTGTGGGCCGTATACGGCACGTCGGACCACGAAAAAAAAAATATCGGACTAATATCGGTATCGGCAAAAGCCAAAGGTGCGGCATCGGTATCGGTATCGGAAGTGAAAAAGTGGTATCGGGACATCCCTAAGACTAATAATTCAAATGTGTCAGAAAACAGTTCATATTAAGGGTGCACACCATTACATAAACATCCAGTCATCATTTACACATTTGGCTTTCTTTTCTCTGTGGAACATGAAAGCAAAAATGCGCTGGAAGTGGATGGTGATTTTTACTGAATGACACAGAAGCATAAAAGCACCATCATGAAGCATATGATTGGTCTCTGAAATACAAGCCATTATATGCCGAACATCTCCATGCAACTGCGAATAAGACTTGAGAGCAACGGCAGAGTGGATTTTCAGAGAATAATGACTTAAATTTGAGTCTGTTCCTCTCACTTGAGACTTAAAATATATCCACAAGTTTCCGAGGGGCGCTCCTGTAAAAAATAAAGTGGGTGAAACTTCCGGTGACGCGGCGGAAGTAGCATTCCAATGGTATTTTGTGTGTTAGTTAGCAAAGAGGCTAGCTGTTTTTCGGAGAATTATTTTACTATTTAAAGACGCAAATCTTTATAAGAGATGTCGTTACGGAGCTCAGGGACAACATGTGCTGTTCGCGGTTGTATGTATAACCGGATTAAACTAGTTCAGTGGCTTAAACGTGATTGTTTTGAACACAAGCTGAAAACGAAGTGATCCTGCCAGAGCCCGTCTCTGATCCTGCGAACGACTGTAGTTTCCATCACCTCCCAAAAGACGTTGAATCTTCCTGTGTCCATTTGTTTAAATTCTTAATATTCTATAAACTCTCTCAGCATGTGATTGGCTGTTCGCTACTGATGTTACACCTAAACTCAGGATCAAAGCCTGTGTTGACAGAATACCAAATGTGCCAGTTAATGTATTCAAGTAGCACATTCATTTATAATTTTGAATAAACTCCAAAGCCAAATGATTAAGTGTGTATTTTTTATTTTAATTGTTTGTCAGCTCGCACAACTGTCTGTCACCATGCCTTGATGAGTATTGATTATTAATAATGTTATTATAATACACTGCGGAGGGTAAAGGTACTGTTATTTCATCCTCTTGAATTCGGTTGAGGTTGTGTTCCCACATCGTTAGCTAGTTTGGATCGCTATAACTTGAATGACTGTCAACTGTTGAATAAACTAGTATCAAGCATGTTAAGTCGCGCTTTGTTTACTTCCAACCGGAAGTCGCGCCCACTTTTGACGCAAGGCCTCATGGGGCGTAGGAAACTTGTGGATAGTGCAAGACACTTTAAAAAAAAGATATTTCAAAGTTGACCTTTTACAAGAAAATACTACTGCATTTCAGTGTCTCTACTTCAAAATTCAATGTGTTATGTGCCGTTTCTTCGTAATTACTTGTAAAATTTACAAGGAATTCTGCAATGCAATAATTGACACAAAAATGCAGTACATTTGAATTATGCTTAACCTGGAAAACAGTGGCTTAAATATTCTTCTATATATATATATATATATTTGCGTTCGGCATAAGAAAGAAAATCACGTGATATTAAATGAGCTCATATTTGGGTGTGCGACCCCTCTAACCCGTTAACTGTCACTTGCCCGTATACGGGCAACCTAAATTTACTTCACTATATTACTATTAAATCTTAATCTTGTCATGACAAACTATCGTTAGAGAGGTCTAAGACTCCTAAATAGGTATTTTAGGTCTGTTTTTTTCTTACAAATTATGAATGAACAGTAATATATGAATATATGACAAGAGTGCGCCTCAAAAAATCGACGTCATTACAGGAGTTTCTGACCTTTGTCACAAAAAGTCGACGCACACACTTTTAATAATTGAAACTTTGGTTTCCAGTGCTAAAAGTTCATAATAAAACATAATTAGTATTTGTCAACAAAAAAAAGATAAAATTATATTTTAAAAAGTAAGGTCAGAAGTCCTCTAAAAAGTATAATATATTATATATATATAAAAATATATTTTTTTATTATTATTATATCACATATTTTAGTAGTTATCATAAATTAGGTATCATTTGAAAGCTTACGAACTCAGAATTCATCCTGTGAAAACCGTTTTGAAATTGGATGTTGCGTTACCATAGAAACGGTATTTTTTTAATAGGCTCCTCCCGTTTTGGGCGTCATCTTTCATAATTTATTATGAAAACCTTTTCTAATCTTGACAAAACACATATTGTCAGAAAGGTCTGAGTCTCAAGGTTCCATATTTAGTGACAGAAGTAATATTTGGATAGAAATTTATACAAAATGCATACAATTAAATTCAATGGAATTCAATGGCACCCGGCGGCTATTTTTGGTACTACACCTAAACAAAATCTCATGGGAACTTCAATTTTTGTGATATCAACTTCAAATTTGGAACACAACTTTGTTAGATATATAGCTTTCATTTTAGAGTAAAATATATTTTGTAAAATATATATTTCATATTAAAAAATATATATTAATAAAGTAAATTTGATTTACTGTAAATTACAACTTCCCTAACTTTTTCGTAGTTTAATTTTTGTGTGCTTTCAATTTAGTAATAATCTGCTGAATGTTTTCTTTAAAACAAGACCAAACTTAAGTCTATATTCCAAAAGCATTCTTGAATTACAACCATTTGAGTTTGTATAGTGCATTTTAATGTCAATTATCAAAAAGGTAAAGGGAACATTTTAAGCGATAATGCACTTTTCAGCAATAAAATATAACTATTTTTGTCTCCCCAAAGATCCTTTCAGTGATCAGTTCTTAAACCAATTTTTCTGAACATTTTATTTAATCTAAAAGATGCCATTATAAAGAACCTGGAAAGGTTCCATGAATGTAAACGGTTCCTCGTGGAACCACTGATTAAGAGTGAACAGATCGCAGAGGCAAGTGCACAAGGAACTCACAGTGACTTCGGTTGTCAGGGGACCAAAACAAACACATCCAGAAATCCAGTGCAATAGGAGACAACATGAATCATCAATGCTGCAAAAAAGGACAGGGAAAATTCCAGCGCTTCCCACTCATCTGTACAGATCACATGTCAAACAGCCCAACACAGCGGCTCTAACTATAAGCTGACGGACCAAACCGAGGCCTCGTTCTTCAGACAAACGTGCACGTTGGTCTCATCCAGACTGCTGGAAAAGAAAAGGAACGAGCAAAGATGTGCACGAAGAAGAGATGAAGAGGCTAGTGGAAGAATGAGAAACAGTGGCACTCACAGCTCTGTTCATGTCAGCAGGGAAATCTGGGATCCTTGCAAACGGCAGGCAGCCGACGCGGCTCGGGGAAGAAGCGCATGGAGTCCCGGATCATGCCTTGATTACAAAAACGCCAGTTGGGCTGTGAGCCAAGATCTCCGAACGCAAAGAAAAGCCCTGCTAACGGACCCGCCGCTCACCCGTACGGCTCAGCCTCTCTCTCTCTCTAAAGCTCTTGCTCATAGTTAAAATTACCCCTCACTACCCCACCCACGTCTGCTGTCATACCCCTGAAAACCATTCATTTTATGACTCAATATGGGATCTTTTTAATAATAGAGAAATTTAGAAATCAACACATTTAAGATTGTTGGACTAGAAACACTCTTTTACACTCACTAATCGATTTAACGAAGAAAAAAAAATACTCACTCATGTTGTTTAGGGCCCTAAGAAATCCGTTTAATTTTTCCCAAATTCCGTCTTTTTTACCCTTGACTGTTATTTTAATCGTAAAAAAAGACTGTGCTTTTAAAGTTAACGATTAAAATGTATTAAAAAAATACAAATATAATGGAATTTCCCCGCTCTTATTCATCGTCTGGTGTTGTTTAAAGCCGCACTGAAACTCTCATTTGGACCTTGAACCTTTTGGTTCCCATTGAAGTCCATTATATGGAGAAAATCCTGGAATGTTTTCATCAAAAACCTTAATTTCTTTTTCGACTAAAGAAAGAAAGACATGGACATCTTGGATGACATGGGGGCGAGTAAATTATCAGCAAAAGTTTTTTTTAAGGGAACTACTCCTTTAACTAATAAACCTTAATGTAAAGTGTTACCAAAAAAACTACATGAAGCAAGACATACTAATCAAATCTGGTTTCATGAATCAAGATGACTTCACAATCTCGATCTGAACACAACAGAAAGTGTTTCAGACACTCACACGAGTCTTGTCCTCCAGCTGATAGTGTTGGTCCTCACAGAAGTCCTTGAACATGACGAGATGCTCCTGGTGTTGCATGATGGTTCCTCAGGCTCTGTGTTTCTCCACTGTAAGAAACAATGACAATTCACATGGATATAGAGAGACAAGTGTTGCATATATTCAAATGATCCAACTTGATTACTGTCAGAATACATAAAGAACAGTTCTTTTGTACATGGAAACTCTTTAGTTTTTGAAAATACACCAGTAAATATTATTATAAATGGGTCATTCCTGAGATTAGGTAGTATTTCAACTTGTCTTTTTGAATTATAGTATTATAAATAATTCGTTTTCTAAATAGCCCACATATCAAACCTCTAAGAATAATCATATTTTCTCCACTTCAGGCATTAAAGATATTTTATCCCTTTATTTATTATTTTTCACAAGAAATCAACACAAATAAATACTTACAATATTGCAAAAAAGATTTTATGCTGAACTGAATTTTTGTGTAGAAAATATTTAACAAATTGTGCAAAGTGCCTCAACGACATGACGAAATGCTTAGTGTACAATAGAAATAAGACATTATTTTTTAATTAAAAATTATTTAAATGTGATCAGTTTTAGTCATTTATACTTCAGACATTGAAAGAGAAAAAATATGATCAAATGAGGTAAAATAATTAAATAAACCACTAGTCAGGGTGGATGTGGAACTGCTTACATGCAAACTAGGTATAAAACAGTTACGTTCGTGATTACATACCACGTAACGTTGTGAAAAGCTTTTAATTTTAAACTTTAAAAACTCTGAAGGACTGAAATATTACATGACCCACATATGAATATATCGAAATGCCATGTAATACCGCCATATTATCATTATCATGTAAAACACGTTAGCAGACGGTGGTTTGTCCTCAGAAAGGTCCTCAACGTTAAGAATAAACGTTCTTCCAGTTAATAAAACGTCCATTCTAAGTTATCTGGTCTTTATTATTGTTCTCAAAACGTTATCACAAAAACATTATTTATAACGTTACATCTTTCATGAAACGTTTAACGTTAACTGAAATATTTCATTTGGACGTTAGAATGTTTCTAAACGTCAAGTCCTGCTTCCTAACGTTAACGTTAAGTTACTTTCTTTCAGATGGTTCAAATTGTTCCCAAATTAACTTGAAAAACGATCTAACATTCGCATAACCAAGAAAAAAAATGTTTAGAAAAACTAGCTAAACGTTTTGAATGTTCGTTCGGTCAAACTTTTTCATAACGGTTATAAACGAACATTTTATTGTTAGCTGGGTAGACTAGCAATCAATTAAACTAGTATAAAACACAGCACTAAACCATATTTAATGTGTTTAAGACAAACATATTGTAATATTTACCTCTGAAACATTACATTAACTAACTTAACGTTACGTAAATCACAGATTTGACAACTGAAATGTTGTGTGTAACGCGTTCAGCATTTTTTATGTTGCATTTTTATAACACTTCAGACATTAAAAGAGAAAAATTATGATCAAAATGGGTCAAATAATCAGATAAACCAGTATTCAGGGTGGATGTGGAACCGCTTACCTGCCAACTAGGTATAACAACACACAAGTTAAGTTCATGATTAGCAGTTTGAACTGAGAACTGAGGAGGCCTGACTGAGTGACGTCACCGGACCTGCGCTTCAGATCTGGCGCCACCTGATGCTCAGTGACGAAAGTGCAAAACCACGTGATCTGATCTACTACGCACTTTCATAGCTGTACTATTTATGACAAATGTTGACTCATTTCAGTCTATTTTTATTTCTCTCAAGGAATTTTAGCATTTGATAATTAAGTCTCGGGGCAATAGACATATATAGGCTGCACATAGGCTATTAAACAGTGCAAAGACAGAATAAACAACAGTGTCCAAAACCAGGAATTAGGTGAAAGTTCACATCTGTAATAAACGTTGGTTGCATGAAACTATTAAACGAGTGTTTTATCTACTCTATAGATGGTCTAGTTCAAGATATAGGTATTGAATGTCTGTAAAACCTGTTATATTCGTAAACATAAAATAAATATCCCACAACATGCAGTCTGTGTTTAAAGCACACCTGAAACACAAACCACACCTGTTGCTCGAGGGAAAACAAACCAGTGTTTTACTACAAGACCACTCCACAACACTACGGCTGTGAACATTAAAAAGAGATTCAGGTGTCACTGGCTTCATGTTACACTCAATAGCTCTGCTCTTTGAGCATATTTATGTGTGACTTCTCATAAAGTCAAAATGCAAAGCACACATATCTCAGATAAATAAAGTGATGCATTCAGCATTAAACACTACACTGTTTTGTGTTACCACACGTCTTTCAAACCTCCCATTTCCACCCCGTTCTGCTTTATAAAACAATGAGCAATGTGGAGATATGGCCATGCATTTATTTGCAAATGTGACTATTGGCATTGTTTCTATTGTCTTATGCTTCAAATTTTCATGTCATGTAACATTATTTGGTGATTTTAAATGTTATAAACATGCAGCACAAATCATTAGGCCTATAAACTATTTAGTTTCAATTTGAACCTCTTTTTATGAGTATCAAAACGATTTTGAAACGAAAAACCAAAAAAAAATGAGACTGCAAGTATGCTACTTTTGGAAAGGCCAAGATCTTTTAAAAATAAACCTGAAGCTCATTGTAGTAGCAGGTTTGATGTTGATCAGACACACCTCCGTGTCGACCAATCAGAGGAGAGAAGTTACAGTAAAGCAGTGACTCATGTTAATGTGAATAATACTGGCGCTTGTCTCAGACTATCAACTTTCACTAGTCATAACAAGAATATGCTTTTAAATAAGCTTGCGTTGTTTTTAAGGAATGCTTTTATAAAAGGATTTAAATCTGCACCTCAACTTTATAACTTGATTATAACTGCAAATTCATCTTTATATGAATTTGCAAACTGATTTATGATTTCTGTCATTTAACACACCACTATAATGGTACATCATTGACACTAAAATAGCACTGCATCACTGAACTCATCAGATCTAATGATGAAACTTAGGCTACTGAGGTTTGTGCTGCTGTTTTCCTTCCAAAATGATGTCATTTCCTGGAGGTATAAATGGTAGTCAGGAACCGACTTTTGTTATTTAAAGCTTTTTTTTTTTTACAAAAGACTAACACCTAAAAACATAGTTATGCGCTCTTGGCAACCAACTATCCATGTGCATGTGCGTGCCAATGTTATGTGATGGTAAACATGATCAAACCTGTTCATTCTCTAAGGATTACAGCCAAGAACTCTCACCTTCTTGGCATGGAGTTGGTTAACCTAGTTAAAACAAAAGCCTACAGTAAGTGGTGTGTGATATAAAGAACCTTGCATAATGAAAATCTCATGAAACCTGTCAGGAACACATCACAATTTTCCCCCCCAAAATCAAATGAAAATATTATAAAATCATCCCACGGTTTCACAGACTTGCATGTTTGAACCGAAAGCAACTTGCACGGACAGATCTTTAAATGTGCATCAGTGCATTGTCTCACTCAATGTTTTATAAGACACGTTTATAAAAGCAAGAAACTGAGGCCTATAACCAGGCCTTTTGCATTAATAAAAATGAGAATTTAACATATTTTCTCCCATGGATCTGTTTGTTAACATGCTTTATGACAGATGCAACTGTATATGCAACTCATTCATGCACCTTTACAAACTCAGAGCGGGTTAATCCAGATTCACAGAGCAAACACCCTAATGCTTTATGTTTCAAAAGAATATAAAACAAACACCGTCAAGCAATGCTTCAGTTCTATTCGCAAGATTAACACGTGAACTTATGCAAACTGTAACATGAATCAATATCCTTAGGGAATCTAGAAAATTCTTATTAAAACTACTAGAGAAACTTATGCAAACTCCTGGCACATGATTCAATATCCTTAGGGAATCCTTCATACGTTCTAATAAATACTGAGATATATACTTTAAAAGATCATTTGCATGCACTAAAACAAAATAATCTAAAAATTATCACATCTGAATTAATTGTTTTTATTTAAGTCACTATAGTCAATGATGCAAACCAGTGAAAAAAAAAATGTTTATTGCATTTAAAGACGATTACTTTGAATGAACGTAACCTTTTTCATTCACTCTCAGAATTAAAAAAAAAATAACAATTGTACTTTTAAGGGTCACATTGTCACTGGGCCAGTACATTCATAAAAAAAGGACAAAAGCGGTGACTGGGGTAGGATCTTTTCCTTAGTAGGCTGACTAAAGAGTACCAAAGAAATATTTCGGGAAGGAAAGTATAAGGTACCGCCCCAGTGACGTCTTTTGTACATTTTTTCTGAGAATGTGTAACTAATCCTAAATCTACAGTAGCACCTTAAAGGAGTAGTTCACTTCTGCTGATAATTTACTCACCCCCATGTCATCCAAGATGTCCATGTCTTTCTTTCTTCAGTAGAAAAGAAATGAAGGTTTTTGATGAAAACATTCCAGGATTTTTCTCAATATAATGGACTTCAATGGGGTCCAAACGGTTCAAGGTCCAAATCAGAGTTTCAGTGCAAACTGTTTAAAGGGCTTTAAACGATTCCAGACGATGAATAAGGGTCTTATCAAGCGGAACGATCGCTCATTTAAAAAATAAAAAAACAAAGTTTAAGTTTTATAAGCTCAAATGCTCGCCTTGCTCTGTTCTGTGATGCGCGTTCGTGATTCTCCTGTTCGAACTCGTTCATCAAAATGAACGAATCTTTTTTCATGTAATTTGGTTCATTCAACCAACGAAATGAACAAGTTGACTCGGGAAAAGATTCGTTCATTTTGATAAACGACGAGTTCGAACAGGAGAGTCACAAACGCGCATCACAGAACAGAGCAAGGCGAGCATTTGAGCTTATAAAACTTAAACTATTTTTATTTATTTATTAAATGAGCGATCGTTTCGCTATAAAGACCCTTATTCATCGTCTGGTGTCGTTTAAAGCCCTTTGAACAGTTTGCAGTTTGCACTGAAATTTTCTTTTGGACCTTGGTTTGGTTCCCATTGAAGTCCATTATATGGAGAAAAATCCTGGAATGTTTTCATCAAAAACCTTAATTTCTTTTAAACACATGGACATCTTGGATGACATGAGGGTGAGTAAATTATCAGCAAAAGTTTTTTTTAAAAGAGCTCCATATTTCTATTCTAAGGAACTAATATGCACCTTTAGGGGTAAAAAAGGTGTCATTTTAACCCTATACAATTCATTCAATTTTATGAGATTTTTTTTACAAATTTTCTGAGAGTGTGATTTGTAAAATGTTTCTATGCATCTTCCCATCAACGGTTTGGTTGGCATCTCAGAAAAAGATCTTTCTGACTTATAGACTTTCTGGTTTGTGAAGTGGAAACGGAGGCTGTAATTATGATTTGTTCAACTGCCTATTTCTGTGGACTTGCCAAGATATTTAGGGCGTTTCTCCATTCAGATTGCATCGGTGTGGGACAATAACATTCCTCTCCCCATGAAAAGCAAAAAAACATCACCATTTTACAGCAAGAGAACTTTTACATATAAACTCACATGTTTATACATGTAGGGATCAGATTTTTTCTTAACTACCAGGCTACATTAGGGTGCGGGTTAAGTTGACATGCACTTGCAAAGTTACTTATAATGTCTAATATCGAAATAAAGTGTTATGTTCAGTGCACTCAAATACATGAAACTAACTAACAGAGGAGATTTAAAACAGTTAAAAGTATAATCATTATTCAACTCTTTTTAATGCAGACTTGTTTATCCACTCTTGGGTGCGGATGAGCAGGTATCTTTGTCACCTGAGGGCGGACCCACACATATAAATACAGCAGGGAAACGGCAAGTCCACACTGAAAGAGCAAGACAAGAAGAGGTAAGACATTCTTCATTTATTCGCTGCAGCGTGACTGAGAGATATTTGTCAAATGCATGATTACTGTGTGTAACATTTATTGCATTTAGATATTATAACCTTGTGAAATAAGCATGCAGTCAAAGGCAAATTCGCTTATGGCTCTTTTTTATAGTTCAGTTTTACTGCCGTATTGCACTTCAGAAAAAAATCTCAACATGGGCGATAAACGTAAGTGATATTTTATTTAAATATGTTGACATATTTCTGTGTGTGGCATCGACTGACATTTAGGATGTTTTACATTTAAACGTTTCCAATCAAATTTTCATTAAATGCCATGGCATGGAGAGCAATTGTTCATGCTTATTTTTGTTTCCCTATGTCTTCTACAGCACCAAAGACGGTGAGATATTTCTATTTTTAAATGTGCACAGCAATTCATTGATTAAATAAAAGGTTAATTTTAAAGAATGATTCACTGATCATGCTGTATATTAACAGGATGAACATCATTCTGAGGTATGAAGGCAATAACGTCAAACACTTCTACACAAACAGTTAAATAACTTTTACATTTTATGCTAATCATATTGTCATATTATCTGTCTCGTAGAGCTCAGACGATGAGGGTGGAAAGGTAAATAAATGAATAAACTTTAATGGTGAAAACATTGATGCACTTTTAAAATATCCGCATTGACAGACATCTGATTTTATTGATATGTCTTGTAGGGGAAGCATGGAAAGGGCCAAGACAAAGGGAAAGGCAAAGGTCAAGGTCATGGAAAAGGTCATGAACACAGTCATGGAGGTGAACATGGGAAAGCAGGTGAACATGGGAAAAAAGGTGAAAAAGGAAAAAAGTGAGACTAAAACTTCAAAGCCTGAAACAACATGATGCTCCATGCAAACAAAAAAAACTGGGTTTCAGTTCACCTTTGCAATCAAATAATGAAATTAAAACACCTTGAACACCTTGTCTTTGTTTTTAATCTTTGAGCATGACTGTTTTTAATGAAATGTGCAAATCATATCTGTTTGTAAGCAATAAACACATCAAGATCAGAATCTAAACTCAAAGATTGACATTTATTGTGAAACTGTGCTGTGCAAGAAACGAAATGCGTGAGATGTTGCATAAGTGCAGAGTTTTTGGGATTTCATACATCAGCTTAAATTCCAGAAAATATTAAAGGGTCCGTATGCAAGATTGTGGCCAAAACTGGTACTGCAATCACTATTAAATGACTGTAGAGCGGTGTATCCTTCCCCTTTGACTCGAGGTTGCCAGATATGCTGCAGGATCCAGCAGGAACGTAGGCTGCTATAAGAAGCTTCAAATGGAAGTGACGAGTCTTACACAATGAGGTTTTTTTTCTGTTAATTATTTATTTTGGACTTTGTCACAAAGTATTTCGGATTCAAGTTTTTTTTTTTTTTGGTTTCGCAAAGTTAGATTTTTTTTATCCAGGTCTAGGCTATCTCCAGCTGTGGTAACAAGAGAAGAGCTGGCAACCCGAATGGTGGAGGGTGGCGCATTTCAGAACACGGCATGACAACATCAACATCAACATCAACATCAACATCAGTTGATCAAAATACAATATCCTGGCCGGACAACAAGATTTATTAATGTCTAGTGACATATCAGGGAAAATTATGATTAATTGAAAATAAATGTATTGCATACAGCTCCTTTTAGGGTCAATGCAAGATCTTGTCTGTTATACTTACTTTGAGGATGACTGTATAACTAACCTGTTGCTATGGCACAACAATAACATCAGTGCAGGTTCTGCAAGTTTGGATCTCAAACTCGTATGTGATTCATGCCATTTTCCAATTAAAAATGGATAAACCAACAAATAATCCATTTTGTAGGGGAGTTCTCCAAAAGTGGGAAGTGTTGAGGCTTAGGTTTAATAACTGGAAAGCGCATCATTTAGCATTCCAGTATGCATGTGCCAGCAGGTCCCCATCACTGGTCCAGGGCGTATTGGGGAAAAAGGTTAAAAATCAATAAGCAATTCCATTTGGGGCTGTTAATGGCACAAAGGGTCACTCTACCCACCTTTTAATACGAAGAGAACTTAAAACTCCAATGACAAAACCAATGTTTCAGCAGCATTGTTTCCAAAAGTTTCAATGAATCTCAAACTTTTATCTAATAAAGTATATGAAAATTGGACAAGACAAAGGCTGGACTTAATAGCTTTGATGGAAATAACTATCCCACAAAGCATTGCAAATGAAAAAAAAAAAGTTGAGTAGTCACAAAACATGCATATACACCTTGAGAGAAAAGGATCAGTGATGTGCATCATGGGGACATGGCATTCCCCCTGAAGTCTCTCAAGAGCACCATGGGTAATGCAATTTTTACACCAGTTATTCTGTTAAAAACATTAACAAAAATAAACTGTAGTAAATTAAAGTTTATTCCATTACTTTAACTCCAACATTTCAACTTAATTTATGAGATTCAACTTAATTTAAATCAGTTAAAAGGGGTCATGAAATGAGAAATCAAAGACATGAGGTCATCATTATATAAGAATATCCTATTGTTAGTCCAAAATCAGCTTTTATTGTTACCAGGTCCAGCGAATGATCCTGGTATTCTCCTCCCTTTCTCTGTCTCCCTCTTCTGGTCACACACCCTCTGTGCAGACGCACCCATTTTAATATTACACTCTTCATTCTCTACCAGCCGTCTCCCATCATTTATCGCTGTTGCATCCTTCTCCTTCTCACCTGCTACCTCTTTGCTTCTGATTAGTTGTCCTACTCCCACTTTACCTTTGCTAAAATATTATCTATGATTACGTGTGTCAGACGGCGCTCAGATATCTATGGCGCTCCCTAGCGGTCTTTGTCAGATGACGTCACACTCGCGATTCACGAAGTGCATTATGGGCGTAGCCGCCGTTTGTAAGGTATCGATGCTGAGGTATTCTGTTGGAGAATTGGTTTTTAATTCTTTTTTTCAAAATAAACCATCCTTAACATTATGGCTTCAAAAGCATAACTTCAGCTTTCACTAACAGTCTTTAAAAGTTAACTTCTGGAGCCCTATGGTTGCGTGATCCCAAGACGTCATATAACTGACGTTTTGGGACGTCTTTTGACCATACGTCAATATTCACCTTTTTAGGGCCCCCTTAAACGTCGGTAGATGAGGTTATGGGATCCTAACTCTACCCCAGACCTAAACCTAACTGACGTTAAAGGTAAAGCGTCAGTTGTATGACGGCCCGGGATCGCCATCTACCGACGTTTAAAGGGGCCCTAAAAAGGCGAATATTGACGTATGGTCAAAAGACGTCAGTTATATGACTTTTTGGGATGAGACTGTTGATGGGACTTGAAAAGTAAAGTAGGACTATGTCACCACATCAGCAGAATGAAGCACTTTTTCCTCCAAAGGCAAAAGCAGTTAAACAAGACAAGAAGCAAAAAGACAAGTCAGATAAAATCAAGGATTTATTTCAGTTTTATTTAGAGCCAGTCTTTTGCCCTTGAACCATTACAGGACCAAGAGAGGCCTTGCCTTCCCACTGAATGCCTATAGAGAAGAGAGCAAAGTTAGAACACTTGAATAAAAGCAACCTTAGAAAGAGCAAACCCTACAAACCTCCATAGGGATAAGCAGCAAATTCAGCATCAGGACCACAAGTTGAGTCACAGCAACCACAAACTTGGTCGTTTCCGTCAGCTGCAACCCACCTGCAACAAAACAGACACGGAACCTTCAACATGAGCAAAGGCCATCTAAAAAAAAAAAAACCCCAAAAAGATAAGTACCCATTGGCAAATGAACAGGATTTCCGCTGAGCGTCACTGGGTGCAGAAGCAAGAGTTGCCTTCAGAATACATGTAATGTAGATCTGCAAGAGATGACAGACAAGTCACAAAACCAAAGCAGATGGGAGGAGTCGTCAAATTAACACGTGATATACAGGACACATACGGAAGGACTGTTGCCCTCCTGGAACATAAACGCCTCGAGCTGGAACTGGATCTTGTCAACCTGGGACCGAGGCATGAAGCGGGAGCTGGAACCTGTAGTTTTGGCATCCACAAAGCATCTGACGACAGAGCAAAACTCCAAGGTCAACTACAACATCAAGAAACTAGATCTTAGCCATGACTGTGACAAAGGGGTTACAAAAAAGCAACTGAAACGGTCCAACCGCATCAAGGGCCATGAACTTACCCATGATTCTCAATGAAGGAATATCTCGGAAGAGAGTTGACATCAGGTGATTGAGTGGCCACACAGCGGTCCACAAACACACGCAGAGGAACATGATTGTATTGCTTCACAGACGCCTCGATGTTGATAACACCACCCAGAAAATAGGAGTATGAAGGCCTCTGATAGGACCAGTCATCTACACAAACAAAAAAACATTTTAGGCACAGCCACAATAGTAAAGGTGTAAATTGAGAGAAACTTGTACTTACCCATCATGATCTTCAGGGAGAAAAGCAAGACTTCTTCACCAGCCTCTGATGAAGCATAAGGGACCCATGTTGGCCTCAAGGCATCACTGCTTACATTCTGAAGCCTACAGTTCATGAAAATATCCATCAATTGGTCTTCCAGTTGCACAAGCAAGAAAAGTCCCAGAGATCACTTACCTTTGATAATGGCATTGAACGCCGACAATTGCACCATCAGTCCGGGTAATCGGAGTACCTGCAAGCGCCTCTGGGGTGTAGGTAAGAGAGAAGGTGTAGACAAGCTCATCCTCAGTCATCTGCAAGAAGATTGTGGTTACCAAGAGGGTCACCCCAAATACTTCATATACCAAGACACTGCCCTCAGATCACTAATGGGAAAGTGCAATGGTGGAATATCTCCTAGATAAGAACTAAATGTTGATGTTTTGAAGGGTTACTTAAAGCCAAGTAATTTGGAAATTCAGGATTTCTACATTCAAATAGGTAGTACTTGCTTGTCATTTGCAATGCCAGGGCAGTTAAGACCAAGTTAACTGACTTTCCTTGAAAGATTGTCTATCCTCTGCCACACCAAAATAACCCATTAAGATTTATGAGTTCTTACCATCAGCACACTACTGCAGTCCTGTAATTCATAGTCAAAGATGAGCACTCTTGCCAAAGGATCCTGACCAACAACAGGACATCCACCTAGAGACATACCAGTTGGCTGGATCAACTGACCATTGCTGAAAAAGTCCTGCTGGACCTCTACAAGAACCCGGTTCTCGCCGCATTGAACCGCTACGCTGCTGGGAGTCACGGGTTGCCTCAACTGGAAGTCCACCGCCACCTCGCTCTGCACCTCGGGAACGACGGGATACCTCCAATCCAAAGGCTTCACTGGACCCTGCAACAGCAGCTTCTCCTGAAGGCCAAAAGGATCCTGTGCAAGGCTTTTGGAGTCGGGACCCAGAGGACTCTGAAACTGAGACGCCACTTGCAAAGGGTTCCAGAGCCCAAGAGGGGAAAGGTCAGGACTTCTGGAAGCTGGATCAGATTTTGGCCCCATGCTTCTTGGACTATGACTATACCTCAAATTTCCCAAGACATCAGGCAGATCAACTGCAACTACCAAAACCACCACTAACACACCTTTCAGGAACCCCATCCTAACAAACTTTGACTCAAACACCACAATACACACTGCTTTGCTTTGCCATTTTGTACAGCTTTGAGTTAAGGTGGCTCCACCCCTTTTATCTTAATTGATTACCTTTTGATTCTCCTCTGGACCTGTAGAGTTTATGCATCTTGGGGACACACCACTCTTCACATTTTTTATGGGGCCTGTCCAAATACCCACAATTGCGGTCTTTGTATTTGACCACTTGGACCCACCACTCTTCACTTTCTTTATGTCTCTTATCTGACACATTTAGGGGGATATTTACACAACATTTTCAACTAAAACAAGAAAAAAACTCTTTTTATGCATTGTGTTAATTTAAACAACAACAGTATTTTGTAACTTTTGAAAACTGGTTTCAAAGTGCAAGTTTTTGAAAAACCGATACCATATTGTCTATTGAGAATGAGGAGTTGACGTCATTTTACAGTGCCCCTCCCCTTTCCGCCATGTTGGTAGGATTCCCACGACAAAACAGTATTGATTACGTGTGTTTTTAGCTCGGTAGTAGAGGAGTTTCTCGCAATACCGCACTGTTTTACCATGCCTGGAAGTAACTGCTGCGTTAAAAACCGATAAAAACCCTGGTAACCGATACTATAGCGTCACCTACCATCATGGCCGAATGGCTCAGACCCCGCCCAAATAGGCACGTGACTCCTCATTCTCAATACTGGCCTGGCAGCAGAATAAAATACAGTACTTTTAGTCACTTTCACAGAACCAGGATCAATACGACAACATTGTTGTCTGCATTCAAAACATTTAAAAAACACTAAGGATAACCTTTCCTACTTTTAGTACATTGTTGTCATGTAAACATACACATTGTTTAGTTATTGGAGCTCTAGCCTAATGAGCTGATGATCTGAATCGGGTGTGTTAAGTAAGAGAGACACTTAGGCTTTGTTTAAACGGAAACGATTCTGAAGAGAAAACGCAAAAGTGGTGTTGCGTCATCTTTTTTTATTCTGACGAGCGTTTAGACGAGCGTTTTGTTGTGTCAAATGGAGACGCGAAAGTGTGTGAAATTCAATGTAGTAGCCTCAAAAACGCAAAAAAGTGAAACCACCCTCCAGAGTGGAAATCTTAAAAACGCTCCACCGCCGCGTTCCCGTGTAAACGGTAAAAAAGCAAAAGTCTGCTTGACAGTGAAGGTTGTACGCAGGCGCGTGGACTTGGTGTTGTTGTAGTATGCACTCCTAGCCGCCTGAAGTGCATACTACATTGAATTTCACACACTTTTGCGTCTCCATTTGCACGCGGATTTCCCCACACAAAACGCTCGTCTAAACGCAGAATAAAAAAAGATGACGCAACGCCACTTTTGCGTTTTCTCTTCAGAATCGTTTCCGTGTAAACATAGCCTCAATGTCTTCTAAAAAGCACCTGAGCTCACATAAATAATAGAGATTATTCATAAATATATTTAAAATACAAATCACATAGACAAAACCTTTTGAGTTGTTTAGTAAAATCACTGAAGTCTGTGTGCACGCACATACTGTATGCATAGCCTGATGCAACATACACTCACCTAAAGGATTATTAGGAACACCAACATTTTAAGACCAAAACATTTCAGAACTGAGACAGCATAATACCTTTCCAAGTTTTTTTTTCCAACAAGGCTATTTTAATACATCCACAAAACCATCACAAAAACATGGAGCCCTCTTGTGGCTGATTGGATACATTGTACATACATGCATGCATAATTCACTATATAAATGTTTTTTAAATCATCTTAATTCCAAGAAAGGGTCAGTTTTAACCTTAAGGACTTTGTAGAAACTTTGACCTGCATTTGTAGTCACATTTTTAATAATACAAGAATTGTCAACAACAAATACCAACTTAACTTGACGTTAATGCATCGACAAACTTCCCTTTACAGTAGTACCATGGTGAAGTGATGGAGTTAGATGGTAATACCACACTACTTTGCTGCAGTGTTATAAAGTAATTAAATATAATAATAAAACTTACTCCAAGGCAACACTTCTCATTTTCATTCGCATACATATTATTAAACGTAAGCTATATAACCATAATAGCATATAAATAATATGAAAATATACATAAAAAATATTTTTGCCCTTCAAACCCTCCTTCCACCCAATGTAAAATAAGATAGAGAGACAAAACATTGCTTTAACAACTTAAAATATTTATTTTCTGAATGAAAAATATAGTTGTTTACAATGGGATATAATTTAGCTCTTCTGACAGCTGTACATCATCAGAACACACTCATGATGATGGCGGCAAGTTTAAAATGGTTAAAAGTTAATAACACTTAAAATCAGCCATATAAACAATATGTGCTATTAATATACATGTATTCCAAAAGCAGCTCTGGGAAGGGCTTTAACAGTCCAGTTTTCAGCGTTGTTCATAAATTGTCTTGAATCTCCGTTTTCCAGTTCAGATGAACACTGATCACACGGGCCGCTCACATACTAAATATGAGCAAACGTCCATCGTCGCAACAGTTTGCCTATATCTAGAGCAATAACACTCAACATGAATTATGACAAGGTTCTGAGACAGACATTGTGCTTTTGTAACCATTTACTCAAACACTTGCATGATTTTACCTCATATAGTACTGACGGATAAAAGCGGATTGTGTAGATATGCAGATCAATTGAGTTCATTCACGATATGAAGTGATATTCAGATGCACAATATAATGTGAAAAAAAAGTGATTGTCCTTCACAAAGAAAGAAAAGAAAAAAAAGGACATTGCTGTTGTTTAACGCACCATTCAGAGCTTTTAGAGTGAATTTCAGGTCATATTTCAGCCCAAAAATCAAAAAATCATTTTATTAGGGCTGTCAAACGATTAATCGCATGCAAAATAAAAATGTGTGTTTACATAATATATATTATGGGTGCACTGTGTATAATATATATATATATATATACACACATGCATGTATATTTAAAAAAAATATGTATATATAAAATATTTATATTTATATATAATATAAATTATACAGTATATACATGGAAATATTTCTTAAATAAATACAAGCAAGCGTGTGTATTTATATATATATATATATATATACAAAATAATTATACACAGTGAGTGCACCCACATATATTATGTAAACACAAACATTTTGGATGCGATTAATCGTTTGAAAGCCCTAAATTTTATAATTTACATGACAAATAAAGCCTATTTTGGGACAATTAACCCTTTCTCTAATACTTTCATAATTACACATTTTACTCGTTACTGGAATTCAGTAATTCATCAGGACACAATAAATTAAATTCAGCACAACAAATACTTTCAATTGCACTTATTTAAATTGCATTTTTTTTTTTTTTTGTGAAGTGAAATATGACCTGGATATTTTCTCTGACATGTAAATGACTGTCATAATGAATCTATGGACTATCTAGTTTGAATGTATGTAACAGCACCATTACGGTGGAAAGTAGCATGAATCAGCGTTGCTTTAATAATAATTAAAGATTATAAGACCTGATTGCAATGTGAATTAAATGATTTGATATGGCACATTGTGCTTGGATTCACAGTGTTTTAAGACTTTAAGATGACAAGTAAATGAACTGAAAATTCTTTGGTAAACCATCATAGCTGGTGTGTGTAAGTTAGTGAGGTCACAAACCGTTAACACTAATCTGTGACGCTCTTTGGTGCTTCGGGTTATTGGATGCTGGTGGCTGAAAGAGCGAATACAAAAATATCCCAAATGCAAAGAGAAAGTCTTTCTGATTATGATACGTAGAATACATTTGAGAGTTTTCATATACAATTGTAATACATATAGCAAATCATTTATAGGTTGCGTCTGCGGACAGAAAATAAACCCTCCCGTCTTTGGCCGCGTTCAATCTCGAGAAACAGCTTTAACACTGGACTCCTGTAACATCTATCCCATGATGCAACAAGGTGAATCTCATGAAAAGAAACGAGCCGTTTTATTTAGCATATAGAAAAGCAAGGGTTTGTTTTTGTTTTGTTTTTTTTCATGAAAATTCAACACACTGTCCATCATATTAATATTTTTTGGGGGCTTTTCGTGAGATTCACCCGGTCATTTCTACTGAAGTGAAATCCACACACGTCTTTGTCGTTTTGGCGTGCTAAACCTTCATGCGGAAACTAGTAAAATCCACGAGGAACCCGGTATAAAAGAACCACTGCAGTTCAGCGCATCATATTAAATAACAGAGCTGCGTCTATATGTACAGCCAAATAAAAGTGCTGGGACTGACGTCCGCGATCACGTGTACAAGCCCACAGGGACATCTGTGAATAATAATACTGGGTAAAGAGAGCGCGGCGCAGTGTCCTTCATACTTGCCCCGTCACTAATACTGTGAGGAAGCCAAGCCGCGCCGGCGCCGGTCCGATGCGATTCGCTCGCGGCTCCGGCGGACTGAGAGGTCGTGAGAGGGCTCATGGGACACGAGCCAGCGCTGGTCTCAGATCAGTCTGGAGTTTCTCAGGAACTGAATGAGCACTTTGTAGATGAAGGTGTACTGTGAGAGCGTCTGCACCATCATCATGCGTTGCTGTCGCAGCAGAGTCAGAACAGTCGGGACGTCCAGCATCTGTTCGGAAACAACCACGCATCGCTTTACACTCTCAATCTCAACATTGTTTATAATATTAGATAAATAGGCAAAGCAATGCAGACTTATTAATATATGAAGAGTTCAGATGCAAAAGCCTCTAAATGCCATTTGAAATTTTCTTCTTTAATGATGATTTTTATCAAACTTGTATATTTAAGTTCAGTAATTTCACTTAAATGACAATTAATAGGTAATTATCATTGCCATTTAAGTGAAATTACTGAACTTAAATATACAAGCTTGATAAAAATGATCATTATAGAAGAAAATTTCAAATGGCACTTAGAGGCTTTTGCATCTGAACTCTTCATATATATATATATATAAAAAACATGCACGATGGAAATTCAAAGGGCTGTACTGTACATACAAATTATTTTAAAATTATATATATAAAAAGGCAGATAAATACAAAACGAAAACTGTTTTAACAAATACAATCAATAGTAAAAGATATATAATTAATATAATATATAAATAAGCAATGCATATTTATGTATATAAAAAAAGTCATATGCAATGGAAATTCAAAGGGCTGTACATATAAATAAATAAAGGCGCAAAGTATTAAACAAAATTTTTTTGTAACAAACGAATACAATCAATAGTAAAAGATATTTAATTAATATAAAAATACCATTTAATATTATAATAATTAAAACATTATTAATGATGATTAATAACTTTAGTTTTGAACTCGTGTCTTATAACATGAATCTGTTTTTGCACTGATATTAGAGTGATTTATTTATTTAATTGAAACCCATCATTTACACAAGAATGATAAAAATAAACTGTTAATATACAAAAAACAACATATATAAATATAAATTAAACTATATTAATAATTTAATTATAACATTTAATATTACAGTAAAATAATAATTTATATTGTTTATGTATTTAGGTTTAACTCAAGTGTTTTATTTTAAAACTGATATCAGATTGATTATTTCAGTTGCTACAAAATATTTACATAAGAATGATTAAAATATTGTATATAAAAGGTATTTTAATAATTACATTTAATTAACCAACATTTCATATTAAATTCTAATAATTAAAATATAAAAAAAAAAACTGTCAAGTGTTTCATATTATGAAGCCAATTTTGCACTAATCTCAGATGAATTAATTAACGTATATGCGTACATTCTTAAATCAATTTAATAATAAATAACTATTACTTTAAATGAATACATTTTATTTGATCTGTAAATCCATGCATTTTTTAATAAACATTTTTTATAAGTAAACCAATTTGTGATATACACCATTAACATTATATTAAATTGCATTACAGTGCAACCCTATAAACAATATTTATGATCCCCAGGTCCGAGGTCAAATGTTCATAATGTTTTACAATGTTAACCGACGACTGTTAAAATCATTTTTAATGCTTCACTGGCCAGGTTACACAACAGCACCAGTCTGTGCTTTCGTCATATTCCACCATGTGCCGTAAACGGTGACTAAGGTCTAAGTGTAGCACAAACCTGTCCAGCCACATGCCTACGTCTGCCGAGAATGCGGTCATCTCTATTCCTAGCAAGCATGTGTTTAGCAGAAGTGTAACATTTCTTTCTGCCCTGATGCCAACGGTAAGCAGTGCATGTAGTTCCCCCCCAATGAAACGCCTTCATGCCACTGTAAGCACAGGACATATGTACCTCATTATGTTCCAGACAAGCTATCATGATCTCAGACAGAATGACCACACCAGTGCGTCCCACCCCGGCACTGCAGTGCACCAGAACCGGCAGGTTTGTGTTCTTTGGGTCGCTGGAGCTGTTTGTGTGTCGCCTCACGGACTGGATCTCCTCCAAGTACGCTAAGGCACAGAAATAGAGCATTTAAAGAGCCACGCCAGGCAAGAACAGTAACAGTCGTGCATCGTTGGGATGCATGTTTCACACACAAATTACAAATAATATTGTGCACCAAGAAAATAAAGCATATGCAATAAGATGTTGTGACATTACTGTTACGCATCGTGCCAAAACAATTAAATACATTCAATCTGGAAACAATATTTAGGACCATAAAAGTATAAAGACATTATAATGTGATAGAATTCCAGACACATATACACACACGCACATTTAAATTGCATAAGTATTTATGTATATATATATGTGTGTGTGTATATTAATTATAATTTTATATCATAATTGTAGTATTATATATTATAATTAGGGCTGTCAAACTATTGATCGCAATTAACCGCATACAAAATAAAAGTTTGTGTTTACATAATATATGTGGGGGTGGACTGTGTATAATTCTTTGGTGTGTATATATATATATATATATATATATATATATTATTTATTATTTATTTTTTATTAATAATATATAATAATAATAATATATATATATATATATATACATATAAATACACACACATGCATGTATATTTAAGAAAAAATATTATTTATATATATAAAAATATTTATTATATTTATATATAATATAAATTATATATAAATCTATATACATGAAAATATTTATTAAATATATACAAGCATGTGTGTATTTATATATATATATATATATATATATTAAAGAATTATACACAGTGCACCCACATATATTATGTAAACACAAACTTTTATTTTAGATGCGATTAATCATTTGACAGCCCTAATTATAATATTATTCAATCTTATTTTTTTTTTATCATTTTATATAGGCATATTCATATTTTTCTAAGATTTTTCGGCTATATATAACTCGGAAATATGACCTAGGGATGTTTTTGTGACATTCCCCTATTAAAACGTTCCTTGTGTTAAACTGCTTGTCCAGCATGTTAAACATTTTCAGAGAACACTTTCACTTTTCTTTCTGGCTGACTAACAGAGAAATGTACAATTTGTATTATCCAGACAATATGTATATAAAAACTACAAACAAACAAGCTCATTTGCAGATGCTAACACCACCTGTGCTGTCTTGAGTGCCAACAGCAGTGATGTCTGATCTCAAGAAAGCCTGTTCTCGGTGTGATACTTACAAAGAAAGCCTTTAAAGTCCTCTGGGCAGCCGTGATCGGGCCAGTCGGTGTACTGCAGGTGCCAGACGGTGCGCTCCTGTCCGGTGAGGAGGTGTTTGATCTTCAGGCCCGTTGTGGCGTAGCACCCCGAGTCCGTACGGAAGCGTGTGGTGATCTTAAATCGTCCGTAAGTGACGGTGTTGTGGCGAGAACCCAGACGAGGCCAATAGCGGAAACTCTTCTCACGACCTCCTTCCTGCAGGTCAGGAAACAAAACAAGTTTACTGACCTATTATTATAAAAAACTACCTTGTGCAATGTAAATGCTTCTACACAAATCAATTTTATCGGTAACACTTTACAATAAGGTTCATTAGTTAACATTAGTAAATGCATTAACTAACATGAACTAACGATGAGCAATGCATTAGTTACAGTGTTTGTTAATCTATGTTAATGTTAGTTAATACAAATATAGCTGTTCATTGTGCGTTCATGTTAGTTCACAGTCCATTAACTAATGTTAACTAATACAACCTTTGATTTTAATAACGTATTAGTAAATGTTGGAATTAATATTAACTAAGATTAATAAATGCTGAAGAAGTATTGTTCACATATTGTACATGTTAACTAATGAACCTTATTGTAAAGTGTTACCATTTGATCCTTTAATATTACAGTAATGTAGAAGCTGACAGGATTCCCAGTATAGTTACAGCATTAGTTTCATATTTATTTTGTTTTATATTTCATTTTTTTTATCGATTTCGAATCATATCAGGATTGATGAAATTTGTGTCCTAAACTAAAGTAATAGCCACATTTTCCTTTCCGTGCACGCAGAGCTATGTTTTAACGTTCACCTCCTCTGCTGTGACCATGCCGATGATGGCAACTCCTTGTTCCCAAACCATTTGCCAGAAGTCTTGGCAGGTGCTGGAAAGCGGACCCTGAGATGCGATATAACTCCACTCTTTACCTCTGACCGTGACCTAGTAAACAAAGCGGCAGAAATCACAATATGAAGGCTGATTAATCTGATATAAATCAAAATACATACATAAAGCATCAATTATTGGGGTCCAAGCACTTTAAGACCTTCAAGTGCATGCATAAAAATATAGTCATAAAGTTTTGAATGCTGCTTAGACTAAAGGTGCTAAAGTGTTGTCTATTTTTGTTTTGATCACTGTAGCGCCACCATGTGGTCGATCCAAACCTTTAACACTCTGGGGTTGTTCGGCCCAAATGGACCCGAAGAATTTAAATACAATTTTTTTTTTTTTTAAATCACAGCTTCCTCGGAATGGTCTGAAATTTGGTGACTTTGTTGGTATTTGGTATTTGAACACCCAAAAAAATTGGGGACAGGTTGTGAATAGTCTAAGTGGTTGTAAAAAAAAAAAAATAGTCACACTTGGGGTGTTCGGGTCCAAATGGACCTGCATGGAAAATGAATGGGAAATTGGCAAAAATGTGAAAATACTGAGTTTTTTTGTGCGTACAATCTACAAATCAGCCACGATCTTGAAAAAAAGCACACAACAGTGAAGGGGTGAATCTATAAAACATCAAGAGAGCAAAACAGACACATCCACACACACACACACACACTTTTATACACAAACTCAAAAAAATCAGATTATACATGTGTTTTGCATTTTTAAAATGCTCAGTTTGTCCACCAGATGGCATCCATCTCATTTCAAAAATTGCTTTTATGAGGCCTAGGCTTGACTCTAAAATGAAATAAAGCTTTTTTTAAAAATATTTTTCTATTATGTTCAATGGGGGGAAATTTTGTCATAATTATTGCATTAATACTAATTATAATTTTTTTTATTTCTGAAATTCTCAAAACACCAAAAAAGAAAAGAAAAAATATTATAAAAAAACGAGTAAAAAAAAAAAAAATCATGATTATTATTATTTTTTTTTTAAAATATGAATCCCGCCCTTTGGGTCCATTTGGACCCGAACACCCCGAGTGTGACTCTGAAACGAACAACCCCAGAGGGTTAAACCAGTTTCAGATCCCTAGGATTACAGTTTGATCTACACAATCAGTTTAAGGGCATAATAATAATAATAATAATATTCTAATTATAATTTTTCCAAAACATCAGTTTGTGCTTAAACTTTGAGGATAGGCAGTATGTCATTAAGATCTCTAGTATTACGGTTTGTATTCTTATGATATTTAAAATTAAATGTCCTGAAGTATCGATGTGTAATGTATAATAAGCTCACCCTGATGTGTGAGGCGTTGATGTAGCCCGTGTTGTTCTCTTTGGTGGGCACCAGCTCCACACGCGTGTCGTCGTAGGGCAGCACATCCTGGAAGCGGTTCCTGTCGCTGTTCTCGGGCATCTGAGCGATGGTGCACTCACAGTTGGGCCGCTTCTTGTGCACCTGCTCGTACTCGGTGAACACCATCCCCTGCTCCACTCGCTGCTCCAGTATCTTACACTGCAGGACACACACGACACGGGACGTGAGGGTCCGTTCAGAATGCTATGCTAACAGCGAGTACTGATGTATGAGGACATGAACTTTCGAAAGTAATTTAGCTGCTATACCATTGAACACCTGTCCTCAACAGAACTGGCAATTGTTTAAGCATGTATGGGTTAGAAAAAAGGGTATTTTTAAAGGGATAGTTCACTTTAAAATTAATTTTTGATATGTTTTATCTTACCTCAAGGGCATCCAAGATGTCGGTGTCTTTGTTTCCGCAGTATTTTCAATTTTGACATTTTTCAGTCAAACCGTTGTTGTCTGTCAGTCATATAATGGAGGTCTATGGTCACCACCTCAAAGAGCAGCACAGAGAAGTCCGAATTAAACATGATTTAATGACTCGTAAATGTAAGGACACATTGATGGCCTAAGACACGAAACGAGCGGTTTGTGTGAGAAAACCAACAGTATTTATATCGTTTTTACCTCGTGTAATCACAGTGATCTGAATCAGTTGTTCAATGTCCAACTGAACCGAAATGAATCAGTTCAATGTTACGCCGGAAGTGATCGCTTGCGTGTGACGTCACTCAATATTTACACGGAGATTTCCGAAGTTTTTCCTTTTACTAAACATATTTAGATATACCGAAATCGTCTTCCATTGCGGTTTCCCGTATATCTAAATATGTTTAGTGAAAGGTAAAACTTCCGAAATCTCTGTATAAACAAAGAGTGACGTCGGCGCGCAAGCGATCACTTCCAGACCGAAGCGCCCGTGCCGTCAGATCATTTTGTCATGGCTGTGATTACACGAGGTAAAAACTATATAAATACTGTTGGTTTTCTCACACAAACCGCTCGTTTCGTGTCTTAGGCCATCAATGTGTACTTACATTTACGAGTCATTAAATCATGTTTAATTTGGACTTCTCTGTGCATGCTCTTTGAGGTGGTGACCATAGACCTCCATTATATGACTGACAGACAAGAACGGTTTGACCTAAAAATATCAAAATTGAAAATACTGTGGAAACAAAGACACCGACATCTTGGATGCCCTTGAGGTAAGATAAAACATACCAAAAATTAATTTCAAAGTGAACTGTCCCTTTAACATGAAATGTTGCGCATTGTATCTTTAACATCACATCAGATATAAATAGAATACTCGAGTCAGATACACAAATTAAATAAGCAAATCAATAAGTAAATAAGCAAGCAGTCCACCTCCAGCACTCAAACTGAAAGCAGAACTCACCCTCTCATCATTAGACGCGTTCTCCGGGTCGTCCTTCCCTTCGTCGGGCAGTGGCATTCTGGACAGAGTCAGGCCGTTCAGAGCCGCCAGCTTCAGGGGTCCCACCTTCTTGACCTCCGAGCGTTTCTTCATGCCCTTCATACCCGGAGAGAGAGCGAGAGAGGAAAACAAGAGTCTGAGGATCAGGATCTGAGACACAGCTTTGCTCTTTGGCAGAATGCAGCTTTTCGGGTCCGACAGCCTGTTGGGCCGCATTCTTCAAGTCATGCGTATAAAGTCAAGTTTACAGGCTCACCCCAATGTGAAAACGCCTATTCTACATGCTGACGAAACGAAAATAAAATGTGCATTTGAAAAAACATATGCATTTACAAATCAGTTTGGATTTCCTTTATCGTCTTTACAGGAGAAACTCGAAAAATTAGAATATCTTGCATAAGTTCATTTATTTCATGTAATTCAATCTAAAAGGTGAAACTAATATATGAAGAGTTCAGATGCAAAAGCCTCTAAATATGCCATTTGAAATTTTCTTCTTTAATGATGATTTTTATCAAACTTGTATATTTAAGTTCAGTAATTGTTATTTAAGTGAAATTACTGAACTTAAATATACAAGTTTGATAAAAATCATCATTAAAGAAGAAAATTTCAAATGGCATTTAGAGGCTTTTGCATCTGAACTCTTCATATATACATACTCGACTCATTACATGCAAAGTGAGATATCTCAAGCCTTTATTTGTTATAATTTTGATCATTATGCTTATGAAACAGCTTATGAAAACCCCAAATAAAAAATTTGAATATTGTGAGGTTTTCAGCCATAATCATCAAAATTATAACAAATAAAGGCTTGAAATATCTCATTTTGCATGTAATGAGTCTATATAATATATTAGTTTCACCTTTTAGGTTCAATTACTGAAAAAAAAGAACTTTTACACAATATTCAAATTTTTTGAGTTTCACCTGTACTGTATATCTGCAAATGAGAGATGCACTGATTGCGATTTTTATGCCGATACCGATTTTTGCAGTAAAAGTAAGTAAAAGGTCCGTAATAAAATAATAACAAATTGCAAACAACAGCAAGAGAGAACACGGCTTTAAGTTTTTTTCAGCTGGGTCTAACAATAGGTTAGTGTTCACCCGAAATACTACAGAAATTAAAGTAATCAAATGTAAAAATAACACTGGATAGTCTTCAATGTAAAAATTAAATAAGATTATTTAATTTAAAATTAATGCTTATAATTAGAGTAACAAACGTAATCCAGTCAAGAGCAGAGAGTGAATTTCTTTATCTTTTGTTATGTTTCTGTTTAACATGATCTAATATTAGACTGCGGTCACTTTAAGAGTTTATGCACAGATCTAATATACTGTTACACAACTTGCGTTATCTTTCTCAACTATTTGTGTTCCAAAACTGAATACTCTCCAATACAGTCATTTTGACATCATTTTTCATGTTTAAGTGCAGTAAGCCACTCGTTTTGGTACTTGCGACTAGGGCTGGGTAATAAATATCGATTTCTCGATATTAATCGATTCTCTTGATTGATTAATCTTGATTAGTAATCCTGTTTCATTTGAATGAATGGGACATTGTATCGCGGCTGCGCGCATCCAAAAAAAAAAAAAAAAAAAAAAAAAAAAAAAAAAAAAAAATCGCAATAATCTTTGTCCTTTGTTAGTATTGATATGAAACAAAGTCTCAATTTTCAAATTACGTCCATTTTCTTTAGAAATTCAAAAACATAAATAGCGTTTTGGCGCTGTGGCGTGAGATCGCTCTGGAGAAGCAGCAGCGCTGATCTCTCTTCCGGCTTAATAATACCAGTCACAGCGCCAAATAAACATGAATGAGCATCTGAAAGTGTGTTAAAGATAGAGTACAACTTATCCAAATCCGTATCATGTCACATTGATTCGCTCAATCAGCGTTTCAACCGTGGAAAGACGTCAATTAAACAGCTTGTAATCAATGTCATGTATCGTCATATTTACCTCAGAAAACCCACATAAACTCGTTAGTCAGTTAGAAAAAATAACTCTAGAGAGGAGCATTTTGTTAAATATATACACCATATTACATATGCATTATAATCTTAATGTTCTTCAATATTTAATGCATATTTGAATAAATCTGGCAAGTTTTTATGACAGCCACCATTTAAATGTTTATATTTCATATAATCTTCTTATTATAAAAATAAATAAAGTTTAATTTAAGTGTTTGTATAGCTACAAAACAGTATTATTACCTTCATATTAGGCTAATGAAGTCTATAGGCTACAACTAGACTCCCATAGTTTACAGCATTAGTTAAGAGATTTGATTCCCTTGAGAAAAATGGCCATTTATTGTAACTGATCTCCAAAATAATCAATATTGAATCGAAATCGAAACCGAATCCAATTGTGAAATTTGTCTCAATACCCACCTCGACTCACAAGCGTCAAAAATAGCGCCTCGTCACGTTCCAGTGAACATCTTGTGAGATAAATGTACCGTCACACGTCCAATGATTAGCTTGATGCAAGAACCCCCTGCTTTAAGCAATTCTGATTCAAATCTGATTATTGGTGCACTTACTGCAGGCGGAAGGCCATCGATGTTCCTTCTGGCAGGTGGGACGTCAGAGACGGGTCTCTTAAAGAGGTCTCTCTTCTGTCTCAAGCGCCCCTGTCCGCTCAGATCCCCCTCTGAAACCGAGGGCATCATGTGTCCGGGCTCTCGGAGAGGGGGAAGCTGCCCCACATCCTCCGGTTTGCGGATGATCGGATGGGCCTGGTACGCGAGAGAGCCCGTCGGGACCGCGTCCATACCGTGGCTGAACGGATAAGCGGGCGGCTCTCCGAGGGGCCGCTCCAGCGGTGTCATGTGACGCTCAGGACCGCCCACAGCGTCCTGAGACTGGGGTGTGTGACGCCCGCTGTCGTCTTCAAACTCTTCTTCCTCGCCGCTGCTGTGCACCAACATCGTGGCGTCGGACAGGGATTTTTTGTGGCCGTAGAACACGTCCTCCTTGATGACCACGTCCTCAGGCTTCGGGACCTCCAGGACGACGTTGATGTCGGAGCCAGATGCCGTAGGGGTCATCGCCTGGGCAACCGGGGGCGGAGTCTCGGCCGCTGATGCGGAAACCTGGGTAAACAAATTTGAATACATTTATTAAAATGATTTAGAATCACAGATTATTAATAATATTTAAATATAAATTTATATAATTATAAATGCTTAAAATTATTAGCAAAATTCTGTTGAAAACAATTAAACGCATTAAATTCATCAATTTATCGATCTTGAGTCTTGGATAATAATAATTATATAGATTATTTCGCAACACTGGTCCAGAAGCACTCCCTGTTTCAGTTTGTAACTGTTTTCTTTATTTCACATGTAAAGAAAACATCTTAAAGATGTTTGTTTAACTTTTTGATTCAGTTTTAAATGTTCTGTTGGTTGTATTTTATCCCAGATTTTATGTAGTGTTAAAAAACTGAAACAGGAAGTGCTTCTGGACCAGTGTTGTTTACATCTTGCAAAATGGTCTATAAGAATTAATTATATGATTTATGCTTCTTATTGAAATAGATAAATTATATATAACCTATTAGGAATTTGTAAAATACTGTTTTTATGTACGGCACGTCATACAAAAAGTACATCCGTGAATAAAACGATAATTACCTCAAGTATAGCTCAATCCTGAACATGAAGATTGCTAATAATTACATTATAATAAATTACATAAAGAAAGATTATTATTTATTAAGGTATTAAAAATGAGCAAACTGCTAAATAAAAATAAAAACACCCCAAAATTTGATTAACTCCCAAGTAGTGCTGAGATATTTGCTGATAAATAGAAAAAAATGTTTTTTAATAATTTATGAAATACTTTTTTGTACTACGTACTGCAATATGTCAATACATCATCCAGCTCAGATTGTCGTGTGTCATGTGTAATTTGAAAGGTCTTAAAGGGTTAGTTCACCCAAAAATGAAAATTCTGTCAGTATTTACTCACCCTCATGTTGACCTTCGTTCATCTTCAGAACACAAATTAAGATATTTAAGATATTAAGATCGCTCCTGCATACTAGTCCATAGGCTTCTTGAGGGAATGACTCTTGCTGGCCTCGAAAAGTCATTAAAGACATCGTTAAAATAGTCCAAGTGACTACAGGGGCTCAATCTTAACTTTATCAAACGACGAGAACACTTTTGTGCGCAAAAACAACAAAAATAACGACTTTATTTCAACTATTCACTTCCTTCTCCATGGGCCTGTAAGTCAGTTAACGTAGTGTGATTGCGTAGAGCTACGTCACACGTAGGCTCACTATTGGCCGACGCTGGTCATGTGTGTGATGCGTGTGACGTACAATAACAGAAGCTTACGCTATTAAACTAGTAACCTGACTCGCGCAGAGGGAGAAATAAACCAATAGTTGAAATAAAGTCGTTATTTTTGTGCACAAAAGTGTTCTCGTCGTTTGATAAACTTAAGATTGAGCCCCAGTAGTCACTTGGACTATTTTAACGATGTCTTTAATGACTTTTCGAGGCCAGCAAGAGTCATTCCCTCAAGAAGCCTATGGACTAGTATGCAGGAGCGATCTTAATATCTTAAATATCTTAATTTGTGTTGCGAAGATGAACGAAGGTCAACATGAGGGTGAGTAAATACTGACAGAATTTAAATTTTTGGGTGAACTAACCCTTTAATGAGAACACAACAATCATTAAACGGCATAAATAGTGTGTATAACGTCACACTACTCGCCTTCCTCTCCTTGAGCCTCATGTTCTCCAGCCCGTACGCCAGCCCGGCGATCTCGATGGAGTTGCGCTTGTGCATGTGAGGACGGCGCGGCGTGACGAGCGGCTCGCTCACCTCCTGCAGCGAGTGAGCCACGGGAAGACTGTCCTCCTGGAAGGTCTGCACTGAGTGATGCACGCGGCGAGTGATGAGATCCGGGTTACTGCTGCTGACGTACAGGTGACGGGACAGATCCGGGGTGCTGTTGGCGGGTCGAGGATGGGGGTATGGATACGGTGGAGGCGGCCAGTAAACCTGATTCCGGATGATGTTGGCCGCCGGGTACTCTTGTGCCTGCTGGAGCTGGACGTTAGTGAGTTCGGGGACGCTGACGGCGCCCACCACGGGCCGTCTCTCGGTGGGATAGGGGTACGGAGAGGGACTGTGGAAGCTGTAGTTGAGGTGGAACGGATACTGGCCCGCTCCGTGCTCGCGGATCTCCGGTTGGCTGTAAACGAGCGGATCCGGTCGGCTGTAGGCGTACGAGTTTCCGATGTTGAGGTTCCTCATGGAGTGGCTCTGGCGCTCGGAGGGCGGGATCATACCGTGGTTCTTCTGCCTCATGACGGTCTCGTAATCGGGCGTGGCGCGGTAGGACGGTGGGATTAGGGCGCTGTGGCGGTGGGAAGGCACGTAGTCTGGTCGCATGAGGTCACTGCCCGTGATGCTCGGGTTGGAGGACATGGGCGAGGGTTGTAGGTAATGCTGCGGGTTGTTGAGGGAGCTGGTGCTTTGGGCGCTGTAAACGCTGCCGTTACGGATCCTTCCGTTGTACTCGTGCGGAGAGTGGTCCAGACTGGTTTGGGAATGGTAGTAAAAACCATTCTGGTTGTTGATGTAAAGATTATCTGTTGGAAAAGTAGAGTCAGTATTTTAGGTCTTGCTTTATTGGCATGACTAAGTAATTTAACATATAATTATACAGTATATATTATTGTTACATGACTTTATGCAACATAGTGGAACATTTGTGAACAGCTATTACAGTACAAATATCTCAACTTTTTAAAAATCAAAGGAGTAGTTCACTTTTGAAAAAACTTTTGCTGATAATTTACTCGCCCCCATGTCATCCGAGATGTCCACGTCTTTCTTTCTTCAGTCGAAAAGAAATTAAGGTTTTTGATGAAAACATTCCAGCATTTTCTCCATATAATGGACTTCAATGGGGTCCAAACCGTTCAAGGTCCAAATGAGAGTTTCAGTGCAAACTGTTCAAAGGGCTTTAAACGATTCCAGACGATGAATAAGGGTCTTATCAAGCAAAATGATAGCTCATTTTTAAAAAAATGACAAAGTTTAAGTTTTATAAGCTCAAATGGTCACCTTGCTCTCTTCTGTGATGCGGGTTCGTGAGTCTCCTGTCAGAGCAATGAGACCATTTGAGCTTAAACTTTGTTTTTTTGTTTTTATATGCGCTATCATTTCGCTTGATAAGACCCTTATTCATCGTCGGGAATCGTTTAAAGCCCTTTGAACTGTTTGCAGTTTGCACTGAAAGTGTCTTTTGGACCTTGAACCGTTTGGTTCCCATTGAAGTCCATTATATGGAGAAAATCCTGGAATGTTTTCATCAAAAACCTTAATTTCTTTTCGACTGAAGAAAGAAAGACATGGACATCTTGGATGACATGGGGGCGAGTAAATTATCAGCAAAGTTTTTTTTAAAGTGAACTACTCCTTTAACTAGAGAAGCAGAATGATATGAAGTCTTGTTTTCCGTTTAAGCGTGAAGAAATAGTTCACTTAAAAATATCATCATCATTTACACACATTATTCAAAACATCTTCCTTTGTGTTCAGCAGAAATTCATACAGATTTGAAAAAACTTGAGGGTGAGTAAATGATGACAGAATATTAATTTAAGTGAACTATTCCTTTAAATCAAGAAGAAAAACAATCTGCCAGTGGGGTCAGAAAAATAAACTTGGTTTCTCTTTTAAAGGAGTTCACTTGTAAAAAAAAATTTGCTGATAATTTACTCACCCCCATGTCATCCAAGATGTCCATGTCTTTCTTTCTTCAGTCGAAAAGAAATTAAGGTTTTTGATGAAAACTTTACAGGATTTTTCTCCATATAATGGACTTCAATGGGGACCAAACTGTTCAAGGTCCAAATGAGTTTCAGTGCGGCTTCAAAGGGCTTTAAATGACACCAGACGATGAATAAGGGTCTTATCTATGACTCGAAAAAAAGATTTTTTCATTTTGATAAACAAGTTCGAACAGGAGAGTCACGAACGCTCATCACAGAACAGAGCAAGGTGACCATTTGTGCTTATAAAACATCAACTTTTCATTTATTTTTTAAATGAGCGATCGTTTCGCTTGATAAGACCGTCTGGAATCGTTTAAAGCCCTTTGAAGCTGCACTGAAACTCTCATTTGGACCTTGAACCGTTTGGACCCCATTGAAGTCCATTATATGGAGAAAAATCCTGGAATGTTTTCATCAAAAACCTTAATTTCTTTTCGACTGAAGAAAGAAAGACATGGACATCTTGGATGACATGGGGGTGAGTAAATTATCAGCAAATGTTTTTTTTTAAAAGTGAACTACTCATTTAAATTAGGTTTTTTTAAACCCCATTTACAATAAGGTTTAATAATAAGCATTTTCGGCCTGTTTTACCTTGCGAAGACGTGTATGGTTCGGTGTAATGGCCGTTAAAGTGCATCTGAGGTGCCATCATGTAGGGTTGCGGTTTTGGCTGGATCATAAGACAAAACAAAAGCAGCATTATTCAACAGGACACATTAATTCTGTGTCAACTCCCTCAGACAGTATTTTGAGTCATATAGGTACCGTTCCAAAGTTAGGCAGCATAATTATATTAAAAGTTGGCTGTATATACAGTTACTTATGCTTATTAGATTAACATGATGCTCATTTCAGTTTCAGAGATCATGAGAGCCAACAAAGAGATCATGCAGAGCCAACAAACTCTAGAAACTCTGTTGTGAAACTGTTGTGTAGTCCATGAATAACCAGTATAATGCTGACCAGAGACATTCTCGTAGAGGACCGTCGCCTCACTGGGTTTACAGGAGCGGGCTGAGTTTGTCTGTAATAAAACACAAGGCAATAAAAGACCAGTTGAAATAAACCAGAGAGTAATAAAGTTCAAAGTTGTATTTCTCACAAACACAGCGGTTCACTATGGTAACAATAAAGCAATGGGTGACGTTTTGCACTGAATTAGCATTTTTGCATTGCAACTAAATATATTTTGCATTATTTTTTACTATGCAAAAATAGTTTAAAGTTAAATATTTATAAAAGATAGACCTGGTTTCTCAAAGGAATAGTTGCTGAACACAAAAAAGATATTTTAAAGATAACTAGACAGTTGATGGACCCCATAGTAGGGAAAAAATAAACAATGGCAGTCAATGGGGACCATCAACAGATCTGAAAAATATCTTCCTCAGCAGAAGACAGAAATTCACACAGGTTTGAAACAACTTGAGGGTGAGTAAATGATGACAGAATTTTCATTTTGAAGTGAACTAATCCTTTAAGCCAGGATTAGGCCTCAGTTCAATTAGGAGATTTAAGTAGCTTTAATAAACGTGTCTTACGGGTGTGAGACAAAACAATGCCACTGACATATTTTAAGATCTGCTTTCAGTTAAAAACAACTCAAACGTGCATTTTAGGTCTGGGACTAGACTTAAAGATTGTCTGTGAAACCAGGGGTTAGTGTCTATATTGCATCTTGATTTAAATGAAAACTAAAGTTCAGGAAAAGGTAGTTATCAGGAGTTCCCCGTCTCTCTGCAGCCCCTGAGAAGGCTCTGAGCAGTAATGCAGTAACGCTCACCCCTTGTCAGCAGGCACAGAGGGACGCGAGAGGGTTGGAAAGCGAGGAAATGAAAGAGAGAGAAGAGACCTCTGGGAGCCCTCAGAGTTCGGGCCATCAGACAGCTCTCTGGAGACAGCAAACGGACAGTGAAGAGACACGCAAAACTACACATGCACTGATTTAGCAGATTTAAAAACTAGGGCTGTGCAAAAGTTAATTGCGATTAATCGCATCCAAAATAAAAGTCTGTGTTTACATAATATATTTGTGTGTGCTGTATATAATTATTTTGTATATATAAATACACACACATGCATGTATATATTTAAGAAAATATGTTATTAATATATAAAATATTTATATTTATATAATATAGATTATGTATTTATAAATATATACAGAATTTAAGCGCAAATAATTCTTAAATATATACATGCATGCATAGGTATTTATATATACAGCACACACAAATATATTATGTAAACACAGACTTTTATTTTGGATGCGATTAATCGCAATTAACTTTTGCACAGCCCTATTAAAAACCTGTTTTCAAAATTGATAAACACATAAATGATCATAAATAATCATAAAATCATATTCTTGAGGATAAAATCATCATATTAGAGTGATTTCTGAAGGGTCATGCGAGTAATGATGCTGAAAATGCAGCTTTGATCACACAAATAAATTATATTTGACAATATATTCACTAGAAAACTGCTATTTTAAAATGCAATAATTATTATTATTTTTTTTTTTGATCAAATAAATGCTGCCTTGGTGAGCAGAAGAGAGACTTTCAAAACGTTTGTATGGTCCCAGCCAGTTTCACATCCAATCAACAGAACCAATCTAGTATTTAGTCATAACATTAAAACAAATAAAACAATTTTTTTAGAGGAAAGAGACAAATTAAGGCTTTGTTTTTTTGTTTAAATCACGCAAAAAAATCAGTGCACCCCAAACAAACACACACTTACAAACTGCTGTTGTTAACTTTGTAAAACTTGTGTCGCGCCAACCACATTCTGCACACGTATTTGGACGTCTCCATGTCTTCCTGAAACAGAGCCAGAACATTTTTACTAAATCAAATCAGGCTATGACATTAACTTGTGTGTTTCAGGGCCTAAATCATCCTTAAACGCCTATTCATTAATATGAATGGACATACACATGGGCATTATTGTGATACACTTTTAAAAATAAAGTGGTTTGTTAAGAGACTTCTTTCTTATTGTGAAGAACATTTGTAAATAATTTTCTGTGCGTTTGAAAGGTTCTCTATGTAAACATCGTAACTCCAGATTAATGAAGTCGTTCAGTTATTTCAGGCAAAGAAAAGTATCTGAGCTATCTGAGACTTACGGTCTGGAACTGGATTGTGTCTTCTTTGTTGGCGAGCTCCAGGGCAAAGAAGGACTTATTATGAGTCATATTATTAATGTCATTCCACCTGCAGAAACAATGATGAGCTCAAGTCAGACACATGACAGCAATACACAAACTAAACACACGATACGATAAACAGCCTTTTGGGGTGCATTAGTGCCTTTGGGCAACATCTGATATATAATTCTATATATTTAATTTATTATTTTTGCTCTGACAAAGGGTGATAATATTAGGTTTTGTCCTCATGAACAATGTCTGGTTCAAATTTTTAAAATAGTTCCTCAATAAGAGAAACCAAAAATTTGAACCAGCCATTATTCATGAGGACAATCAAAAAATAAATAAAAGAAAAAGTAAAATACAGAGATATTTTATTTATTTATTTATTTATATGCAGCAATATAAAACTGTAATTAACAGCAATATTTACCCACATAATATTTTTTACTAAAAATAAATGCATGCACACATACCGAAACATGAGAGGTGCTTTCCCATTTTTGTGCTTGACAAAAATGCCGTCCTGACAAGAGCCGATAATCACATCTGTGCTCTGAGTGTCCTGTTCAGACACACAAAAGGAAATAAGAGCAGAAGTAGCATTAAAAATGTATTCATTTTAAAGGCTGTCAATAGCTTAACATTATTATTAACCCTTCTTTTTTGTAGTTGATGCAATTCATCAATTTTGTATGAAGAAAAACTTTGAAAAACTTTATCTTTCTTGGCAAGCAGATTTATATCAAAGTGGAACATTTAGTTAGGGCTAGTTTTAAATCAATAATATCAAGTAGGAGTAATGTTGTGATGCTTGACAAATGCCACTAATAAATGTGTTCAGAAGTCCCATAATTTACTGTTTTGTTTCTGTATTAAACATAATTAATTTCTTAAATGAATAGTTTCTGTCATCCTCATGTTGTTTCAAACCCATAAGACTAAACAAAAATAAGTTTTTTAATCAAATCAGTGATTTATGTCCATCCTTTGAAAGTCTATTCACCCAAAACGCTCATAAAGAGGTCGTACAATAAATCCATACACTGCTTTTCTTACTTTGTATTTTTGTCTTGTTTCCAGTCCAAATATCTAAAAATTCTTAAAATCAAGATGCATTTACTAGATAAGTAAAATTACATAATATATTATATCCTTTTTTTCTGGGGGAATTAATCCAAATTAAATGAGTTGATGCTTAAAAAAGGCAAAATTATCTGACAATGGGGTTAGAAAAATAATCTTAATTCAAACAGAAACTAGATCATTTTGCTTGTTTAAAGCAAAAACTTGCTTTTTTCCCCCAGAAAACAAGACTTGTGCCATTTTACTCTTGTAAATAGATCTTGATCTAAGAAATGATTGATATTTGGACTGGAAACAAGACAAAAATACTAAGAAAAGCATTTTTTTGCAGTGTATGAATCAAATAGTTTAAGTCTTCTGAATGGCTTTATGATGAATTTTATTCACACATAAACATTGATCAGTGAACAACATACATGATGCGTTCAAAATTTGGACCAATGAGGTTCATTCTCGTGTTGCATATGTCCATCATAAAAAGCCATCGTGTCTCTTCAGAAAACTTGTTTAAAACCGCTCCATATGGATTTACTTTATATTTCAAACTCAAAGCTGCTTTGAAAATCGTAGTTGTATAAAGCGCTATTATAAATACAGGTAACTTGATTTGACAATCTCTTTATAAACGTTTTCGAGTTTTGGGTGAACAGACTTTCAATGGAGGGACAGAAAAATATCTCACGGGTTTGGAGCGACATGAGACATGACATCATTTTTGGGTGAACTAACCCTTTAAGTGTATGCATGCATTTTGTGCACAACTGTTATTCATCAGCCCTTATTACATTTCTCGTTTTGACAGCATTAGTTCTGCATATTGCAAAATATGTCAAGGGAATCTTTTATGAGGTAAACTGAATATTTTCTAACTCAACAGTCAGATTTATATTCCTGTTCATGGTTTGGCACAAAACAAATGTGGGCTCTTATTTGGCGATTTACCTTGGCTTGGACGCTCTCCTCCCCGTACCCCTCCATCTTCTCCACCTCCTGCATGTAGAGTAACTCCGCCTCTGGTGCAGAAAGACCTCTGGGAAAAAAACACACACACACCATCAGCTCTGAGACACTACAGCACAAAGATCACATTTAACAATGTTGCGGTCATCTGATCGCTCTTCCTCATTCTTATGGTGCATTACACAACAAACAATGTCAGAGGACTGCAATGCTTACATAGATTTATTCCAAGACGCAGTAAAATATATTTCAGAGACGCAAATGTACAAATGTGATACTGATTTTATACAAACAGTTTAATAAATAAGTTTTTAATCTCGCGTTTTGAACGAATCAGGTGAACCAATAGCCGCGTTTCCACTGCCGGGCCAGGGCCGGGCCGTGCTAGTGCGTGCCAGGGCCAGTCGCGTTTCCACTGTCACTTCCGGGGCTTGATCGGGGCTTCCTCAGGGCCAACGGCCAGGATTTCTGGCCCGTCGAATACCTTGGGCCAGAGGGGGCCAGCTCGGGCTAGAGGCGTGTTCAAGGTAAAAGGCGGAGTTTATCGGTGTTAAGGAACGTTATGATCTGAAGCAAGATGCACAGGGGTGTCCGATTAACTGTTTAAAATTGCATAACATTTTAATTTGAACTGCCTATGCCAAATGCTGCGCAACAAAGGCTATATATAGCTACATATCGACGAATTTTCAGATATTTGTTTGATTTTTTTGCCCCTTAAACATTTAAAATATTTGACAAATTAATATGAAAAAATATATATATTTTACTGGTTTTCTGAGGCCAAATTAGAACCTGGAAATGATATTTTCCCCGCAGTGCTGAATGAGAAGAGCCGTAACCACAGCCTACAGAAAGGGGATTTATGGGTGATTTATAGGCTATAATAAATGTGTCTGATAATAAAATAATATAAAATAACGAGGCATTAATTGTTTATTAATAAACTATTGTTTTCTAAATGATTTTCGGCTAAAAACATATCTCCATCTCCGGATGCACATTTAGAGAGAAATTAAGCTACATAAACATAGAAGATATTGGCTTTCGATTCGAATTTGTTCGTTTTAAATTGGACATTTAAAGCTTTAATCTACAAAGGATATAACCCCTGTAGACTAAAGCTTTAAATGTCCAATTTAAAACGAACAAATTCGAATGCGGTGGCTGTTTCAGGTCTCGCGCTTCAGTTCACGGAGATCATGAAGCGCGCCTTGATTAATTGTTAAAGCACAACGTTTTCTTGTTATAAATAAATGTATTTGCGAATAATGTATTATTATTTTCTGTATGACCAGAAATTTAAGAGTATTTTAAGTTGTTTCCACTGAAAGAAATGCAATGAAACTGTTCACATGGGCGTCTCGCAGCCATCAGTGCGTGCTCCACACACACTGGATATGCGCTGCATGATATTTGTCAAAAATATTGTGTTTATTTGTGCTCTGTTCCTTTTTTGGATAAAGACGTCTTCTACATATGCAGCCTAATAAAATGTTACAATAATGATGATGATGGTTATTATTATTATTATTATTATTTGCAGACACGGAGTTTTTGTGAAATGGACGTTTTGCTTATTTTCAATTGGCAATTTCAGTTTGAAGGGTGATGGAAATATGGGCTTTAACTGCTCCGTACTTGCTGCGTTTTATTTCTATAAATTAATTTCGTTTCAAATGGGGTCCAATCAGTTATTAAAGGTGTTAAAAATTTACTCTGTATCTCGAGGTTGCGGCGCGCACACTATGCACCGAGTATTAACCGATGGGCCTCGGTTAACGATTAATGAATAACTTGAAAACGTGCCCGCAGCCCTAGCCTACTTGTTATATCGCGCAAAAAATCGCTGCTTGAAATGGAGAATCGCCTGTACTGGTCTCGGGACACTATTGCAGCCACTACGGCAGTTGAGTTAATATACATGCTATCTTCCTAATTTAAAAAATAAATTAATTCATAATACCCGCTGAAATGGGTTGGGTTTTATGACGTTTGATCCTGAAAGGCGTGTTAGGGGTGGGGTCTGGGGCAGCGCTGTGGGGCTACTGGCCCGGCAGTGGAAACGCAAGCCCGGTGCTTGAGGCCCGAGGCCACTAGCTCGGCCCGGCTCGCTGTTAGCTCTGGCCCAGCCCTAGCCCGGCAGTGGAAACGCGGCTATTGATTCAATGGCCCATTTTAAAGACATTTTATTTACTTCATTCCTGAATGAATCGGCCATTTGAAGAATTTTGGTAATCAAACTGTTTTGGTTACCATTCACTTCCATTGTATGAACAACAAAACAAAAAAAACAAAAAAATACTGAGACATTTCTTAAACTATCTTCCACAAAAGAAAAAAATCATACAGGTTTGAAACGACACAAGGGCTAGTACACTTAATGATCCCTTTAATACACATTTAATCTCATGGCATTATTAATGTAGTCACCAATTAATGCCACCACTGATCAGCAATAAACGGTCTGTAAACATATCTAAATACCAATTCAGATGCAGCTTCTGGGAAAAAATCATGGCCTAAAAGTTTGTGAAATAAATTCTATTGAATCAAATCAAGTCAAATATTTCTTTCTAAAGCTACTTTTTGTATTGTTTATTTGATCCTTTTTCATTAAACACAATAATGACTTTACATTTGGAAAAGAAATTACGGTACTTTCCTGTTATCTGGACCCCACGATGGCCTACCCCTGACCCCGCCCCTAAACCTACCCGTCACTGGGGTTAAGACCAATCAGAGACCATGGCCTACCCCTAACCCCGCCCCTAAACCTACCGTCACTGGGGTTAAGACCAATCAGGGACGATGGCCTACCCCTAACCCCGCCCCTAAACCTATCCGTCACTGGGGTTAAGACCAATCAGAGACGATGGCCTACCCCTAACCCCGCCCCTAAACCTCCCGTCACTGGGGTTAAGACCAATCAGAGACGATGGCCTACCCCTAACCCCGCCCCTAAACCTACCCGTCACTGGGGTTAAGACCAATCAGGGACGATGGCCTACCCCTAACCCCGCCCCTAAACCTACCCGTCACTGGGGGTTAAGACCAATCAGGGACGATGGCCTACCCCTAACCCCGCCCCTAAACCTACCCGTCACTGGGGTTAAGACCAATCAGGGACGATGGCCTACCCCTAACCCCGCCCCTAAACCTCCCGTCACTGGGGGTTAAGACCAATCAGAGACGATGGCCTACCCCTAACCCCGCCCCTAAACCTCCCGTCACTGGGGTTAAGACCAATCAGGGACGATGGCCTACCCCTAACCCCGCCCCTAAACCTACCGTCACTGGGGTTAAGACCAATCAGGGATGACTATAGTTCCTAAATGGTATATGGTGGGGTCCGGATAACAGGAAAGTACCGAAATTACCTCAAATGTTGAAGTGAGATTTATTAAAATGTTTAAATAAATGTAATTACTTACAACATCTTTTGTAATGGCTTTTGAAGGATTGTGAATCTAGTGTAAAGACTTGCTCTTTAGGGAACATAATGGCCAAATAAAAAGTGCATTAAAAAATCATGATTCAGAACGATGGTTTATTTTATATCTGCATTTTAAAAAGTTGTGTTTCAGATCAGATTTGCATGCGTTCGACATGTTAGGGCTGGGATATGTAGTGAAATATTTGCCTGAAATAATGCAGTTTAATAGGCCAATTTGCAAATGTTTCAATACATGTCCAAGCCATAACGTGTCCAACGCATGCAAATCTGCTGTGAGGGATCTTCCGAAACACAACTTTCGCAGGAAGCCAAGAGCGTTTGTGGTGCTCTGAGTCCAAAGCACTGGTCATAAGTCATGTCAGGCGTGACAGCTGCCTTTGAAATCCTTTAACTAGTACCATGTGATATTCATGAAGACTCTTAACTGAACCTCTCTTAAACAGTGGCAAACTATCTCAATTTTTTCCAAATGGGAAAACAAGCACATTTCACAGATGACTACAGCCTCTCACCGATAGTTTTGATAGAGCATGGCGACTTTTTGAGTAGCCTCCTCCACAACCCTCTCGTCCTGTATCCATGGCTGAGAAAAGAGGAAATGAACCATCTTAAAAATATCCTGCAGTTTTTACATTGTGAAAAGAGACTGAAATGTTCAATGATTACTCACCATTGGAAACAGCACAATTTTCTGAAGGAAGTCCTGGGAGTCATATCGGTTGAAGTCTCCTAGGTCAGCTAGAAGCAATGGACAAACTAGATTAAAAAAAGCCCCCAAATGACACTGATTCTTTAATATCAATAAATTCATATTAATATTTCAGTTAACCAAATGTACATTATCCAGGGTTATTATGGTTAACTAAAACTAAAAGGCATTTTCATTCGAAATAAAATAAACATTGACAAAAAAAATAAAAATATTCCTTTATTAAAGTTAATTTATTTTGCCAAAGCAAATTAATTAACCATGCGGTCCTAAAATTAAGTTAAATAAATTTTTTTTTTTTTTAAATTAAGAACTATATAGACATATTATAAAAACGCAACTAAATTAAAATGATATCGGAAAACATAAAAACAAAAACTAATTCAAAATATTATTAAAAACTGTAATAGTATCTCAATGATACTATAATAAACACAGCCACTATCTGAAAATGCACGAGTTTAATACTTATATTAAGGATTTATAAAAATCTCTAATCCCATCCAGTAATGGAGATGTCTGACTTATCAAAAACAAAGTTTATTTTGCAATTTTTTCATTATTATTTTATATAATCTTATTAACCCTAAAACCGTATTCTGGACAAATGTGGGCAAAATAGTTTTGATTTATTTTAAAAAAATACTTCCCTTGATCTGAGCGGTACAAGACTTGGCTACTTTTCCTAAATTTGCCTCCTGAACACACACAATTTTTTTCGACTTGGGTGAAAAAAAAAAAAAAAACAACTCCTTAATCTTGTATTTGGGTCAAAAATGGGCACCCATAGAAATGAATGGGAAAAACTGTAATTTAGAGCATTCTGAAATAAGCCAAAATGAGACACCAGGTGACAGCAAAGTCACTTCATCTTTAGGGTTTAGCTCTAAGAACTTATTGGAATGATATTTTAATGTAGTAAAAAAAAAATTAAAAAATAAAACATAAAATAAGCATAATTTACATAGAAAATATGGTACTTTTTGAAGTAAATAAATTCAAATATACCCCCAAAATAAAAAAAAAACACCATAAATGGATAGACAAAACTTTATCGAAGACAGTGATACAACATTTATAATAAATAAAAAATTAGGATCACACCTGAGTCCTCTGTGCCCACAATTACAGGATTAAGGGCTATAAAGTGAATACGGTTTGAGGGTTAACGAAGACTCACTGAAGTTATGAGTTGGATAAAATGTGACCCCACAATATTGCAAAATCATCTTTAACATTCAGGGGAATAGCACATCTAAATTTAGAAAAGCTGAGAGACGTTTTGTTATGAAAGGAATCGATTTAGCCTTTGCAACAGTAGTAGTTCAACATTAACAGCCCGTTAGAAATGTTCACAGCTATGCCGACAATCCCGGGCATCACCATCGCGTGAAGCCTCCTTACACAGCAATGCTGGTGCACTAAAATAACTCCTGGCCTCATCGAAATGACACAAACCAGGTGAAGACAAAGCCGTTTGACAGATACAGTCGGTTCAGAGTGATGTCAGTTCCTATTATCAAGCTAGGATCTAGTTCCTAGCTTGATAAATGGTGCTCTGATTTTCTAGACTTACAGCCTGTAGAAATATAAAACCGAACCTTCATGATGGAGTATCCGGACCCGTGAACCAGACACTGGCCGAGTGTTATCTTAGGAATGTTAAAGCAAATGTTCTCTTGCAACATCAAATTATGATTGAGTCTCAAAACATCTTTCACATTACCGTACATAAAAAAGACACGATTTTTAGTGCACCCAATACCCAACTATGACTTAATAATAAACGACTTTTTGAAAGAAGTCTCTTCTGCATTACCAGGCCTGAATCAAAAATACAGTAAAAACAGTGAAATATTATTACAATTTAAAAAAGCTGTTTTCTATGTGAATATATAGAAAAATGTAATATATTCCTGTGATCAAAGCTGAATTTTCAGTAAGCAATAAGATACGAGAGGCTGTGCTGCATCGTCACTGAACATTTTTTCTTTTGTCAAATCAACTTTAATAATTTATGTAGTTCAGGCAACATAATATTTTGAGTTTCTGGTGATTAAATCAATCTCTGTCATTGTATTAACTCAATTTTTCCATTTCAATGAACTTAAAATTAAGGCTACCAGGTTCCTTAATTTTTTAAGTTAAACCAACAATATTTTTTTTACAAGGGCGTTGTTAGGCTTGACGTGAAGCAGAGTTACCCCTTCAGCCGTTACTTATTCACGATACAGCACTTGCCTCGAATACCTTATTGCTTTTATAAAACGGTTACTAGACAATAGAAATATTAAAGTAAAAAAAATGTGTATTAGTGCAACTTTCATGAAGTAAAATCACTAAAAGCCTTCCTTCCGCTAGAAAAAATAGTCCCTGAGCGTGAACAGCAACAACGATCCAATGTGTAAAATGCATGAAAGCTCAAATAAACACAACATAGGAACTGCAGCTTCGCACAGTGATACAGAGAACCGTCAGGTGAAGCGGTCCTGAATAAAGCACAGCTATTGACCAATCAGAATCAAGGACCGTTTTGAAAACATCATTACTGCAGTCTTCAGTGTCACATGATCCTTCAGAAATCACTCTAATATGATGATTTGATGCTCAAGAAACATTTATGAATATTATCAATGTTGTGCTACTTCATATTGTTGTGGAAATTGTGATATACTATATATTATTTTTTTAAATAGAGAAAAAAATGGACAATTTAGTTCAGTAAGGACATATTAGAATTGATCAAAAGTGAGAGTAAATACACACACTGAAAAAAATAATATGCTTTATCTAATCAATAAAAATGTGGCAACATATTACAAGCAATATTATTAATTAAATTGTACAAATTAGAATTAATTAGAATGTTAATTTGATTAACTATTACTCAATTCTAATTTGTTCAGTTTAATTAATAATATTGCTTGTAATCTGTAGCCACAATTTTTTTGATTAGATAAAGCCTATTAATTTTTATGGTGTATGTTTCTATTACATGCTGTACATTGAACTTCTATTCATCAAAAAATAATTGAGCATCAGTGACACTGCAGACTGGAGTAATGATGCTGAAAATTCAGCTTTAATCACAGGAATAAACAGTTATTTTAAAATGTAATACTGCTTATACTGTGTTTTTGATCAAATAAATGCAGCCTTGGTGGGACTTAAAAAACAAAAACATTAATAAATCTTAATCATTCCAAACTTTTATATAATTTTCACTGATATAAGTGATGACAGGATTTTCATCTTTGAGGGAGCAACTCGTTTATTAAAGCCCAATTAAATGAAACCAACCAAAAAGATTATTAATATTACAATAGCCCCACACAAAAAGATTAACGATCACTAAATCTTCTGAAAACGGGGGGCAGTGACGCATGCTTCATTTCTGATTTCGCAGTACATTCAAAATACCTGAAATGCCAAACGTAATAGCAGAAAAAATACCTTGCACAGCCAAGCTTGCCAAATGGATGGCTTGCTCAATGGAGCATGGGATCTTCCCCTCCAGAACGTCTTTCTTCAGCTGGAGATAATACTGATATCTGCACGAAAAACCGGAAGTGAGTAAAAGCGTTGTAACAGCACTGATGTGATCACTTTCAGACATGTTCTTGTCCTTAACCTGGTTATCTCTTGTTGTAACTGGGTGACAGTCGACACGTAGAAAACCACCCCAAAGTAAACGGTGGGCTCCAGCCCGTACTTGTCGAGCTGTTTCTTCAGCGGCTTCTCCAAATCAATCCATCTCTGCTGGTTTTGTTTGTTGTAGTACCAGAGGCTGAAGTACGTTATCTGGGGAATGAACAGAATTTCACTGATTGCTCTTTTACTCATGAGAAACACCAGGCCCGGAGGCTGGCGGACATTCACGTGCTTAACTTCAAAAACTGGAAATACTCTCAAAGCTTTGAGTAAGATGACTATTAGGCAAAGCTAAAAGTTGCGTACCGTTCAACATGATGTATTTGAACTGCTTGAAATTATTGGGATCACTTCAAAAGAGGAAAATACAGTTCATAATGACGACATGAAATTATAACTAACTAAATTGTGTGTATAGGCCATGGTTTTTATTGGCGAGACTTCTGTTTTTGTGATCAGGCTCTCAAAAATAATTTAATTGTGAATTTAATCTCGCAGATATATCGGTTATCGGCTTTCAAATATAGAAAATTATCGGTTATCGATATCAGCCAAAATGTTTTAATGTATTAGTAAATGCTGAAATTAACATTAACAAATATTAATGAATGCTTTAGAAGTATTTTTTTATTGTTAGCTCTAGAGCCAGACCGATATATCGGCAGGCCGATATTAGGCATTTTCTGAAATATCGGTATCGGCAGTTATAATGGCCGATAAATTAATATTTCAAAAATAAACACTTCAACCATGTCATGAGTGTTAGAGTTGTATAGTTTGTCCACCAGAGGGCGCTCTACACCGTCCCTGTTGGCAACACTCGTGTATAACGCGCCACACATCCACGCAGAGAGAACCAGTTATGCATTATCATATTATTTTAGATAAAACTCATAATTAACTACAAATAACTAATGTTAGGGGAAATCTGATAATATTTTGTTGCCGGTTTCTGAAATAAAAAAATTATAATAATATCGGCCGATATATCGGATTTTAAAACCAACAAATATTTGTATCGGTATCGGCCTTCAAAATCCTTTATCAGTCGGGCTCTAGTTAGCTCATGCTGTTAAATAATATTATCAAATCTGAAATGAAATGGCAAAAAACTAAAACATGCACTTTAACTTATGCACTCGTACAATCTTGATGCCGAACTGGACGTGATATTTTGTCTCAATTCTAATTCTGCTTTAATTTCAATCCTCTAAAATATAATTTCGCATTTTTCCTGCAAGCACACAAATAGTAACCACTTATTAAATCACTTTAGGCTACTAAACACACTTTACGCACTGGGCGATACTCATACGACATGTTTGCGACCTCTAGCGATATAATAATCTGACTTTGGGGGGAAAACACTCAGACTTCTCAAGAGCAGTCGAGGCTGAATTCTTGGCACACATGCTTTTAGGGTGTTTGACAGCATTTTGGTTGCAGTCCTAGAATAGCCTAGACTCCAGACGGCACCAGCAAGCTAAAATAAACACACGCCCATGGTGTGTTAAGGTGATTTCGACCAGATTAAACCAAGTCGATGTCTTAGTAGCCAGAGGACGGACGGACCTACCTCGCGTAACTCGAGTCTCTGCGCAACTGCCTCGAGACATTCCTGGCCCGTGCTCTCCACCGAAAGCGTGAACTCCACATATTCACCGTTGAGCAGCTGTATGCGAGTCACCAGGCAGCTTTTGCTGGACACCGTGTATCTTCTGGTTCTCTTGAGTTTTAATCCGAACGGAAGGGGCATGTTGAACCGCTGCCGCAACCTTCCTCGAGCAGAATGATTTGATTCAGCTTTCCTCCGTGCTTAATCCATGGAGAGGTGCTGGATTATACAGGGCTCCACAAGACAAACACATGAGTCCCTGGATAAAGACAAACCACAGTAAAAAAGATTAGCAATGACCGCTTGAAGTGATAGCAGTGTTTATCTGCTCAGCGGTGGGTCACGGATAAAAGGCAAAAAATAATAAAATGCAATAGCAAAAGAGGGATATCTAATTTTACAAAGGAGGAGAAAACACTTTACATTTGTCTGTGATTTAGTAATAGTAATAGTAGTGTTTTTAGCATTTTTGTGGTTGTTTATGCATTTACAAAATTCCATGTTACGGATGGCTTAATAATACATTGATGTAAGGGACATATTTGTTGCTTTTGTGTGATTTTTGAAGTAAAAACGGCTGAGAACCACTATAGTCTTCTCTTAGGGCATTTATTAAATAGAAGCATGACATGAAGTAAATTGACACAGATAACATGAGGCATGTGCATAAGTTTCATACAGAAAACTCATAATTGAGATCAAAAACATAATTCATATAGTTATGATCCAATTAGTAAAAAAAAAAACCATATGAACCATTACACATATCATAATATTTCGAAATATTATATCATTAAAAAAGTGGCCCATTTATACAAAATATAACAACTCTCCACTGTACTGTGGACACTGAAAATAACAACATAAACAAAACATTAATAACAGAGCGTGATTTAGGCTTTTTCAGGCCATTTAAACCCCCCAAATTTGTAAAAATAAGCACTTTACTTTATAAAAGTACATCAGCGCTCTTAATTATTCGGTTATTTATTAAAATAGCTGAGTTTTGTTGGCGTTTACCAAATATAAACAAACACCAAAAATGTCTGACTAACTTTTGGAGCAACAAGTGACCGCAAAACCGCACGCGTCCAAACTCGACTTCTACACTTCATTAAACAAGACGACAAAGTCTCCAAACACACATTTGACCGTCTAAACACATGTGATTTATTGAGATGTCTTGAGTTTTAGCGTAAATTAAGACTTTAAGAGCGCGCGCTGGCTAACGCTGCTAACACTGTAAAACTGAAAATGAATAGTTTAAATGGCTCTTTGCCGCTTACCTGCTGGATTATCTGATTTATTATATCCTTAATTTATAGCATAATTGGAGTATGAATTACGGTTTAAAATAATAATCCGATATTTGGTGGTTTATTTTTTCGGGATTGACGCATGTTTGAGGTTCCTCGGGTCACACTCCTGCTGCTGCGTCACATCCGCTAGGAATACCAAAGGAAAGGGGGACCGGGATCATAATCATCCGCGGCTCTATTTTCACTCACACCCATGAAGGTCTGGACGCCCTTTCCCAGTTTCAATACATCCACGAGGACTGTTTTGGATGGGGAACAGGTTTAAATTAATTTTAGATTTTTTTGGAGAAGCAAGATACGGTCAAGTTAGGTTGAAAATTTAGATAAAATTAATAAATTGAACAATAGCGCTGCGCCTCGATACAGCGCGCGCGTTACGTCAGGTGCGTGGAATGCGTGGAATGAGAGCAGCTGCTGTAAAGCCATGTGAATAATTGCAATGTGTGCTTTCCGAAAGGACGTTTCGCTGTAATAAACAACAAGACTTTATCATCATTTTTCGGATTTGCGATAAAACAGTGTTATCTGTTAAACATTCTAGAGTAACGGAAGTTAGAGAACACTTGTGATTTCATTCTCATGGTCATGCTCGCACGAACCAAATTTGATTGCAAAAGCATTTAATTATAGGCCATTCCACGCAACAAAAATACAGTAGTCTGTAAAAGTCATCTGAAATATAAAAATACATATGGTAACAGTTTTTCATTTCTCATTCTCAGTAGTTAAAAAAAATCAAAACAATTAAATCAACAGGTGCTAAAACAAAGCTAACAATGTAAATTATATAGTGTATTTCAGTGTAACAAGTATTTAAAGTACACACAATTCTATTTGAATACTGCAACAAAAAAATATATGCATTGTAAACTCAAACAAATGTAGACTGACCTCTAGTTATTGATGGTTATGTGTGTGTTTAACAAATGCAAAAGCTATAAAGATGAACATCTTTCAAAGTTTAAATAAAAATCTGCTGTATCAAGTATATCACTAAATATGAACACTGCAGCTTCACAAACTAAAACACTCAAGTAAAAGTCACAGCATGAGTTTTGAATGACTACATAAACAATAAACCACATTATGAGCAGAAAATTCAGCAATGTCGTACATAACATGCTGAAAATACTGTAATGGCTTTGTATAACAATCAACTCCTGGAAAACACAATGCCTTTTCCTTTCATAACCTTAAAAAAGTTAAACCTGATATTCTACAGAAAGAGTTAAAACTCATCATCACTGACATCGCCTCTCGTTTGCTCTGGTTCGAACACTTCCCGTTGAGTCTCTGACACACTTAACGACTCCGCCATGATTTTCCCAAGTTCATCGACCGGTTCGAACGCTTCGTTCCTGGGATTTTCAGCATGATCACTCAGGAACTCCTCATCCAGGCTGTGGCCTACAGGTGTGGACGCTACAGCAGGACTGATGTCCTCGATCTGTCCTCGGTCCTCAACAAACACGTCATGAAGAAGATACTCAACATCATCTGAAGGCAGACGCTTTTCTTCTGCGCCCAGAGACGGGACGAAGGCAGCCGGAGGATCTTGCAGGTCCTTCTGCAGATTGTCTAGAAGGTGCCGCATTTTGTTCTGTTGGGAATATTAGAGAGATAGACGGCTGTGAGTGTGAGGAAGGAATCATATAATCAAAGTCGCTTTAACGTTAGAAAAAAGTATGTTTTTTTCGTTTTTTTAAAAGGTGACCAGATCCTGTTTTTTAATGCATGTCAATGGAGGAGAGGCTGAATAAACTGCTTTTGTTGCTCATCATTTAATGAATCGGCAGCCTATTGGATAACCTTCTTAAACATGCCTTTTGGATTGATCTATTTTGAGTTTACACTAGGGCTGTCAAACGATTAATCGCACCCAAAATAAAAGTTTGTTTTTACATAATATATGTGGGATAAGTAAATATATATTAAACTTAATTTTCTTCTGAAAAAATTGTGAACATTGTCTTAAGGTGCTGAAGGAGAAAATTAAATTATACGTTGTTCATGTTGTTATTTAGCACGTTTTGAATGTATGTATCCCCTGAGACAGGTTGCCTGTTTAGGGTATAAAAAAGGGATTAAACTAGCTCTATTTAAAATGCACTATTCAAACTAAAATGATTGTAATTCAAGATTGCTTTGGAATATAGACCTAATTTAGACCTAAAATTAAAATATGAAAAAGTTAAGGAAATTTAAAACTTATATTAAATCAAATACACTGTACTTAAAATTTATCCTTTTTTTTTTTTTTATAAAATATGTATTTTACAAAATATTTTTTCCTATAACATTACTATAATCAAAGCCATATATCTAACCAAGTTGTTTTCCAAATTATCACAAAAATTGAAGTTCCCATGAGATTTTGTTTAGGAATATTACCAAAAATTGCCACCGGGTGACTTACATTCCATTGAATTTAATTGTATGTATTCTGCCATAACAAATTAATAAACCTCTGTCCAAATATCACTTTTGTCACAAAATATGAAACCTTGAGGCTCAGACCTTTCTGACAATATGTGTTTTGTCAAGATTAAAAAAGGTTTTGATCATAAATTATGATCCAATTTCAAAACGTTCGTAAGATTTCAAATGATTCAACATTAGATCAGATGAAGAATGGGATATAATTGTTATAAACATACAGTGGCAGCAACAGTTAACAGATTAATAACATGGTCCTTTTTTATACCCTAATCAGGCAACGTATCTCAGGAGACACAATTCATAAAATCCAAAATATATATCAAATTAAAAAAAAAAAATATTTTGGGTAAAAATATTTAGTTTTAAGTCCATATTATATCAAAAATGAAATGAAATAATTTTTTGCTAAGCATTTTCCGCTCTTGCCTGTTTAAGGGTTTTAAAATATCATTAAAAGCAATAATGAGGAAATTGTTTGTGCTTTTCCTCATTTTAAATCACTTTATATAAAAGCATCAGACTAGAGGTAAAATAGATGTAAAATCAAAACACTCACCTCATCTAATCGATGCCTGTTCATATCAATGTGCCGTTCAAACAGTCTCTTCAGTACTCTGTAAGGAACGTTAGACTGATGAGAAACAAAAAGTGACACAAAAAATGCCGTGCAATTTTAAATTGATCTCACACACCTGTCAGAATAAAGGCCCTGAGTAAGGATGTCATTCGTCACATCTGTAATGAACTCCAGGTACATCAATTCTTCCTCCCTGGCGAAAACAACAAGTTCAGAAAGTCCACAGAGTGACACAGGAACATGAATAAACTGAAAATACAATTGATTGTTATAATTGTATTCTTGTATTTTATCAAAAAACTAAATCAAGACTTTGTCAAAGAGCATAATAGGTCCTCTTTATCAATATTAAGAGGGATATTAGCCGTTTAGATGCCACATTAGTGAAATATTTCATGTATTTCAGCGGCCTAATACATGACACTCACTCTGCTGAAACTTTCCTCATTATGGGGGATCTCATGCCTTCTGGTGAAACCCTGAAACAAAACAAAAGAGTCTTTTCTCTTATGTGTAAATGTGTAAAAATGCAAACGAAAAGCCAGCAAATATATAAGTAAATTAAAACATCTGTCCCACACTGTTTTGGTGAGTTCATTACATTTTGTGGGTAGCAAAAGTGTGCCGACTGCATTATATATAGAGTATATGGCATTTGTGTCATTTACAGAATCTTTTACCTGGAAGACGAGAGAAGAAAATCACTGTCCTTAAACCTGTGTGTCTTGCCATCACGTCTAAATGATTCTTCATCCGACCACTCGTGATCAACAGCAAATGTCTGAAAAAGGACAAAAAAGGTGAAATATTTAACAAGACGCCAATGTGTTCATATTTGAGCTTTTTGTTGTTTAGATTTAAGCTCACTCCGGATAATCAAAAAACTTCATCAGGTGCATTCTGGGATTCTTTTAAACACAACTGAAGGAGGAACATTTGTGATGATGCTTTTCAATTACTATCCATGTCAACTTAAATAAAAGAGACGGACGGATGGATGAAAGGGTGTGTGAGATGGATAGATGGTTGGATGGACAAGGATAGATAGATGGATGGATGGATGGATAAGTAGGTAGGTAGATAGGTAGGTAGATGGATGGATGATAGATAGATAGGTAGATGGATGGATGGATAGATGGGTAGGTAGATGGATGGATAGATAGATGAATGGATGGATAGGTAGGTAGATGGATGGATGGATGGATAGATAGGTAGGTGGATGGATGGATGGATGGATGGATGGATGGATGGATGGATGGATAAGTAGGTAGGTAGATGGATGGATGGATAGATAGGTAGGTAGATGGATGGATAGATAGATAGGTAGATGGATAGATGGATGGATGGATGGATGGATAGATAGGTAGATGGATGGATGGATGGATGGATAGGTAGATGGATGGATGGATGGATGGATAGATAGATAGATAGATAGATAGATAGATAGATAGATAGATAGATAGATAGATAGATAGATAGATAGATAGATAGATAGATAGATAGATAGATAGATAGATAGATAGATAGATAGATAGATAATGGATGGATGGATGGATTGATAGATTAGATAGGTAGATGATGGATAGATGGATGGATGGATAGATAGGTAGATGATGGATGGATGGATGGATGGATGGATGGATAGATTAGATAGGTAGATGATGGATGGATGGATGGATGGATGGATAGGTAGGTAGATGATGGATGGATGGATGGATGGGTAGATGATGGATGGATGGATGGATAGGTAGGTAGATGATGGATGGATGGATAGGTAGGTAGATGATGGATGATGGATGGGTAGGTAGATGATGGATGGATGGATGGATGGATAGGTAGGTAGATGATGGATGGATAGGTAGGTAGATGATGGATGGATGGGTGGATGGATAGGTAGGTAGATGATGGATGGATGGGTGGATGGATAGGTAGGTAGATGATGGATGGATGGATGGATGGATAGATAGGTAGGTAGATAGATGAATGGATGGATAGATAGGTAGATGATGGATGGATGGATGGATTAGATAGGTAGATGATGGATAGATGGATGGATGGATAGATAGGTAGATGATGGATGGATGGATGGATAGATTAGATAGGTAGATGATGGATAGATGGATGGATGGATAGATTAGATAGGTAGATGATGGATGGATGGATGGATAGATTAGATAGGTAGATGATGGATGGATGGATGGATGGATGGGTAGATGATGGATGGATGGATGGATAGGTAGGTGGATGATGGATGGGTAGGTAGATGATGGATGGATGGATGGATGGATAGGTAGGTAGATGATGGATGGATGGATGGATAGATAGATTAGATAGGTAGATGATGGATGGATGGATGGATGGATAGATTAGATAGGTAGATGATGGATGGATGGATGGATGGATGGATGGATGGATGGATGGATGGGTAGATGATGGATGGATGGATGGATGGATGGATAGGTAGGTAGATGATGGATGGATGGATGGATGGATGGATGGATGGATGGATGGATAGGTAGGTAGATGATGGATGGATGGATGGATGGATAGATAGATTAGATAGGTAGATGATGGATGGATGGATGGATAGATTAGATAGGTAGATGATGGATGGATGGATGGGCAGATGATGGATGGATGGATGGATGGATAGGTAGGTAGATGATGGATGATGGATGGGTAGGTAGATGATGGATGGATGGATGGATAGGTAGGTAGGTAGATGATGGATGGATGGATGGATGGATGGATAGGTAGGTAGATAGATGAATGGATGGATAGATAGGTAGATGATGGATGGATGGGTGAGGTAGATGATGGATGGATTGATGGAGAGGTAGGTATATGGATGGATGGATGAGTAAGTGGATGGATGGATGGATAGATAGGTAGATGATGGATGGATGGATAGATTAGATAGGTAGATGATGGATGGATGGATGGATGGATAGATTAGATAGGTAGATGATGGATGGATGGATGGATGGATGGGTAGATGATGGATGGATGGATAGGTAGGTAGATGATGGATGATGGATGGGTAGGTAGATGATGGATGGATGGATGGATGGATAGATTAGATAGGTAGATGATGGATGGATGGATGGATAGATTAGATAGGTAGATGATGGATGGATGGATGGATGGATGGGTAGATGATGGATGGATGGATGGATAGGTAGGTAGATGATGGATGATGGATGGGTAGGTAGATGATGGATGGATGGATGGATGGATAGGTAGGTAGATGATGGATGGATGGATGGATAGATTAGATAGGTAGATGATGGATGGATGGATGGATGGATAGATTAGATAGGTAGATGATGGATGGATGGATGGATGGATGGGTAGATGGATGGATGGATGGATAGGTAGGTAGATGATGGATGATGGATGGATAGGTAGGTAGGTAGATGATGGATGGATGGATGGATGGATAGGTAGGTAGATAGATGAATGGATGGATAGATAGGTAGATGATGGATGGATGGGTGAGGTAGATGATGGATGGATTGATGGAGAGGTAGGTATATGGATGGATGGATGAGTAAGTGGATGGATGGATGGATGGATGGATGGATGGATGGATAGATAGGTAGATGATGGATGGATGGATGGGTAGATGATGGATGGATGGATAGGTAGGTAGATAGATGAATGGATGGATGGATAGGTAGATGATGGATGGATGGGTGAGGTAGATGATGGATGGATTGATGGAGAGGTAGGTATATGGATGGATGGATGAGTAAGTGGATGGATGGATGGATGGATGGATAGATAGGTAGATGATGGATGGATGGATGGATAGATAGGTAGATGATGGATGGATGGATGGATGGGTAGATGATGGATGGATGGATGGATGGATGGATGGATAGGTAGGTAGATGATGGATGGATAGTTGTGTACATAATGTGCAATAAATGTCAATCGGAAAGTAAATTAAGATACTTTGCCAAAACGTCCCACAAGTTTCCTTCAGACTTGCCTGAAGCGACTCGAGGTGTGGAGAAAAGCCTTGTTTGGAGCGTGTGCTGCAGACAACAGAAAACACACTGTTAAACCATCAGATGGGCATTTTAAATCTCACATAACAGCTCTTTCAGGATCAGTGAAAACACCTCCGGTGGCGCGTCTCCTGTCCAATAACAGAGGGCGGTTTCTCCTCTTCCGCTTTCCTCCGTGGAGGAGTGTAATATCGATACTGTAACAGTGTGGACTGGTGGTGTGATTTCAGCGTTCTCGGAGTGAAGGGTTTCTCCGGAGTGAAGCGATGAGTGTGTTTCAGCAGTATGTCACCACTGTAGGTCTTCTGTGTGGGATCCTGAAAGCTTTTAAACCCTCTCTGACTGGAAGACGTGGCACAGGACGGGCCTGCGTCCTGCCAATGAGGGTTTGGGCTGCGGGAACTCAACTCGGAGGCAGATCGGAAGTGGTTCGCAGGGGTTCCAGATGTTTGGGATGGATATACAATTTGTTTGGAATGAAACGAGGTGCTGATTCTGGGCGATGACCCCAGCGATTGGTCCAGGTAATGATAGGCACCATCGCCACCCTGAACGGACGGTCTGCTCTGGAAACAAAGAGGAAACTACAGTTGTGAACACAGTTTCTGCCAAGCAACGTCATATAATGAAGCACAAGATGTTAACTTACATTCTTGGAAGAACAGGAGGCTCTTGAGTTGATCCTAGTGCTCCTCTGGGAATCAGACCTTCTCGACTGACTTCGAGTGTCTTTCCTTAACTGCTCACGCCGCTTTTGATCAACATCTGCAGAGGTCAAAATCATATATTTACAAAAATCATATATTTACATATACTTATAAAGAGTTTTTTTATTTATGAATGAGGTACTAGTATAGTAATTTACATCTGGTTAGACACATGTTAAATATATTTTATTAAATATATTACATTAAATATTTTATTTAATACATTATATACCTATACACACACACATAAATATATATATATATATATATATATATATATATATACTTATTTACTTTAATTTTCAAATGAAGTAGATTGGTAATATGGGATTTTCTCTTACATTTGACACTGCTATGCAAGCTTTTAGGCACTGAACAGTCCACAGCAGCTAAAAGAAAACAAAAGAAGTGGTATTTAAAGTATATAAAAGAAGCGTAAAGGAAACTCACAAAAAACTAAACATTTCGCACTAGCCATTGCCTTTATGATAAATATTTAAAAACTATAAACTTGACATCCTTGCATGTATTTGAATTAGAAACTTACCTTTGGCTGAATACATCTTTCTGTAATGTGAAACCATGTGGTCTTTAATCAAGTACTGATTCATCAGTTTGCCAGATGAACCAAAACAGAACCCTAAAGATGAACATATGAGCTATTCATTTATACATTACATTAGATTGTCAAATGGTACAATCACAACCAGAAAACAACAACTCAAATGGTAACGTTACATCCAAAACACTTTGCAAATACATGGCATTATAAAAAATAAACACGGTTACTTTTCGTATAGTGCTACTTTAGTGCGTTACTCTTACAATGACATGCTATAAATATAAATAAAGAGTTTATAAGCGTCTGTGATTATTATATTTTTCTAGGCTGATTATAATTTACCGTTACGTTAACGTTACCTGGTTTAGTGTCCATGATGATAAACTCTGGCTGGAGTCTCATACTCAAAATACTCGTGTTTCACCGGAAACCATCACGTTAAACGTTCATATGAACGCATGAGGTAATAAAGACATATCACAAATACTCCATACACTTATTTTCACAGTTATCATCTTTCACAGATGTTTTGCTAGCTGCTAGCTGCCAGCTAATCTGTCCCCGCTACCCTGAAGCTTCAACGTCGCCATGTTGGTTGCTATGCGCGCGCCTGACGCCAATCTCTTAAAGGGACAGTTCACCAAAAAATGAAAAGTCTGTCATCATTCACGCTCTCCCTCAAGTTGTTCCAAATCCGAATTAATTTCTGTCCTCTGCTTAACACAAAAAATATATATTTTGAAGAATATGTCGTCAACCGAACAGCTGATGGACCCCGTTGACCCCCAATTTATTTTTCCCCACCGTCAATGGGGTCCATGATAAACTGAGAGAGAGAGAGAGAGAGAGAGGATAGGATTGCAAGATAGCATTAGGATAATTAGGATAAATTGCCAAGAATTAAATGCCAATATTGCAAAATGTGTGTTTTTAATTATTACTATCAATTCCTTATTTTGTCAGATTCTTTAATTATCAATTAAATACTGAGTAACAAATAAAATGCTTTCCACATGTTCCATTCCTAACAAAATGTTAATGAATGTAATCATAATGCAAAACCTGATACTTAAAAAATATATCAACCTTGACAAAAAGTAATCTTTTAGAATGCATAAATATATTTTAATTCAAAACCTGATAAAATTAGGAAATTATGTCCAAAAAACAACTGAGAATCCAAAAGCTTCACTATATAATTGTGCAGGGAGCGATACAGGTGTGACATCATGAAATTACAAGGTTTTATTTGAACTATTCTCATTTTAAAAGATGGATTTTAAAGGCATTCACTCTGTTTTAATCTGAAATATTGAATTTATTGAAAAATAATAACCAAAAAAATAATAATTTTAATGTATATATATATATATATATACACATTAAAATTATTATTTTTTTTAATTATATATATAAAATTATATATATATATATATATAAATTGTAGAAAAAAATCATTCCATGGATACACAAAATCCCCTCAAAATTCAAAATAATAATAAAAAAATATTATTGTTCATTGAATAAAAATAAAGTTACATTTCAAGGCTTTATACTGTCATTTTGTATTCATACTGTCCAAATCTGTCCCACACTTTCTGCTGACTGCAATCATCTAAAAGAGGAATGAGGTGAAATAAGTTTAAATAAGAAATCTGTTAGAGTAATATTGTGAAATATGTCAATTAACCTATTTAATATAAACTATTTCACCGCAACTGGAGATATTTAGAGTGACTATTTTAAACACTTAAATCAATCATTTTTTCCCCACTAGTCAATCATTTTCCAGTACTAATGAATCTGTAAAGGTGCATCAGAATAAACAGTCCACCTGATACTGAATATTTCATATAGAAAACTGCATGTGTGTTTATGATCTCACACTCATCATTACTAATAGATGCTGGGTCTTAAGGAGGTGAGGTACAGTTTCATCCATATTTCATGAGGAATCTCCGGGTGCTTCCTGCTCAATGCAAACAGACCAGACCACATCAACAATGATGAAGAACTCTCCGTCCTGTAAATATGATCTCACTGAGCAGAAATAACTGTACAATAATTCAGCAATGCTATTAGACAATATTAGGTCTATTTGGCATTAAAAAGCATCAGATTTGTCAGAACAAAATAATCAAATGTAAAATACAATTTTACATTTCATTTTTATTTATTATAATGTTTTATTGATCGAAAGTGTAATGGTGAAGTGATACCTTCCGGATTTGCATCAATAAGTTCATAAATGATTTGTAATGCAGAAAATGAATGATTGGCAGGTGATGGCAAAACTACTGCTAATATAATATAATATAATATAATATAATATAATATAATATAATATAATATAATATAATATAATATAATATAATATAATATAATATAATATAATATAATATAATATAACATAATATAATATAATATAATTATCAAGGATGTATTGCAAACAGTTTTTAATCCAAAAGCACACAAACCAATTAATCCAACATAGAAACATAAATACGATGATGATGATCAAACTGGGAGAAGAAGGAAACTGCCAAACTAAATTTTCGCCGAAAACCCTCATTTACTATTCCCTCTATAGTCACCAATATAGTTCACTTGTGAGAGAATTCAGACAGCCATTGAGCGTACATTGTATTATTGCAGTGCATTGTGGGATTAAATGAGTTCAAGCAATAACGTCCACTATGGTTTCCTCAAATAATGCCCTATTTGAGGGTTTGGGGTGATATGGGGGGACAAGGGAATGAGTATTTACATATAAAAAGGCTAATAAGGAACAGGTGTATTTGTAACCATGGAGACTAAAAAGGGTTACTATGGAGACAGGAACAAAGCACAGGAAGACAAAACAATATAAAAATAAAAGTCCTGAAACATAAAACAGGAATCATAACACTTACTGAATGATAATATGTTTAAATTATAATATTAAATGCAATGTGCAATGTTACATATTATATAATAATAGTATTGTCATATTTAAAGAATGAATAAATATGCACTTACAGTAATGGGATAAATGAATACACCCTATTATGTTTATATGAGGGTTTTATGGCTTGAGAAACTTAATAAAACCATTATTTTTCCTGTAAGTGGGATTTGACAGAAGTGTGCATGAGATAACTTTTTTTTTTAATTAAAATGTATTAGATTTATATTAAATTTTATTAAAATGTAAAATTATTAACCATATTACATTTTAATAACATATTTTGATTGATTTTTTTATTATTTATTTTTAATGTTTTACTGATTGAAAACTTAATCATGCAAATAGACACTCCACATTTAAATCCATCAACAAAGTACATATATGTAATACATCATGATAGGAAAATCTACTGATAAAAAAGATAAAAAATAAATGATAATATGAAATGCATTCTGAAATGTTAATTATTATATTATAATAGTGTTATTATTATATTTAAATAATTAATAAAAATACAGCATCCAAACAATAATGGGTTAAATTAATACACCCGGTTATGGTTTTTAAATTATCATGAGGGTGTTTATGGATTGAGCAACTTAATAAAACCCACAGCTGAAGATTTATCCTTCCTGTAAATGAGATTTGACAACTAACTATCGTAACATTGTGAATATAAAAATGTAATAGATTTTTTTTCAAAATGTAAAATAATTCAAATATTGTAATTAACAATATATTATGTTAAATATTATGCTTATGAGTTACCATTTGCATGATTACACTGCACACAGCATTATAATAATAAATACAAAATAAAAATTAAATATTTTAGTAAAATGTAAAAAAAAAATTCAAAATGTAAAATAATATTACATATTTCATTTTTATTTTGTATTTATTATTATAATGCTGTGTGCAGTGTAATCATGCAAATGGTAGCTCATAAGCATAATATCTAACATAATATATTATTAATGACAATATTTCACAATATGCAATGTTAAATATTATAGAATACATATTGTCATAAATAGGTTTAGTAACCGTATTATGTGATTTTTTTTTCTTTTTAATAATTATGAAGATGTTTATGTATTTATCAAGTTAATTAATCCCACACTTTCCATAAATAATTCATAAATGTGTGTAGTGTTGATTCGCTGCTCGTGAGTCCAGCCCTCGCGCGCTCAGGCACACCTGCTCTCCACGCGCTTCTGAGCCGCTTCACACACACACACACACACCGGCGGGCGAAACACGCGATGATCAGTGAGTACAACTTATTTGTCAACCTCAAAATCACATCTCCATGATTATAGCGAGTATGAATGCCCGAACAGCTTCTCCACGAGTAAAAGCCTCGTTGGGAATCCTGACACAAAGGATGAGGCGTTGCTGAAACAAAGGAAAGTGATTTACGCGCGATGCCGAAACGCTCCAACATTCGCGACATGATTCAATCCCATTCCCAGCTAATGTTTCGCGCTTTGTTTCGCTTTCCTCGAAGTGATGTGAGCCTGGAGCTGATGAGAGTGGTTGGGTGGAGAGAGTAGGCTAGAGAGAGTAAAGGCGTGCTCGAGCATCATCACCATCATCATCATCATCATCACCTCTTGGCTTTGAACCATTTGCTTATTGTAAAGAAACAAACACCCAGAGAGCAGCGAGAATGTAGCCTGCTGTAGTCTTTGGTTTGTGTGTGTGTTGTTAGGATAGCTTTATTTGACACTTTGATACGGAAAGCCCTTCTGGACCATCATGAAATTCCCGTTAGAGAATCCAAGGAAACAGGTGAACTGGGATCCTGAACAAGGTTAGTCGTGTCAGTCTGTTATTTCACTCAACTTCTGCTCTTTCAATGACAAATAACTTGGTTTGATTGATTGTCACTGTTTCTTATTTTATTTTATAAAAGGATCTGTCTTGCATTTGTTTTTTTGCTTATGAAAAATTAGCATTTGAGATTTGAGAGGAAACATTTGAAGTGCTTTTCCAGGAAAAATGCGTGTTGCAATCATGTAATCAGTGATAATTAGCTGTATATATACTTTATTCACACACACACATGCATATTTATGTATTCATTGAAAAGTGTCACTAATCACATGTGTTTTCTATATGGGCTTTTGTCTTAGATTCATTGGATTACTCATTGTAATTTTGATGGACATAACAGTTTCTATACTTTATTGGATATTAATTTGTGTTGTCCATGCTGACATGTTTTATATCTCTGAGCAGATGTAGTGACAGGCATCCAATGCCTCATTGTAAAAATCGACAGAGAAATATGCACATGTATGTTCGGTTTATTGAATCGATATTGTGTTTGATGAAACCCAAACTTGCATCATTTTCTGTTTCATTTTTACAAAGGGACTGATGTAGTGAGGCAGGCGAGGGGGCGGAGTCTGCATAATTATAATGGGGTGGTTTGAGCATTACATCACTCTGACTCACAGGCTCCGCCCACTGTCCCCCACAAAGGGAGCTCTGAATCGTTTAAAGGGGTGACTGCAAGGGCTCTGACACCCTCCAGATCGAATCCATCTGACAGCTAGTGTGCTCGTTTGTTTTAACCATTCACCTCGTTCAGTGATACGGTTGCAATACACAAGGAATACAAAATCACCTTAGAAAAGAGATGAATATTAAAGCATCTCTGTGGTGAAGTCATAAGCAGAAATGTCTCTCAACCAGAGGATTGGATTAAAGCTTCTCAGGAGAAACATCTAACGCCTCTGTAATCGGCCACACACACCTCGGCATTCTCTGGCTATTAGTGCATGTTTTACTGCATTGTTTGTGGTGTTTATCATGATGAAAAATACCAGAATAGAACTGAATAGAATACATGTTTCTCCACCGGTTTGTGTCATTAATACACAGAGAAATTACAAACAATATTCTCTGGATTTCTGCTGCTTCTAGGATTGAGATTAAATGGAGATCAATCCATCCATCCCTCCATCCATCCCCTCCCTTCATCCATCCATCCATCCATCCATCATCCATCCCCTTCATCCATCCATCCCTCCATCCATCCATCCATCCCTCCATCCATCCATCCATCCATCCATCCCCTCCCTTTATCCATCCATCCATCCATCTCCTTCATCCATCCATCCCTCCATCCATCCATCCATCCATCCATCCATCCATCCATCCATCCCTCCATCCATCCATCCCCTCCCTTTATCCATCCATCCATCCATCTCCTTCATCCATCCATCCATCCATCCATCCATCCATCCATCCATCCATCCCCTCCCTTCATCCATCCATCCATCCATCCATCACCTCCCTTCATCCATCCATCCATCCATCCATCCATCACCTCCCTTCATCCATCCATCCATCCATCCATCCCCTCCCTTCATCCATCCATCCATCCATCACCTTCATCCATCCATCCATCCATCCATCCCCTCCCTTCATCCATCCATCCATCACCTTCATCCATCCATCCATCCATCCATCCATCTCCTTCATCCATCCATCCATCCATCCATCCCCTCCCTTCATCCATCCATCCATCCATCACCTCCCTTCATCCATCCATCCATCCATCCATCACCTCCCTTCATCCATCCATCCATCCATCCATCACCTCCCTTCATCCATCCATCCATCCATCCATCACCTCCCTTCATCCATCCATCCATCCATCCATCACCTCCCTTCATCCATCCATCCATCCATCCATCCCCTCCCTTCATCCATCCATCCATCCATCACCTTCATCCATCCATCCATCCATCCATCCATCCCTCCCTTCGTCCATCCATCCATCACCTTCATCCATCCATCCATCCATCCATCCCCTCCCTTCATCCATCCATCCATCCATCACCTTCATCCATCCATCCATCCATCCATCCCCTCCCTTCATCCATCCATCCATCACCTTCATCCATCCATCCATCCATCCATCCATCACCTTCATCCATCCATCCATCCATCCATCCCCTCCCTTCATCCATCCATCCATCACCTTCATCCATCCATCCATCCATCCATCTATCCCCTTCATCCATCCCTCCATCCATCCATCCCCTCCCTTCATCCATCCATCCATCCATCACCTTCATCCATCCATCCATCCATCCATCCCCTCCCTTCATCCATCCATCCATCACCTTCATCCATCCATCCATCCATCCATCCATCCATCTCCTTCATCCATCCATCCATCCATCCATCCCCTCCCTTCATCCATCCATCCATCCATCACCTCCCTTCATCCATCCATCCATCCATCCGTCACCTCCCTTCATCCATCCATCCATCCATCCATCCACCCATCCATCCATCTATCCCTTCATCCATCCATCCATCCATCCATCATCCATCCCCTTCATCCATCCATCCATCCCTCCATCCATCCATCCATCCATCCCCTCCCTTCATCCATCCATCCATCACCTTTATCCATCCATCCATCCATTCCCTCCCTTCATCCATCCATCCAGCATCCATCCCCTTCATCCATCCATCCATCCATCCCCTTCATCCATCCATCCATCCATCCATCCCCTCCCTTCATCCATCCATCCATCCATCCATCCCCTCCCTTCATCCATCCATCCATCCATCCATCCATCCATCCCCTCCCTTCATCCATCCATCCATCCATCCATCCCCTCCCTTCATCCATCCATCCATCCATCCATCCATCCATCCATCCCCTCCCTTCATCCATCCATCCATCCATCCATCCCCTCCCTTCATCCATCTCAACTTGTTCTTAAGTGACTTGGTTAAATAAGGGTTAATAATGTCTTCTCTGTCTCTTTCTCAGTGGCTGTTCAGACAAACATCGTCCCTGTGAAGAAGGTTGAGTCCGCCGCGGTTCAGTCAGGTCTGGTTCAGGTCATTCAGAACCCGGCGGGCTGCGAGGTCCAAGCGAACGCTCACTGCCCTCTCCCGCGCCTCTCCATCTCGTCCCGCTCCGCCAGCGCTCTCGCCGGGATGGACTCGGGAGCGGACGGCTCGGATCTGCACTCCGTCATGAAGTGGAAGACGGTGCTGGCCGTGTTCGTGGTGGTGGTGTCGTACCTGGTGTGCGGCGGGCTGGCGTTTCGGGCGCTGGAACAACCCTTCGAGAGTAACCAGAAGGACAGCATCACTCAGGAGAAGGCCCTGTTCCTGAAGAGAAACCCCTGCGTCTCTCCGGCCGAACTCGAGGACCTGATCAAGGTCAGATCACAGATCCGTTAGGAGGGATCATATGATACATGGAATAATGCCTAGATCATACTTCATACAATATCTAAAAAAATATATTATATATACTACATATGTGTGTTTATATAGGCCATGCACACAGATGCATATCATACCGGAAAGTTTGGAAACATTACTATTTTTTATGCTCACCAAGGCTGCATTTCTTTGATCAAAAATACAGAAAAAAGTAATATTGTGATATATTATTACAATTTTAATTATTAGTTTTCTATTCTAATATACTTTTAAATATAATTTTTTTCTGTGATGCAAAGCTGAACTTTCAACATCATTACTCCAGTCTTCAGTCACATGATCCTTCAGGTATAATTTTATAAAATATAAAAAAGTACACTGTAAAAAAATATTGAAGGTTTAACTTAAAAAAAAAAGTAAGTAACCTGGTTGCCTTAAAATTTTAAGTTCATTGAACTGGAAAAGGTGAGTTAATAAAATGAAGTAGATTAATTTAACCATCAGAAACTCAAAATAATAAGTTATCTCAACTAAATAAATTATTATAAAGTTGATTTGACTAAAGGAAATATGTTGTGATAACAAATCTTGAAAATATTTTTTACAGTGTATAGTTATATATATATATATATATATATATATATATATAATGATCCTTTTATAAATTTTTCTATTCTTAAATAAAAAATGTTTATACATTATTTTTATATGAAGAAAAGCACTCTTATATTATATTTAAAATATACATTATTTTTAAAAACAAATTTACATTTCCAAATAATACTGTATTATGATTTTTTTATACATTTAAATCAGCTTAAATAAAAAAAAGGCAGCATAGCAAATAAAACATTTTACAATTTATCATTTCAATAAAAGCTCTTTATTAACATCACCATAATTATCCTTTTGGGAGAAAATAAGCTTAATTCTCATGAAAACAATTTCACAATGCAAAAAGGCTTGATGGCCCTAAAACCTTTTTTTTCTCCATTTGATTTTGGGGTGAAATATTACACGTTTTTGAGAGATTAACCCTAACAAAGTTAGTTGGTATAGAAAGCCGAGACATAAAAATATTACATCTATCTATTTAGAAAGCGTTCATTGTAAAGGCTTCTTTGGAGATTCTCTGTCTAACCGTTGGATGTTTAAAGACTCAAAAGCAGCCTTTTCCAGCGATGGTGAGAGTCATAACAACACGACCTCCCCGTCTCCTCTGCTGTTTGCTCCGGCCGGCGCTGAGCTCTAATTGATCAGTAAATGTCACTCCAAGACTGACATGAATCCCTCTGGGCATCAGCAGCAGAAACTCTCTCTGTGTAAAGCACCAGCACTGGGTGTTACATAACACTTCTTGCATATAATAAGGAAATGTGTTGCCGGCAATTAAAGCTTTGCATTGATTTCTCACAACACATCCTACACAGCCTACCAGGAATTACTGGAAGAGTGGATGAGATCATTTTATAACAGCTGAGAAAACATTCTTTGTTCAGTTTACTATCGTAACAAAATGTTCAATACCGATACGGATACCTTGACTTTGATACCGGTTCCTGAACGATACCAATTTTATGTAACCAGTTTTAACATTATAATATTACCTACATTTTTTTCAGTTTGTTGACTTTATCACACTCATATTTTGAGTATGTAAAAAAGCACCATTGCTAAAGTTTTCTATGTTTCCTAATCATTTAACAACATGTATTCTTTGAGCTCATTGTTTCTGCCTTTATTCTACCTTTTATTTTGTTACGATACCCAGTAAACTGAACAAAGAATGTTTTCTCAGCCTGTTATATAATGGATCTCACCCACATGACTCGACTGTTTAAAAAATAAAAATGACACAAAATTATATATAATGGCAATATTTGAAAATTGATAATTTATTATTAATATTATTATTTGTTTAAATTACATTGATACCTGAATTTATGTCAAAACTTAGACTTTCAGACATCAAAATGTAATTTATGAATATGTACTCATATAAACATGGTATAAACATCGTTTCCTATTGTGTTTTGCCTGGAAACGCTTCCAACGCGCTTTCGTGTCGCGTGAAAAATAGGCGTTGGTTCTATTTCTAACATGCGCGCGTTTTCCACCTGAGACGCGCGGCAACATTCCTCGTTTTCATTTAGTTGAACTTGAAGTTCTTAAATAAATAAAAACTATACAGACGAATATAAAACAAATTAGCGGCTGCTTTAAAACATGGTAAGTAATGCCGCAAATACCAATAAATTGACTCGCGCAAACTTTAGTAAATCAGCTTGTGTGCTTTATTGAAATATGACCCTGTCCTTGCCTATCCAGCGAGTCACAGTAGTTTTTTAACGTTAGTAGTAAATTTGGTCCTAAATGTTTAAACATCTCTTGTGCTCACGTGATCGTTCTACAGCCTGACCTAGTTTTAGTTTTCACTCAAAAACCCGACAAAACCGCTTGCATGAGTGATCAGATCTTACACGCCTACATCATTTCTGTCCTCGTAGAGTCATTTGTGAGTGACTCATATCATTTGCCCTACATCTTCAAATAAAAAATAAATCAATTCTCCATTTCCAGCCAATTAATTGAAAAAAATACCCTCGACGTGGTGTTTAGGGAATAGGCTCTGAGGTAATCAATTATTTAACGTTTGGCCCAATAAAGGCAGAATCTCCTGAGAGAAAAGCCTTTAGTCGTCCTCATCGTGTCCAAACCGGTCCATACTGTAACCCCACAGGACAGAACCGGACAGAACAATCACGGACCCTGGAAAGCATGCGTATGTATTTTTTGGTTGAGTATCATTTGATAAACCATGCTTTTATAGCTCAAATAGTGAGAATATGTTGGGAAAAACACCTTGATTTTAGTCAGAGGCCCAAAATTAGCAAAAAAAATATATAAAATTTAGGGCAGATGCTGATATTCATGACCAAAAAATAAGATGACATAATGTAAATTACAAATATAGCAGACTACTTACATCAAATTCATATAAATATCAGTCGTTGCTCTACCAATAATATGTCTTAGTAAGATGATATTTAAATGCTTAGTTTTATGATCAAATCTCATATAATGCAATGCAATACAATTAGGATTGAGAGATGAACATACTGTATAAACCGCCCTCAAAAGCCTGATGATCATATTTGAGACTTACATGGATAATTAAGTAAACCAAAGTTGCTTCAGTCCAGTAAGTGTTGATCTTGAAATATTACAAACAATATCAGTTATTTTTACGTTTACTTGATAAATATTGTCTTTCACTGCAGAAAGACACAAGAAGCACAAGCTGATGGATGTTTGTAATTACACTAAAACACCGTTTACTTGCTAAAAAGCATAAACTATCAATAGTTAATTGTGTGCAAAAGCTTTGATCAACCCAACCAACATTTTGTCGGGCACGTAAAGCATCTTAATGTTGCAGATTCGGCTTGAAAAAGCCTTTAAACCTGATTTAATCTCACCAGAATTAGATGCCAGTCATGTTGACATGTATCTGTCCTGTCATGCGAGACCACCAGGTGTTGTTGTTCTTGGCTGTCAGCAGGACTGACTCAAACATCTTCCCATCAGGACACTTGGCAAATCCTACCGGAGCAGAAGAAATATTACTCAGACTTCATCGTTTTCTTGCTGACAGCATGTTGTTTCGTTGTGTTTTTCATGAACGGGTTTGCAGTGAAGCCATTAAAGAAATAAGTGATTTCACTGACCAGTTCTTAAAATTACCATTATTAAGAATCTAAAAAACCTTTTTTCTCACTATAAAGACCCTTTATGGGAAGTAAAGCTTCCATGGATGTTAAAGTGCCCCTGTAGTTAATAAATCACCTAAACGACTCATTTAAAAAAAAAAAAAAATTCTGGGGAAAAAACTATTCATGCCTTAAATAGCTTGAATGTAACTCGACACCCTTGTCTCATTTTCTTTGTACGTGGTTCTATGAATATGCAAATGAGCCCACTCAGAGATCCACTGGTTGACGATCACACGTTGATCTGATTGGTTACAAGGTGGTTTGTGACGTCAGAAACACCAGCGATTTCAAAGCGTGTCTTTGGTTCACTGTTTTAAGGAGGAAATACTCAGCAATGCTGTCGACTAATCAACTTACACATGGTTTGTCTTAAAGCGTATTAAAAACACATATAAACAACAGTAAAAGCTTGATTTTCACCACAGAGGGACTTTAAAGGTTCTTCATGTAACCATCGATGCCAGCTCTTTACGTTTAAGAGTGTATCTGACTTATTGAATAGTTTTAAATGGATTGATTGCTGATTGTTATTTCTGTTAAAAAATGTTTTGTTTCTGGCTACTAAAACATCTTGTACTGCTTTACGATCAAAGCGAGATTTGAGTGGATATCATAAAGACAGCATGACCAGAGTCTGCTCAGGACTTACCGATATATTGACTAAATTTACTCAGCATAACTCATTATACTATTCCTTAAAATTCTTTAAGAAGAGTCAATAAGCCTGATCAGATTACTGACAGATGGAGCCCATTGATCTTCAATGCAGGTTTTTCAGCCACAGAAACCCAAAGCGGGGGTTCTGCTTACAAAATGGCCATTTGACTCTTTTTCTCCATGTATCTTTTCCCAGCATGCAGTCGACGCGGTCAGCGCTGGAGTGAGTCCCATTGGAGACACGTCCTATAACTCGAGCCACTGGGATCTCGGCAGCGCTTTCTTCTTCGCTGGGACCGTCATCACCACGATAGGTGAAATAAGACAACCTTCAAACATCGCAAAATATAACATCAGATAGTTCAAACGCAATACGGAAAACAAATATTCTGGTACTATACAAAATTGGGTTAGAGAAAATATTTGGATTTTTTGAAATGTTGCATTGCCACATAAATGTTGAAGCACTAAGATTGATAACTGGAAATGAATTAAAACTAAAATAATAAAAGTAAACTTGGCCTTGACCAAAAATGCACAGTAGCACCTCATTGCAGTACACGAGATCCAGGGGGCGGAGATGGGTAGGATTAGGGGTGGGGTTAGGGATCAGGGGGTGGAGAGGGGTAGGATTAGGGGTGGGGTTAGGGATCAGGGGGCAGAGATGGGTAGGTTTAGAGGTGGGGTTAGGGATCAGGGGGTGGAGAGGGGTAGGATTAGGGGTGGGGTTAGGGATCAGGGGGTGGAGATGGGTAGGATTAGGGGTGGGGTTAGGGATCAGGGGGCGGAGATGGGTAGGATTAGGGGTGGGGTTAGGGATCAGGGGGTGGAGATGGGTAGGATTAGAGGTGGGGTTAGGGATCAGGGGGTGGAGATGGGTAGGATTAGAGGTGGGGTTAGGGATCAGGGGGTGGAGATGGGTAGGATTAGGGGTGGGGTTAGGGATCAGGGGGTGGAGATGGGTAAGATTAGAGGTGGGGTTAGGGATCAGGGGGTGGAGATGGGTAAGATTAGAGGTGGGGTTAGGGATCAGGGGGTGGAGAGGGGTAGGATTAGGGGTGGGGTTAGGGATCAGGGGGTGGAGAGGGGTAGGATTAGAGGTGGGGTTAGGGATCAGGGGGTGGAGATGGGTAGGATTAGGGGTGGGGTTAGGGATCAGGGGGTGGAGATGGGTAAGATTAGAGGTGGGGTTAGGGATCAGGGGGTGGAGATGGGTAGGATTAGAGGTGGGGTTAGGGATCAGGGGGCGGAGAGGGGTAGGATTAGAGGTGGGGTTAGGGATCAGGGGGTGGAGAGGGTAGGATTAGGGGTGGGGTTAGGGATCAGGGGGTGGAGATGGGTAGGATTAGGGGTGGGGTTAGGGATCAGGGGGCGGAGAGGGGTAGGATTAGGGGTGGGGTTAGGGATCAGGGGGTGGAGAGGGGTAGGATTAGAGGTGGGGTTAGGGATCAGGGGCGGAGAGGGGTAGGATTAGGGGTGGGGTTAGGGATCAGGGGGTGGAGAGGGGTAGGATTAGGGGTGGGGTTAGGGATCAGGGGGCGGAGAGGGGTAGGATTAGGGGTGGGGTTAGGGATCAGGGGGTGGAGAGGGGTAGGATTAGAGGTGGGGTTAGGGATCAGGGGGTGGAGAGGGGTAGGATTAGAGGTGGGGTTAGGGATCAGGGGGTGGAGATGGGTAGGATTAGAGGTGGGGTTAGGGATCAGGGGGCGGAGATGGGTAGGATTAGGGGTGGGGTTAGGGATCAGGGGTGGAGAGGGGTAGGATTAGGGGTGGGTTAGGGATCAGGGGGTGGAGAGGGGTAGGATTAGGGGTGGGGTTAGGGATCAGGGGGTGGAGAGGGGTAGGATTAGGGGTGGGGTTAGGGATCAGGGGGCGGAGATGGGTAGGATTAGGGGTGGGGTTAGGGATCAGGGGGCAGAGATGGGTAGGATTAGGGGTGGGGTTAGGGATCAGGGGGTGGAGAGGGGTAGGATTAGGGGTGGGGTTAGGGAACTCCCTCTGGATTTCATGTTCTGCAGTGAGGACCATCTCAAAATGCATACTGATTTCTCAAAGGCCCTGTTTACACCTGGTATTAAGATGCATTTTAGTCAATGTGATCACAAGGAGAAGACACTTAATGCAGGTGTAAACAGGGTCTAAAACGTTGTGAGCTTGTCCACTTTCGACCATTTCTAGAGGTAGTCGAAAAAGCATTTGACCGGATTGATTTCATAATGTAAACACTCGTGTGCTCTCCTCCTAGTGACCTAACGAGTACATATTATGGGAAACGCTATCCAGACAAGATTTAAACTTTGTCAGCGGGAGACCCAAGTTTGGTTTGAAGACGAAAAAACATTTTCTCATCATTCCTGATTTTTAACACACACTCACAGTGTTCAGCTGGTCTTGTGGCTGTCAGAGCAGAAACGAAAAATGCTCTAGTCGCTTTCATGTGTAAAAATTGCTCAAGCTTATTTTGTCCATTAGATCGAAAGATCTGAAAAAAACCCATACATTTACATGACCATAGACCCTCCCCTTGAAGAAATCACGACAGAAGTGGTTGAAACTAAGTGGAAAGGTGTAAACGGGTACACACAGGTGATCCGGTCGACCTTAATACCAGGTGTAAACAGGGCAAAAGCTCTTTAAAAAGGGAACTGAGATTTGCACAGACCTTCATGCAACCGACTGCAGAACACAGATCTCCTCTCTTGTCCTTGTCTTAACTTCCCTTTTGTTCAACAATCAATAATTACTGTCATGTTTCCCCAATGAAACCCAGCAATTGTCTCTCTCTGTATCTGTGAATCAATGCAGATTTAATACAGGGGGTCAACTAGAGCTGCTTGCATCAGAACCATTAAATAACCTCTTGTCTTCACCGCCCACATCTGCAGGCTATGGAAACATCGCACCCAGCACTGAAGGCGGAAAGATTTTCTGCATCCTTTATGCCATATTTGGCATCCCTCTGTTTGGCTTCCTGTTGGCCGGAATTGGTGATCAACTAGGGACCATGTTCATGAAGAGCATCTTGAAGGTGGAAAAAGTTTTCAGGGTGAGTAGAATTACTTTAGAATGAGGATTTCCAACTTATAAATATGTTAATTCACCGGAAATTAATTCACCTGCCGCCATTCACAGCAAAAACACAAGCAAATCAGTCAGACCAAGATCCGCGTCACCTCCACCATACTCTTCATCATCGCTGGCTGCATTATTTTCGTCACCATCCCAGCTGTGATTTTCAAACACATCGAGGGATGGAGTACTTTAGAGGCCATATACTTTGTCGTCATCACTCTCACGACCGTCGGCATTGGAGATTATGTAGCAGGTATGAGCACCGATTGGGACATTTCTTAATTCTTAGAGCTCAACTGGTAGAGAGTATGGTGCTAGTGACACACAAATCATTGGTTTACACTCTTAAAATGTTTACTGAAATGCCATAGGAGACCAAGTCTTCGTTTCTAAAGATCCTTTCGGTTCTTAAAAGAGCCTTTTTTCTTACTGTGAAGAACATTAAAAAATGTAACGAACCTTTTTTCAATATAAAAAAATCTTTCGAACATTTGAAATCTTTGCTGGATACGAAAGGTTTCTTTATGGAACCGTCAATGCCAATAAAGAACCTTCATGTTTAAAAGTGTAGTGAACTCATACATTCATATTAAATACACTGTCAGTTGCTTTAGATAAAAACATCTGCCAAAATACTAAATTTTAGTGTCATATTTCACCTGACACCTTCTCAAAATACTTTTTCTGGCAATTTTGTGTCTTTCAACTAAGTGCAGGTCTTGATCTTTTGGCTGATATACAGTAGGCTATAAGACAAAAGGTCATAATATGTTTGATTATTTTATAGGTGGAGATCGCAGAATAGAATACATGAAATGGTACAAGCCTGTGGTCTGGTTCTGGATTTTGGTGGGTCTGGCGTATTTCGCTGCGGTTCTCAGCATGATCGGAGACTGGCTCAGGGTTCTGTCCAAGAAAACAAAAGAGGAGGTATGAAATGAGTTTTGAAGGTATATCATAGTAGTTTAGAATGATGTCCAATATTAAATTTAGCAAAGTCTTATTTACCTTTTCTACGTATAAAACACATGAAAAATAGGTTATAAACAATAAAACTAATGGCAAATGCTGTTGTAAGTTGACTTTAAACGGTAAATTCTGTTTAATGTTGGCTTAAAAATAAAAAGATTTGTAGCAAATGCTGTTTTACGTTGACTTTAGATGGTAAATTCTGTTAAAGGTTGGCTTTAAATGGTAAAATTAGTTGCAAATGCTGTTTAAGATTAAATTTAAATGGTAAATAATTGACTTTAAATAGTCAAATTTTGGCATATGCTGTTACATTGGCTTTAATTTGTAATATTTTTGGCAAATGTGGTTTTCGATTTACTTAAAATGGTAAAAATCTATGGCAAATTCTGTTGTACATATAGGGTTTAAATGGTAAATGATTTTTACATTGACTTCAAAAGGTAAAATGTATGGCAAATTCTGTTGTACATTGGGTTGAAATGGAAATTATTTGGCTAACGCTGTTTTACATTGACTTTAAATGGTAAAATGTACAGCAAACTCTGTTGTACATTGGGTTGAAATGGTAATTATTTGGCTAACGCTGTTTTACATTGACTTTAAATGGTAAAATGTACAGCAAACTCTGTTGTACATTGGGTTGAAATGGTAATTATTTGGCTAACGCTGTTTTACATTGACTTTAAATGGTAAAATGTATGGCAAATTCTGTTGTACATTGGGTTGAAATGGTAATTATTTGGCTAACGCTGTTTTACATTGACTTTAAATGGTAAAATGTATGGCAAATTCTGTTGTACATTGGGTTGAAATGGAAATTATTTGGCTAACGCTGTTTTACATTGACTTTAAATGGTAAAATGTATGGCAAATTCTGTTGTACATTGGGTTGAAATGGAAATTATTTGGCTAACGCTGTTTTACATTGACTTTAAATGGTAAAATGTATGGCAAACTCTGTTGTACATTGGGTTGAAATGGAAATTATTTGGCTAACGCTGTCTTACATTGACTTTAAATGGTAAAATGTACAGCAAACTCTGTTGTACATTGGGTTGAAATGGTAATTATTTGGCTAACGCTGTTTTACATTGACTTTAAATGGTAAAATGTACGGCAAACTCTGTTGTACATTGGGTTGAAATGGAAATTATTTGGCTAACGCTGTTTTACATTGACTTTAAATGGTAAAATGTATGGCAAATTCTGATGTGCATTGGGTTGAAATGGTAATTATTTGGCTAACGCTGTTTTACATCGATTTTAAATGGTAACTTATGTTTTACATTGGCTTTAAATTGTAATATTTTTGGCAAACGCTGTTTTAAGTTTACTTTAAATGATAAACACTAATGGCAAAATCTGTTGTACATTGGGTTTAAATTGTAAAATTTATGCCATTTGTGCCATTTTACGTTGACTTTAAATGGTAAATGCTGTTTTACATAGACAAGCTTTAAGACAAGTGGTGCGTTCTCCCTTCTTAAGGCCCTTGCACACTGAGTCCGATAAAAGTAAATTCGAGTCACGTTAAAAATAAATACGACCTCATGTTATGTCAGTCATGCTTGCAATACCCCTGAAACTTTCGCCCGTCATAAAAAAATCGGATCGGGTTCGATTTTCTGCGTTTTTCGCATTAATCGCGATTTTCTGCATTAATCGCGATCACATTTTTTTTTATCATTTGACACTAGAAAAAACGCATACGAAAATTTCGGACTCACATTACTGAATGGTTTGTAAATGTCACGCTCACAGTGTTCTCTATCATCCAATACAGGTTGGAGAGTTCAAGGCCCATGCGGCCGAATGGAAAGCAAACGTTCGAGCGGAGTTCCGCGAGACGCGACGACGCCTCAGCGGCGAGATCCACGACAAACTTCAGCGGGCGGCCACCATCCGCAGCATGGAGCGCAGACGACTGGGCCTGGAGCAGCGCGCCCATTCACTGGACATGCTGTCGCTCGAAAAACGGGCTGTGTTTGCTGGTCTGGACGCCGGGCGATTTAAGACGTCCTCGCAGGAGAGCATCAACATTAAACTGAACAACCTGCGGCTGAAGGCGGAGCCGGTTTCCTCCGAGGAAAACTTCCTCAACCGCTTCGGTTCGCTCACCAAACTGGCCAAACGCAACAGGAGTAAAGACCTCCGCAAGAACATCCCAGAGGATGCAAACGGGGAAGGCGAAATCCTCAGCAGCAACAGCAGCAATGTCACACTGGGAGAGGACAGAAGAGAGGACGAGGAGGAGGTGGAGGTGGAGGAAGAGCAGATAGCCGAGGCAAACACTGGCTTTACGTGTCTGCCTCACTTTCCTGAGGAACCCAAACAGCAGAACGGGTTCGCACCGGCCCAGGCCAAAGAACAAGAGCGAAATAAAAGACTCGAGCAGAAAGAGCATCAACCCTAGGCAGGCGACACGCACGGGAAGGCAAACAAGCGGCGTCAGAAAATGTGCCTGTCTGTTTTGAAAGCTGTGGCTCGACTTGAACCGCAGCTGATTTTCACTGTGACAAACGACAAGTTGCCAAAAAAATGTGAAAAGAGCTCAAGGAATACAGACTGACGGGGACAGTTCACCAAAATTGGGAAATTCAGTTCCAAACATTCAGGACTTTCTTTCTTGAACGGGATTGACAGCTGTGATGGGGAAGGGGTCGATTTCTTTTGGAGCTTACAATGATTTATTTTACATTATTAGTGATATGAAAAAGATCTTTCTGGACATCATATCTGCTTTAGTCAGAAATTTTTGTTCCACAAAAAACAAAGTCTGTAAATAATGTCAGAATGTTTAGTTTTTGGACAACCTTTACCTTTATATTCTTTACAACATGAGGACTCTTCACAGGACAGTCAACAGAGACTTTGCTGTTTTCAGGTGGATCATGGATCACCGAAAGCCTTTTATGCTGTAAATCGTGATGTCTGCATGAATATCTTCTGCTGCTCAGATGAATCTGTCATCGATGATGTTTACGGTGGAAAATCATGAACTTTTTCGAAACACTAACTTATTGAACACCAAGCCAAATTTGGTTGTGAGACGTTCTCAATAACCTTTCAAATCAGTCCGTTAAATGCTTCGCTCACTGAAGTCTACAAACATATCAATCCCGTCTTTGGCGATAAACAAAATGACCCGAGTCAAAGCCATATTGATGACAAGAAGATTTCATTAGTTGACATATTCTGCTGCATTTGAGACAAGCAGATCACATTCATAAAGCAAGGCTTTAATGTCCAAATACTTTACTGTAAATCACAAAAACCCACAATTATTCCATTATTGCCATAACACTGCCTGATTTGTTGTTATATTATATTCACATTGATTTTATGGCCACAGAACAACGTCTTCCAATGTAAAATGTCAAGTGTGGATGTAAACATTACTCACCCATTGCATTGGTCCACAATAACACACACACAGGTAAAATGCCATGCAATGGGGTTGATCTTGTAATGCTGATGTTAACGTCACAGGGATGTGAGCTGGAGTGAACGTCTCAAAAAGTCATGGTCATGTTGTCATGGTTATCACATTAATGGCTGTGCAAACATTACATTAAATGTAATGAGTGCCTTTGTAAAAAATAAATCATGAAATGTGGCTTTGGATTTCTTGCACTTGATGGTGATCCAAATAGCATACACTATATTTTATATAGAAGAAAAGGTTCTATATAGAACCTTAAAAGATACTATCAGCGCTACGTATTTGGAACCCCTAAAAGGTTCTATACACTCTTAAAAAAGGGTTCCTCTGGGTTCTATATAGAACCCTGGGGTTCCATACTTGGCCAATAGAACCTTTAAACAAAAATGGTTCTATATAGAACCTATTGCAGTTCCATATATGAAGCGGGGGATGGAACCATTTCTGGTTCTAAATAGAACCATTTCTTCTAAGAGTGTAGGCAGTTCCTGATTTCGCCTTGTTTCAAAAAGTTGGAAAGTCAGGCGTAAAACCTTGAAACTTTTACAAAAAATGCACATAAAACACATCAATAAATCAGACATCCTTCATGACACACACGCTGTTTCATGCATCAACAAATTTGATTTGCTCAGATTGTCACGATCATTAGCCATATTTTCCAGATTTCAGGTCTCTTTAGGTCTACAGATGACATGTGCTGTGACACACACAGATCCCAAAATCATTACTCAGAGAGAGTTTTCACACGCTTTAGCAGAGTTCGCAAAACCTCAGGGATCATTGTGAAATGGCATTGGGTTCACGTTACATTCAATTAAACAACATGTACAATTAAAAAGATTAAACACATCAAAATTATTATACACTAAAAATATATAGGCCTCAAATGTATTTGAATTGCAAATAAAATCCATCCATTTGGACCCATTTAATATACTTAATGTGATGGATGACGTATTTGTCAGTTATAATGAAATCAATCAATGCATAGTTTATTATTAACTATTTGCATCTATTTGATTTCATTTAAATAATTATGCTTTTAGTCAAATTACGTATACTAATTATGTTAATTGAAAACAATTGAATGTATTTAGTAAAAAAAAAAGCATGAACATACTTAGTTGTAGAAATGTATGAAATGGAAAGAAATTGATTTCGTTGCTGATAAAATTTAGCCCTTTAAAACACTGTTAATACTATTGCACTTTCATGTATTACATACCAAATATTGTCAGTGGTAATACGAAATAAAACTAAATATTGAGATCTACTAATTTCCTAAAATATGACCCATGCACACTAATAAAATGTATGCAGTGTTGCATCAAACCTGTGAATACACAGCCTCGAGTGTGAAAGCATTGAGCGAGGCAGGAAATGAGAACGTTGATCTGAGATCTTCAGGTGATATGCCTCACAAACAAAGATGGTGATATGATATATGATGCTAGTTTGTATGATGATGTATGATGCAGACCTTGCACTGATCTGAGGTCATGCATGGTGGGTTTCTCAAAAGCATGCTTTCTTGAATGTCAGCCATCAGCTGTATATTGAAAGCAGAGGGTAATGTGTCCAAGGTTGCAGAAACCTATCTCTGTCTATAACTGATTAATAGTGATGGATTGTTCACGGTTTAAACTTTAATCTTGTTACACGGTTCACTTTTCAGTCGTTGTGCTGCTCAAGTATGGTGTCATATGTACCCTAACCCAGGGTTAAAAGGAAATATATTTAAAGTGTGCTTTTTTGGACATACTTAATATATTTAAATTATACTTTACTAAGTGTATAATACATTTATTATTTTGAAACAACTTTAAGTGTCTTTCAAGATTTGCTTAAAATCAATTTTATGCTATTTGCAATATATATATTAAATTGTGCTAAAATGGAACCACTTCAAGTACATTTAGTGCATTGGTTTACAGTTCATTTAAAATATACTTTCATATTTCTTATACTGTTAGAATATATTTGAAGCTTAATTTTAATGTACTTAAAGCACATTTCAGTTCATTAGAATTGTATTAGCATTACACTAATAGTTTATTATTAAGCTGTTTTGTTCAGTATTCACAATGGTATATTAAAAGTGTATATTAAATGCTATGGCAGAGCTATATTTATAATTTGTAGAGCATTTCAGTTTTACCTGAATTACTGAAAAGTTCACATTACTAAATAAATAAGCATCACAATGCAATTTTCTGAAAAAAGAAAGGTTACGAACAAACAATGTACAGAAGTGAATAATGCATTACATTATTCATTACTTATGGTGTACAAATGTCTGAACCAAAGACACAGAAGAGTTTGAATGTGACATCTTTCATCACTTCTTTGACTTTGACTCATTTTCTGCAACCGAGGGCTTGTGGTTCATGACTGCTTTATCACAGGATCTGTGAAAGGGAAGAAGTATGCATATTAAATTACACAATGATTAACATTTCTGCATCAATATTTTAATATATGTATAATAATTTGCATAGATATGCATTAGAATTTCGTGAATGAAGTGAGTGATATTACATGTTTTTTTTTAAATCATGATGTTACAAAATATTTAACTGTCTTAAAGATTTTAAGAACATATAATTCCATACATTTTTTAACAAAAGCCACTAGATTTCACTCATAGCCTATCAGGCATCATTTCAATTTATTTATTTATTGTTTTTCGATATATTTACGTTGAATGTGAGAAGTTATCAAGTGTCATGTCATTTATGAATGGAACTTTATGTAAGCAAACGTCAAGAATTTGTAACCTTTGTCCAATTTCGATGTTTTCACAGCTCCATGAAAACTGTCAACAAAACTGAAAACATCTGCTATTCTTACTTTTGTCAGATATAAGAATGATTGAGAGAAAACAAGCTGTTCACAGTCCATTTTTGTCGTATTGTTGTGTCGTGGTCGTATTGTTGTCGTCTGTGTCTGACGTGATTTAACTTCTCCCCAGTTGTTCCATGAAAATACGGAAAGCTGTGAAGTGATAAATTAGGTTGTTTCTTTTTTGGGTTGACAAAACATCATAAAAAGGTAAGCAACAGGACGGACCGCTTTTAGTCTCCGCATATTTGTCCACCGACTGCAACTGTGCTAGCGCCAAACATATAAAAGCAATCACCTGAAAGATTTTTACCCTACTTCCGGTCTCTCGGTCGCCATCTTGTGAAATATCAGTGATGGTAAAAATATTTAGATTACAATCGCGGCTAAGCAAAAAGAAGCTTAACAAGAAGAAACGTCGATTTTCCTTCCGTGTGGCACAGAAAATGCTGGAAAATTGAAGCTGGATATGCCAGAAGTTTACAGCACGAAGTTTCCTAACGCTGGGAAATTGTGTCTCTCCCCAATTCGACCGTTATTCGACTGCCGTTTACGTGACGGTAACGTTATTTCTGAAGTTCGACTCACCAAACACGTCGAAGGTGCGTGATTAACACGGCATGTGTTTGAGATAGACTTGACGCACAAATCTACAACTAAACGGATGGAAAGATGACGCTTTGAGGAGGTTCGCACGCGCTGACTTTGAAAAGGTAAGTTGTGGGGATTTATTTACTTCACGACGCTAGTAAATGTCGGTGTTACTCTTGATTATTAACAAATTAATATTGGATGAATTAATGCTTTATGGCTATTAAGTGTATCTCAACAACCTTGGTGATTTACTGTGGTAATATATTTGGAAATAAGTTGTGCTGCTCAGGCCGCGTTTTTTTTCTCCAGTTTTCGAGTTAGTGCGCATGCGCGAATGCGTAGCTAGATCTGTCTTTTGTTGTTGATAGAAAGTTGGCTGGTCATTCAAAGGTTTGTTTTTCTTGATGGTCGATGCCCTGTGTGAAATTGTATGCTTTTGTCTTGATTTACAATATAATCCGACAATTAGGAGAGTCATCACTACAACCACAGAGAGTGGTGGGTGTTGTTGGAAATATAACTTTTTGTGAAACCCTTCAAAATTTGTATAGTGGACATGGAAACTGTCGTTTTTTTATAGTTGCAGAGCCCATTTGCTTTATACAGTGTTTTACAGCTAAAAGGCACAACTAACAGCACAAGCCGGTCATTACAGATCTCATTATTTTATATGACTTGCATTTGGTTTTTCATGTTAAATGACGTAAATGCATTTTCAATCTTTTGAGGATGTATAAATTAGTTTGCCACAGGTTTTATTTCTGTCACATGATGTTAGCCTTACTACAAATATACAAAGTTGGTGAAACGTACATTTATATCAAAGGCCTATTGTACCTGTCTAGCTGAATGTACATCATTTGCATATTCCATCATAATTTTATTAATCTTTCCCACGCCATCATTTTCTAAAACCACTTGCAAAGCTGTCACGGGCAAACATGGAGTATTTAGTTCCTGCTCTTAATTTAGTCTCTTGGTTTTGTTCATTTTCACATGCTATTTTTGTAGAAAAAATGTATTGTGAACAGTAACGGGTGTGTGAAATAAATGTTCTTACGTCAATAGTGTTTAATGTATTAACTAAAGTATTAAATGCACATTATTCATTTATTGTGTAGCCTACTATTCACCCAAGCATGTTTAATTTTTTTTAATTGACTGTCCAGACCGAGAGTAGACAAAGAACCTTAAATATAGTTTTTGTTTGTCACATGCTTAAGTTCAGTCACTACGTTATTTTCCCAAACATATAGTTTTAGTGTTACTTTAAAATATGGAAAATATGTTTTTTGACTGTTTCCATTTGTATGCATTAAAAAAAATGTAAGGACACTACCAATGTTGTAAGGCAATGACGCACGGCTGAGAACATGATTACTAGAATGATAAAACTTTTGAGTAACAAAGCATTTAAGTAATCTTACATTTGTCATCGTGAAACTTTATGTGTGAATCATGTCTACAGTATATTGAGATGAGGGTGGAAAACTATATTTTTAAGGACAGTAAAACTAAATAACAAAGGGGAAGTCAGTATGTACAGTAAGTTGACACATTATTCATTCAAATGCTCAGTATTTTAACTGTACATGTTATTTGAGCCTTTTGCGGTTACTTTACTGGTGCATGCATTAGATACTAACTGAGACTATAATACTTAATTATTTTGTGTATTAAAAATGTAGACCGTCATTGCATTTTGCCATTTCTTTTTTCCCCCCAAAATGAATGCACTTGTTTTTATTTGCACTCTTCTAAAAGACTCGGAGTTTGACTTTCTGAGGCTGAGAACAGCAACTAGTAGCAGAACAGTTCAGTGTGTTTGTGTGTGTGCATGGCATG